GGTTAACATGGACGGTCTTGAGTCAAGTCCCATGTACAACATCATCTCTCACCTCGTTTACTGCACTGGCCGAACACAGGTGACAAATGTTGTTGTTGTGGTGGTGATGGTGGTAGAGGTGGAGGAGGGAGCGAAGGAGGGTGGGGACGAGGAGGGAGAGGAGGGAGAGGAGGGAAGAATCAGAGGAGGTTGAGGAGGAGAGGGAAGAGAGGAGGAGGGAGAGGAGGAGGAGGATGAGGTCAGTGGTGGAGGGAGAGGATGACGGTCATGAGCTCAGGTCACTGACGTGTGGGTCGATGGCCAACGTTTGCTACAAGAACGCAAGCTGACAACTCTTGATGAAGAGAGCTTGAAGCAGAAGGTGCGAGGGGGAGGAGGAGGAGGAGGAGGAGGAGGAGGTGGTGGTGGTGGTGGTGGTGGTGGAGGAGGAGGAGGAGTAGGATGAGGCAGAGGCAGAGGCAGAGGCAGTGGCAGAGGAGCAGGAGGAGTAGGAGGAGGGAGAGGGAAATGAGGGAGAGGAAGAGGAGGGAGAGAAAGATGAGAAGGAGATGAGGAGTTTTAGTGTGGCGAGGAGGAGCAGAGAGGGAGGTGCGGTGGAAGAGGGGCAGGAGGGGCAGGAGGGGGAGAGGAAATTAGGGATGGAGAAGGAGTTTGACTTGAACGATTGCAGGCTCATGCATGGGGCACGAAGATCAAAGAATCAAGTTTTCACAAGATCGGATGAGAACCGCTTGAGAGAAGAATAAGAAGAAGAATAAGAAAGAGGAGGAGAGATGCTGCGGCGAAGAAGGCTGGACCCTATCGACACGAACTAGGAGATGAAGACATTAAGTTTGATCCCCTATCCTGCTCTTGTTGCATCTCTGCAGCAAGGAGTGAGAAAAAGCTTCTCATGGTAACAAACATCTCGCGGTGACGTCACCTGGTAGAACAAGATGTACGCCTGACACGTCATCACTTTGGCTTCAGTCACCTGCCCGCTCACGTCAGCCGCTCCAAGCTCAGGTGAACCCCAGCTGGGGTTTGACCTGCTTGACTGAGGCGTCGCTAATGTGATACCACGGCACCTGACCCTCCTCCTCCTCCTCTTCCTCCTCCTCCTCTGCTCCTCCTCCTGCTCTTCCTGCACGGACGTAGGCGACATAGTGTCCTGACGTCATGCTGCCGTGATGCTCGACTATGGCGTAGAGGCGGTAGATCGGCTTGTCTGCCTGCTGCACTGCGGGAAGAGGATAAGGCGAGAAAAAGAGGAGCAGAAGAAAACTGCAAGAAAGGAGAAGCAGGAGGATGGGGAGGAGTTCGATGGTGAGGTGCAACAGAGTTGGTAGGAGAAGATGAAGACAATAGTGTCTCATGATAATATGATGATGATGATGATGACGATGACGATGACGATGACGATGACGATGACGATGATGATGATGACGACGACGACGACGATGATGTTGTAGATGATGGTGGTGGTGACCATGATGATCACGACGATCCTATCATGACTTGCAACTCACGAGCTGGGGAGTCTTGATGGCAGAAGCTCGACATGTCGAGCGAGAGGGCGAAGTCGATGTGATCGCCGACCTAGGGGTAACATCAGACCAGCAGCACGGTCTCCTCCTGCTCGCCTTGCTCAGCCTCCCTCGCTCTGTCTGCCTGAACCTCTTGAAGTTGATGACGAGAATCTCCGGGACCTCCCAGAGGAGAACCTGCACAGACAAGGTAGCGGTGAGGGAGGGGATCATGATTTCAAGCGATCCTCCTCCTCTTGTTCTCATTCGTCTCCTCTCCTCTCCTCTCCTCTCCTCTCCCTCTCCTCTCCTCTCCTCTCCTCTCCTCTCCTCTCCTCTCCTCCCTCCCCCCCCTTCTCTTCCTTCCCCCTCTCCTCCATCCTCCCTTCTCCTCTTCTTGCGGCACCCCTTCCACGCATTCCACCTGCTTGTATGCAGGGCAATGCATCTCTGCCCCGAAGCTTCCTCCGGTTGGTTCTTCGTCCTCGTCTTCGTCCTCGTCCTCCTCATCGTTGAGCTCCTTCATCCTCCTCGCGCTCTCAATCGATTTCCTTCCCTTCCAGAGTCTGCTCGTCACCTCAACCAGCGGCTCTGCTCCTCCCTCACCTTCTCCTGTAGCTTCTCCGAGCACTTCTCACACGCATACATGTTCTCCCCGTCCAGTGTCTCAATCTGCTCCAATGTGAAGCTCGGCTCTCACATCCTCCTCTCTCCTCATCGTCATCGTCCTTCTCCTGCTCCTTCTCCTGCTCCCCCTCACATCATCATCATCATCATCATCATCATCATCATCATCATCATCATCATCATCATCATCATCATCATCATCATCATCATCATCATCATCATCATCATCATCATCATCAACAGCAGCAGCAGCAGCAGCAGCAGCAGCTCTTATCGCCCCCACTGTCATCTCCCTTCTCTTTATCACCTTGAAGTATTCGGATAGACAAGTTTCCAGTGTTGAGAGTTTTTCATTTCCACCAGGAGTCGACGATAAAGTCGCTGGCTCCGCAGTAGTATCCTCCTCCTCGTGCTTCTCCTCCTTCTCCTTCTTTCCTCGATTCGCCTGCATGCCGTCTCTCGATTTCTTTCCTTTCCCTTTGTCTTTCTGCTTTCCTCTCTTCTTGCCCTTTTTATCCTCCTCCTCCTCCTCCTCCTCCTCCTCCTCCTTGTTGTCTTCTAGCCCCTTGTCCGCAACTGCCTCCTCTTCATCGTGTGGTCGCTCTGTCCCATCCGTACTCTGTTGCTCGTCCTCGTTCCTTCGTTGAGCCATCGCCTCTTCGTCGAGATGACCGCTTGCTTCCTCCTCCTTATTCCCCTCCTCGTCCTCTTCCTTCTCCTCGTCATCCTTTGAACTTGACAGAGCCAGATGCTCGATCCTCTCAGCGATGATGTTTGCTTCTCCCTCCTCCTCCTCCTGTCCTGTTCCTTGCCGGCTCGACTTGCTGCACTCATGATCTTCGTCCTCCTCTTCATCGTTCCATCTCACTTGCTCTCCTGAGGCTTCCTCTCCCTCTTCCTCCTCGCCGTCCTCCTCCTCCCCACCTTCCTCCTCGTCCTCGTCCTCGTCCTTTATCTGTTTCCTCCGACGATTTTTGTCTTACTTGCTTGATCTCCTCTCGTTTCTTCTGTTTCTGCAGCTGTTTCTCCTTCTTGGAAACTTTGTTCACCTTCTTCCCTACCCATCGGTCAGCGCTGACACACCACAAACAACCTCTTTACCTCCCTTCCCCTGCTTCGCTTCCTCTGCCTCCTCCCCTCCTCCCTGCTTCTTCTGCACCTGCTGCTTCTCCTTCTTGCCAGCTTCTCTCTTCTGCTTGCGCGATCTCGCGTCCACCGCAGCTTGAGATGCCTCGCTCTTCGGGCCCTCCGTCCTGCTCAACAGCCGCTCTGGGAGCGGCAGGGACAGGTCAACGAAAGGTTCCATCACGACTGACTCGAACTTGCAGTTTCTGCAGAGTATGCTGCTCCTGCTTCGCCCCCCAAACACGTCCTCAATCAGTGTTTTCTTCTTCTTCCCCTTCATGTCTCCGCTTGCCCCCCCCTCCTCCTTCGCCTCCTCGCTCTTGTTCATCGTCCTCTGCTCCGCCCTCAGCAGGTCGATGATCGTCCACAGCAGCTCGAGCGCATCGTGCTGCCTACATCCCTTGAATCTCGGACATTGTCGCACAATCTCTCCGAAGAGCTCCCCAGGCTTCATCACCTCCTTCCCGCCTGCCGCCCCCGCAGCTCTCAGGAAGTCCAGCAGGGCCTCGTGCAAGGGCATCGACCCATCCGCGAGCGGGGAGCAGGAGGAAGGGTCGAGCTGGAGAAGGCGAGCAAGGAGCGGGCGGGTGCGGATGAGGCTCTGCATGACGGAGTTGAAGTAGCACGTGTTGCCCATGTTCCGCAGTCCCGGTGGCGCAGCCATGGCCGGCCGCCTTCCGAAGGTGGAACTCCCAATAAAAGGGTCTAGTACCGGTATTTTTGTGGAATATCTTGGGGGTACCTTTTCAGGAGGGGGTGGGTGAGTTTGCAGGAAATCGCAATGGCAGCAAGGCGGCGACCAGGTTTAAGGATAATTAACTCAGCCTGTGCAATGATGACAATCGTGAAACCACCATAGCCTATCAGAGCATTGTAAGATCTATATCATGGTATCAATCATTTGAATGTCATCGTAGCAGTGTTTAATATTTTCTACAATACGCATTCTCTTTTTTCGACTTGCAACCAGCAATGCTACGCAATCCCCGGAACCGTTGCATATTACGTATTAATCCTTCATCTCATTGCCCTGATTTAGCATACACTCGCTTTCGATTGTTCTTCTGCGTACTATTGCCAGGCTCCACATCATGATCAGATCCATCCCGTGCATTGAAAGCTTCAAGGTCGTGCGGTTTGCTCAGGACAATTCGCTTCTTCGAATGCTCGTATACAAAAGGCAGGTTTGGATCCACCTTTTTAGATAATTCTATGCATGTCTGATTGAATTATCTCAGAAAATCCTTCTTGTTCAGATGGCCGATCAAGGACCACAGATTCTCTACACTATCCGTGCAGCTTCGCAATCTTCGAATTGTTTACAAAACCCAGGATTGATAATCGTCTTGTCCATCGCCAATACATGAATACCTTCTACAAGGTTAAAATTCATCTCACCGTAATCATGCAAAACCTTGCTGCAGATTCTTGACCTGTTTAGATCACGTGTCTTCATGTCTGCACTCTGCAGCTTATGAAGAGTAGATATGGACGGTAGAGGCAAGTTATGCAAAGCCTGATCAGAATGGAAGTTTCCCGTATACTTGTTCTCTGGCCCTGACAGTAAACGCAAGATGCTCCCATCGCAAGCATTGAGCTATGTTTGAATGAGGTTCCGAGACAGGCACATAAAAATTCCATACTGCTAATATCGGTTTGTGTAAGAGCTGAGTTGTTGGGTTGAATGAATGAGGCTGTGCTGCTCTGTATTTTGATATTGCTTTTCTCAATATGGCTCTTTGATTTTTTATAACGTGAATGTGTTGATTGGTTTACAAAGAATTTATGGCAAACTGAACATTCTATCATTATTGTATTCATGTAATAATGTCATGCTTAAAAGATTTATTGATATAGAGCATAACACTCTTTGTACATACGACGTGGGGTATCTACTAGGTATATCAAACCAAAGTTTAGCCTTCAGCAAGATGTACCCTCCAAAAACCAAAATGTTTGGGTTAGGGAGCTGGGAATTCACAGATGCCAATCTCCGACTTGCCCCAGACATTGGGACCCCGAATTGGCCGGCTATCGGCCTTCCTCTGCCTGTGAAATTTAATTACCCAAAACCATTTTAAAGTTAAATCATGATGTGTATATTGTAATCAACTTGTGAGGTAACACCACTGTTACAGTGATAAATCATAATATAGCTGATAAGATTTCAAATTTTGGTTTTGTTGATAATACGCACCAATTTAAATAAAAATAATCGATAATCAATCATACCTTGTATCTTTCTTGAAGATGCTTATAGAATTTGTCTTCATTGAAGTTTAGTATGATTTTCAACATTCTTTGTCAATCTTCTAATGATTCTTTGTGAGACTGGTTCAAGACCTTCTTCCGCATCATAATGACGATCAATCAGACCCATATCTCTCTCTTCAATATCAAGGCAAACTATTTTGAATAGAGATTTTAGGTGTTCACGCAACAGCTTGTTTCTTTCTTTTGAGTCATCTTCATTTCTTGTTGCTTCTTCATTCATTCGTCTTTTGCTTGGGTTGTTTAGATGAATTCATGTCTTCTCATGGCGTAAGTATGATTTCTCATTTTGGAAAGTCTTATTGCAAACTTTACATTCGGTCATGCCTTTTCTTATATATAAGTCTCTATATTGCTTATATCTGCTTAATTTTGATATAAAGAGTTCTTGTGAAATTACATCAAAAATACCTAAATTTGGTTTTTGCAACATTCTCTCTGTATGTTTAGGTGTGAAGTGTGTGACATTATAACATTGAGGAAACAGCAAATAATGTTATGAGATTGATCAAGAAAGAGGTAGAATCACACAAATACAAACCTAATCGGATTTCCTTATCATATTTCCAGTCATGAAATCTAATCCGCTTGCCATTGAGTTGGAGAGCAAGCCGAGTCAACAGTTTAACAGTTTTTGGTTGGAGCGATACAGTGATCAAGACTACAAGCAGTATGCTGTCTTACACAAGCATGAAGAAGGTCAGATCATTGACACATCCATGTCGAAGGACGCTTCGAGGATAATGAGCATCAGGGCATCAAAGGGTGATGGCAGAAAGGTTGTCTTCATATTGAACTGCACTGAATCATACTGCTTTCAAACTCAACTTTGAGTAAAGGATTTTTAACTTAACTTTGAGTAAAGAAAGGATGAATGCCCCGGGCCCGGCCTCGGCGGCCCGGATCACAGAGTCGCGGCCGGGCGGGCGGATCACCGGGCGGCCGGCCGGTGCGGCAGTGCACTGACCTGACCCAGCAGGAGCCACTACGAAATCTTATCATTTTATTTCAAATTGAGTCGAAAAGTTTCCTTCAACATTGCAGAATTATTTGGATCTCTTCAGTTGTTCACTTCAGTACCCTACCCTTCAAATCCCCAGACAGTACCCACTCTTTTGAAGCCCATCAAACAGGAGCTACCGACCCACCCCTACCATCCAACTCTCGGGCGGCTCATTTCTTAGCTACTACCCCCTTTTGGAAAATTGTGCTTGTTCCACTACAGGTAAAATATAGCTATCCCATTTTATCCTAATATCTCAAATAAGAAATATCTTACCTTTTGACCTACCACTCAAAACCTTTGACTATCCTCGTGTTTTTAAAACCATTCAAACTACCCCACCCCCTAATTCTCAGTTGCTGAATTACCACCCCCCTTCCCACCCTGTCTCGCAATCCATTGCTGTCTCGAAATACTACCCTACCCCCATTACCCCTGTTTTACCACGAACCAACCAACCCCAGCAAATTCACCATTACCCTACCGACCCACCTCCTCGTTAAATTATGGTCATGTACCCACATTATTGAAGAGATATAGACCGGTAAAGAGACAACCCCACCATCCTGAATGATACTTTGGAAGTGTATCCACCTCACACTGCTACCACCCCTACATAGTCGGCTACAGTCTTGGAAAGGTACAGGACCCCCTCTGACCCCTCCCTCATCCAGTAAAAGCAAACCCCCTTTGCCAACACCTCATTCTCCCTCCCCCCGCTCCACCTCCCACGCGCACCTCCCATCTCCTGTCGTCCCGCTTTTCTGTACTTTCCTAGAATAACTCGAGCTACTCTCCGACTCCTACAACATGCAGATCTTTGTCAAGACTCTCACTGGCAAGACCATCACTCTCGAGGTCGAGTCCTCCGACACCATCGACATGGTCAAGAGCAAGATCCAAGACAAGGAGGGCATCCCTCCTGATCAGCAGCGCCTCATCTTTGCGGGCAAGCAGCTCGAGGACGGACGCACGCTTGCCGACTACAACATCCAGAAGGAGTCTACCCTGCATCTTGTTCTTCGTCTCCGTGGAGGCATGCAGATCTTTGTCAAGACTCTCACTGGCAAGACCATCACTCTCGAGGTCGAGTCCTCCGACACCATCGACATGGTCAAGAGCAAGATCCAAGACAAGGAGGGCATCCCTCCTGATCAGCAGCGCCTCATCTTTGCGGGCAAGCAGCTCGAGGACGGACGCACGCTTGCCGACTACAACATCCAGAAGGAGTCTACCCTGCATCTTGTTCTTCGTCTCCGTGGAGGCATGCAGATCTTTGTCAAGACTCTCACTGGCAAGACCATCACTCTCGAGGTCGAGTCCTCCGACACCATCGACATGGTCAAGAGCAAGATCCAAGACAAGGAGGGCATCCCTCCTGATCAGCAGCGCCTCATCTTTGCGGGCAAGCAGCTCGAGGACGGACGCACGCTTGCCGACTACAACATCCAGAAGGAGTCTACCCTGCATCTTGTTCTTCGTCTCCGTGGAGGCTGTTAATGATGTTATCACCAAGTCAATAAAGTCTTGAGGACATCTGGTGGTTCATTATTGATTCAAAGGATTCTTAGACCTCGAGTTCTTCCAACACTTCACACTGCACTGGTCGTACGTAAACTCGAAAATGTTGGAGCACAAGACTGCAGTCCGAGGGCTTCGGGGTTGACAGCTGTAGGGAAGGTGGACGCTGGTATGCAAGAGGCCCTAAAAACAAGGTAAGAACGCACATACAGTCGTCTTCATCCTTTCACCTGGCAACTTCTTTGAAGCCGTTGAGGGTTTCCGACATAGTCATCATGCCAGTCACAACCCCTGTGATTCCCGTCATTCCGAGTCTCTGCTCAAATCCTCACAGCCATACCGGATGGGATGGCTGGTGACGTGGAAGCTCCGCCAAAAAGCCCGGCCATGGTCCAGACGATGATTGACCTTGCATAACAGCATTACAAAGAAGCTGGAGACTATAGTAGACTACCATCCAGCGAGGGCGAGATCAGTTCTCGGAGCACCTGAGAGCTTGTTACACGGATCACAACATAACCTGACCAAGCATGCCTGCCCATCCCAGAAACAAGCCGAAGGCTGCGCCAAGGGAACCACCTAGGGATCTCACCCACAGGGATGTGAAAGCGGGCTGATCAAACAACAAGTTACAGCAAGCAGAGAGCTAAACTTCGCAAAGTCAACCTGTGCAAGGATCAAGTGCCGGGTGCAGAGAGAATTTCTCTTGGATCTACTTTTCTGAAAGGAACGACATTGAATTTCACATGACAGCAGTGTGATCTGACCTTGTCGATCGGTTGGTATGGAAATGGATCTCCGATAACCTGCAAAGTTGTCAGCAGCAACCAGCAGACTAAATTTGTCAGACCTTCGTGTACTGCAAGCTCGGATCGCATCTCCCGAGCTGCGGTCGGTCAATGAGATGGGTGATAACGGTTGCTGCATCGCGAGCATGGATGAAGTGCGTGGAAGGAGCGAGTCCTGTGAACTCAAGCGTGCGGGAAAGGATAGCCTGTAAAGTACACTGAGACAGGGAAGGCAGCACAAGGCCGGCACCTCTTCAAACAGTCTCGCAGCTCCGTTCTTGCGCGGGCCGAGCACGACACAGGGGTAGAGAACAGTGAGCCTGTACCTCAAGTCTTCTCTGCCCAGGATCTCCTTGAGAGCTGCAGCCTTTGACTTGATGTAGTTCATGTGAATCCCCTCCATTTTACTCTCATCGTATCTGACGGAGAACCTTCGTAGCTTTTCTTCCGAATTGATCAGACAGGCTGAAGAAGCGTAGAATATCTGAGCTCTTTGATTCGCGCAGTTTAACACGCTCATCAGTCCCTTCACGTTCACTCTGAAACAATCGTTTCCTCCCCAGCTGCTCTCAGTCAGATGTCTGAACTTCAGAGGGGAGATACCTCACCAGCACGCTAGCAACACGAGGCAGTCTGCCCTCCTCACTTCGCTCCTGTACAGCTCCTCGTCGCAAATGTCACCGATCACCAACGCCAGCCTTTTCCTGTCAGGACCATAGAGTCACTTGTTCATCCGTCCTTCGTGCCTTGAGAACCTGGCCTCGTCTTTGACGGACTTGGGCAGCTGAAGTGACTTGGGATCTCGTACAAGGCAGACGATGTTGTGCTTGGTCGTTTGTAGGAGAGAGGTTACAACCCATCGACCGATGCCTCCTGTCGCGCCTGTGACGAAGATCCTCTTCCTCCTCCATTCAGCTCCTTGTTCCTGCCCCAAGTAAAGCCCAAAATTGACTGTGTCGCTGTTGAACCCTCCTCCATCCCCACCCCAGCCTCCTCCCCTAACAGAGCTCCCTCCTCCTCCTCCTCCCGTGCTAGTCGTAGCTTCGAACTATCACAAACATCACAGGGTGATCAGACAAGCGCATGTCTTACAGCTTTTAGTCTCGTCCGAACGACCTCGGCGCTGTCCCCGGAGCGGGCATCCTTCACTTCATCATCACAGTCAGAAAACTGGACAACAAACAGCACTCATCACTCTCAGTGTGTGTCCTGACCTGCTAACGATCCGACAAAGGCAGAAGGAGACAGTGCCGCTGCCGCTCCCCCAACCATCGCCACCATCGCCACCACCATGGCTACACGCTCCCGCCGCCATCCCATCTTGTGATGGTATGGATGCACCTCATCTGAATTCTATCCACCCCTTCCATCCGAGGTCATACCCCACCCTACCGTACCTTACTACTCCTTTGCACTGGAAAATATACCCCTGTAAAGTACCCCTACCCTCTAAACATTTAACCCCACCCCCCTTCCCTCAAGAAATGCATCCTCTGAATGCCGTTACCCGTGCCAGGGGAAAGGAGACGGGGAGAGCAGAGAGGGAGAAGGAGGAGGAGGAGGAGGATGATGGATAGAAGGAGTCGCTGAAAATGGAAGAGTAGTGGAAGCTAGGTCAGAGGCTTGCTAGGATCGCAGAAGAGAGCTGCGGCAGCTCATGCTGCTAGAAAGAAAAGGCGGGGATCCAGAACATGAGGAAGCAAGAACTCGGAGCAGACACATGAGCTACATGTCATAAAGAAGGTGCAGAAGCTATGTTGGTTCCAGTTATGGTGTGAAAGTTTTCTTAGGCTCATTCATTGTGAGACAGATGTCGGAGGCGTGCTACTCGAAGCTTTGATTCACTCCCGCTCTCCTCCCTTGGGCCTCAGCGAAATGAATCGACCCGCCGACAATGATCGGGTTTTGCTCGACAATGAATACGATAAACTGTGATGCCCCCTGCCGCTCCTTGCTCCATCTGACTCCTTTGTGTGTCCTCAGGTTCGCAAAGATGGCGAGCAAGAACCCCAACGCTCAGGATCTCCTGCCCGTGTTTGGTGTTGCCACTGATGACCCCCCCGCCATGGCTCCTCATACCTCGAAAGTGAAGAGAGCTGGAGGGTGGAAGGAGGAGCGGGCAGATAGATCTGAGGTATCCGATCGCTACCGTGGTGCCCAGGTCGTCCGTGCGAGGGCCGTGGCGCAGGGAGAAACACTGGACGCTCATTTTCAAAGGAGCAAGCTGCAAAGGGACAAGGGGCATCTGCTCGGCAAGGAAGATCCATACAAGAGTGTGCCGAGCAAGAGGAAACACGACTTAAGAGAAGAAGAAGCTCGTCCGCGGACGAGGGATAGAGCAGGGGAGGCTCTAGGGAAGAAGAGGGCGAGCTCCAGCAGACTGTCGGCGCATGAGAGCGATGGTGGAGATTCTGATCATGGAGGAGGAGAAGCGAGGACGGAACAATCATGGAGAGTCCAAGACATCAAGAGGGCAGCGAGAAGTCGTAGGACGAAGGGAGGAGGAGGCACGAAGGCAAGTTATGTTTGTGTCCGACCCGAATGCTGACGTGCTCCCTAGAGGACTTCAACATCGAAGTCCCCAGCAAAGCAGAAGCATGCTCCGACCTCCAAGCTCTCCACCCTGTGGTTCAAGAACATCCCGTTGGAGGAGAGTGCCTCTGGCAGGAAGGGCCAGGTTGAGTCCAAGGAGGGAGCAGACAAGTCGAACGTGGTGAGCAAGGTTGGGAGAGACGCCAATGTGACTCACACAAGAACGTTTGCCACTATCGCACAGGAGAAGCAGGATCATGCGCATTCTTTCACCATGCATGCATCTGACATCAAAGTGAAACTCTTCGACTTCTCCTCCATCGAGAACAAGCTGGTGAAGTCGGCAAAAGGTGAGCCACAACTTTCTTTCTCCGCCTTCCATGTCTGCTTCTCCATCCTCTTACACCTCCTCGCAGCCGTTGCTGAGTTCCAACCTACGAGCTCAGTCGCAGTCCGGGTTCAGGAGGAGGCAGCATCGTTTGCTCCTCTTCCTCTGTCCCCTGCTGGAGTTCACCAGGACATGGACTTGGACGACACAGAGAGCGAGAAGGAGAGCAAGGGCAAGGAGGACGACCTTGAACCCACACCTTCCCTTTTGGCTGCTTGCGGCGTGAAGGAGGGAGGAGAGACATGCGAGGGAGCAGAAGCTGCGTCGTCATGCAATCCCTCGCGGATGTGGTCCGATCATCTGTCTTCCTTGTTCCCAGAGCTCGGGGAAGTGTAGGACGATGCGTTAGAACGAGAGGCGTTGGTAGAGAGGAAGCAGCAAGTGAAGCTTTCAGCATGCATTTCTGTAGGAGGAAGAAGCCATATAACTTGATGTGAGGAATGGGAGGTATCCCATGTCTTGCAGAAAGAATTTTTACAGATGAAGAAACAAGATTCCAAATCACCAACCAACCATGAGGCTCACAAGGCTCAATTCTTAGGCGAGAAGGAAGAGCCGCACCCGCAAGTCCCCTCTGAGTTCGGATTGTTGAGAACCTAAGGGAATCTCCCATGGTCACCAACCTGAGGGAGCCAAGGGGAGGGGAAGTGAGGTGATCAGGGAAGGGGAGAGATAGGTTGAAAGAGAAGAGCAAACGAGGGGAGAAAGGAGCGGTATGCGATAGATGAGCGAGATCGAAATCCACCTGAAAGCTCGACGAGATCATCTCCTCGACGAAGTCCACCTGACAGTCGAAAACATCGAGATGAGAGACTGAACCAACGGCAGTGGGGGAGAGGACTGATCACCGTCGATCCTCGAACGAGATCAAGGGAAGTTTCGTCGATCACCAGCTTCGCCCCATCTCTTTCGACACAAGTCAATAGCCACAGTGGACAAGGAAAGCGCAGGGGACTGACTTCTCGAAAACAACATCGTCCCCCTCCATCTTCGAGTCTGGTTGGAACTTGTACTGGAAGCCCGAACATCCTCCGCCATCCACTCGGAGGCGCAGGAATCCTTCTTTCTGCACTTTGATGATCCTCTTCCGAGTGATCATGTCAGAGCCAGCGGGTAACTTTCTTCCTCACCTTGGCGCAGCGATCAGAGATGGAGAGTGCGGGTCTGTCCCCGTCAACATCCACGAGGCCAGCAGCCGTTGCCTTGCCGGACAAGTCGCGTCAAGAGGAGGACACACAAGACATGAGCCGCATCACCATCCCCCTCGAATGCTCGTGCCTGCAGGAGATGCTCGAGTGAACGCTGACCCACTTTCTGCTGCGACATTCCGCTGCAGTTCTAATCGGTGACACCATCGCCTTGCTCTCTGTCACTGGAAATTCGTCTCTGGAGTCAGAGAGGAAGGATCAATCTTGTACAAGGATGACCTGTGACAAGTGGCCTTGTCCAATTTTGAAGGGCAAACCTCTGGATGCTCGAAACTCTTCGGAGAAAGCTGCAACGAGGTTTGAGCATTGCAAGACAAACATCTTCAAAGCATTGCTGCACATGGACCTTGGAATCATGGTGGAGCGATCTGGAAAGGAAAATGTAAGAGATCAGTTCTATAGAAGAATCGGAGAGCTGACAACTCTTTGATAGAATCCCAGTCTTTCACTATACATCGCAGTTTTGCAATGATTCAGATGTTTATCCTTTTGCTCCTACGTCCTCTACACCTCTGCCCTCTACATCCGATGACAAGTACATGTGATACTTGACCCATTGAATGCATCAAACGCTTGTTCTTGTCTCATTGCCACTCTAACGCTGCTCCCCTCCAGACCCCCACACATCTCGTCACTTTACACCCCTCCTGGACTGCCTTCCTGCCTCGTCCTCTATCAGCCCTTCCTTCCGTACCCTTCCTCCGTCGCTCATATTTCACCTCGATAGTGGCTGACCCCCAAACCAATTCCCCCCGTTCATCACCTACAACCGCCTGTCCCTCAATCTTCTCCCTCTCAACTCCATCACTCCCTCTTCCTCTACCCTTCATCTTCGACCTTGCTCTATCCTATTATCCTCTCTGATCTCTTTCACCACGTCCTCAACCCTTCCTCTCCTTGCATGCCCATCCTGCCCCTCTTGTCTCCTCTCCTTCGCCTCCTCCCTCCCTTCCTCTCGCCCTCCTTCTGGCCATTTCTTCGCCTGTTTGCGCTGTTGGGGAGACCCCATATAAAAGGGTGGGGTAGTATCAAGTGATTGGTATGGTAGGGTCATATAGGTAATCGTCATTTGGTACTGAAGGAGTGCTCCCGGTACAAGAAAAGAATTATAAAAAGATTCTACACGCTATGGCGGGGAGATTCGTCTAGCTTATCTTCCCGTCGCACGTCTGTAATGCGAGGAGCCGCTTGACAGAAGAGAGCATGTCTGACTCTTCCTCTTGCTCCTCTGATCATCTTGTATACCTGAATGAATATTGAGGGAGAGAAGGGAGAGAGCGGTGGATATGGGGAGGGAGGAGAGAATTGTTTTCCAGCAAGCTCAACACTAGGAACGAGTTTGAACTGATGCTTCAATGGGGATGTAAGAAAGTGTCATGGATGAAGAGAAATAAGAATGAGCGCGAACGATGAAGAGGAAATCTTGGTCGGTGAACTTGAAAGACAACAAAAGAAGCGAAGGTGTGAATCAAGCCATCTGATCATTTGCTTTCTTAGCATGGCTGGTTTCAACGGGTCATTCATGCTTGCTGGCACGATCTTCTTGGGGACTCTCTCAAGCTCGTCAAGTTTTCAGGGGTTGCAACCAGTGGCTCGCCCCTCTCACTCTCTTGGATGCTTCAAACACAGCAGGCTCCCGATCAGTCCCAGAGCTGCCGTGTTGAGTTTGAGGCGAGAGTCGATTCTCTGGAGGCGACTCTTCGAAGGTGATCGAGTTCGAAATATCAGGCTGATGTTTGACGTGGGTGAAACAAGATAAGGATGGTGACTTTTCTGGATCCAAGGCCTTATGCCGGGATCTCGAGCTTTCCTTCCGAAAGGTAAACATACCGTTGGCTCTAAGACTGCTCAAAGTGGCTACTTCAGGTTTGGCTGAGGTTGTACACGAGCGGTGCAGATGAGAATTACTCCATGGCATTGAAGGAATTCGTCAAGGTCAGGCCCTCGATCTTTCGTCAGGACAAGAACATGTCGTGACACTCTGACAGGCTACGGTCATGGCCTTTGACCGAGGATACTCCATCCAAGCATTGGTAGAGATTATCTCCATCTCAATGTGGACAGCAGTGAATGATGGTTCTGTCTTAACGAAAGATCTTCGAGCTAGGGCGGCATGAGATGGAAACAGGTGTGCCAAGGCATAAACCCAAGCCAGCCTGACTGGTTTGCTGGTCGTCAGGGGATCCGAACATCGACAAGACCATCCGGCTCACCGAACAAGAAAGAGACGTGCGTGAGGTTGGACACGATGTTTGTAGCATTCAAGGGTGACTTACAAAGTCCCTCAGGTTTGGCTCACCTTGATCTACTTGACGCTACATCGTCTCCAGTAGGCCCTCTCCTCCCTTTTGGACGTGCGCTCTCTCGCTTGCTCCGGCTGATCTCTCCTTGTTCGCTCTGTTCTCTCATCTGCCAGGTACAAGTCCAAGTCAGGAGAAAGCCCTCCCCTGCCCGAAGACACCCGTGCGCTCCAGGTTCACTCAGTCAGTAGCGAGGAGAGTCGGTGACGGATCCGCAGGCGCTAGTTCAAAACACTTGCAATGCTCTTGAAGCTGGGTTTACGTTGGAGGGGCTGAAGCTTGAACTATCTTTGAGGTGACACATGCTGTCCTTTCCGACTTACTTGACTCTTTTTGCGAAGGAAATCGCAAGAAAATCAAGAGACGATGACTCCTGTTCAGGTGATGACCTCAACTGTTTTCTGTAGTGAGAGGACTACGCAGTTGTCTCTCAGGTCTCAGTGGACAAGAATCATATACTTGACCAATGATGTAATAAAGTCAAAACGATAGACGGACGGTTCTTCGGGGCCATGTTTGTGCTGCCGCAAGTTCACACGCTCAATTCAGTGCATTTATTGCTTGACGGGACTCGGACCAACTCGACGTGAGCAGCTTCTCTACTCCACTTCGAGAACCAGGTCACCCGGTTGATGAACTTCTGTCTCAGTTTACCCCTCAGCGCACGATCTGGCACTCAATTATGTTTAAGTACAAACCTTGGGATCTTTGAGCAGCAGCCCATCAGCTTGGTGGCTGTCGCTGACAAGTTTCTTCATGGACTGCCCTTCTTCTCCGCCATCCTGGGCAGGACCACGCACAAGGCGACCTGCAGGCACCGCAGCCCGTTATGGACTGATGCGCATGAGAAGTGCAATGCCGTCCTCAGCACCTCATCAAAGATTCAGGAGTGAGATGCCGCGTCCATGTGCAAGGCGTACCCGGCACCAGGCAGAACCTGAAGGCTACTGGAGGCGGATGGCATGGGTTAATCCTGGACTTCAGCATGTCACATGTTTTTGACAATGATGGGATACTGGACCTTGCTCGGAGCAAACTGCAAGCAGCAGTACAGAGGAAGATCCGAGGGCATCGTAACGCATATGCTCAGCACGTCCCGCCAAAGGCCTTTCTTCCCATCATCGCCATTACTGATGGACGCTTGCAGGATTATGAGTTGCGCTTCCTGTGGTGGCTGGCTGTTCGCTTGGCGAACAAGGAAACGGCACGCAGTTACTAAGTGCAGATGTTCGTACTTATTCAACTCGCATCGGTGGGTAGGAACGGGAGTGGCGGGGGGTGGGGGGTAGTGACTATGAAGTGGGGGAGATTTTTTTCATGGCTGGTCGTATCCTTGACTATTCAACCCCACTCTACCCCTCTGATATCCATCACGTCTGCTCCCTATAAAAGTTGCCGTCGCGTCCCTACACGCAATTCAACCAGCGCGAACGATGAGCGAGACCATCCGCGTGTTCCCAAGAAAGAAGTTGCTCCAGCAGACCTCCTCGCCTGCTTGCAGGAAGAATCCAGGCGTTAGCCTCAAGGCTTCCTCCCTCCAAGCTCTCTTCCACCTCCCCCAGACCAAAGCTGCCGCCTCCCTGGTACCCCTTCCTCTGCTTTCCCCCGTCGTTGCCGGCTGACAGACATGGTGCAGGGGCTGTCGCTCACGGCGTTCAAGAGCGCGTGCCGCCGCCTCGGCATCGCTCGCTGGCCGTACGAGCGCAAGTCTCGCCGGGAGCGAGCGGGGGCCGCGCACGAGCAGGAGCCGCAGGAAGGGGAGGAAGAAGCCAGGCAGGACGAGGTCAAGCAGGAAGATGGCGACGAGCCGCTGGAGCCGGAGTGGATCGACTGGTACATGTCCGCCAGCGAGAGCGAAGGCACGGGGCTGCCTTGGGAGGGCGGAGCCTAGTCGACGAGGGGCGAGGCGGTGGGAAGGGAAGCAGAGGAGGAGCATGCGGATGTACGATAGGACGATGAAAGAAGTGGAGCTAGGCTTGCGAATGTCTCCTTTGATGTTAGGGGCGGGGCAGGAGGCGGGGCAGGGAGGAGGGCTGATGCAGCCCAAGGAAGGTGGCAGAAGTAGAAAGTAGAAAGAGACCACAGAAGCTGGGTATCCCCTTCGGTCACATACCCAAATAAACTAGACCAGGATTGTTTGTGAGAGCCTATGTGCGGCCGAATAACATTCCAGCTCTCTAATAAACTCACGTAACAACAATAATAGGAGAGGTGGAGGGGCTTCAGGCTTGTTGCAGTAGAGAAGGGAATGAAAATGCTTGTATACAACATGCGAGAGAGGGGGGTCACGACATGATGAGAGAAGCTTTTCTCTGCAGCTTCTCAAAGGGCTCAAGTGTTTCTCAAACTGCGCTCCATGATTTGAACAGGGACGGAATGGAAGGGGTCAAGCGTTCAACCGTTTTGGTTAAAGTGGCTTACATGATGTACACAATTAAGTATTGCCTTGGGTTTCACACATAGTAATTTCACAAAAACCAAACATGCCTACGAGACGGAGCACCCATTCCGAGCACAGGCTGAATCCGATGATCATGCAAATGTAGATATGACTCTGAACGACCGCAGGCCGCGCAGAAATCTTTTGAGATCAACTTTTTGCCAAAGTGATCAGATAATCAGCCTACATGATACAGCAGCCGGGGGCTACGTACTGCAGCGATATCTTTGAGCAGCAAATAACTGACAAGTAACCGACGGTAGTTAAGCCTAGAGTTGATCACGTCCGTCTGCGGCGATCCGACTGGATATTGACTAAAAGTTTTGAACTCTTCGGAGCGTCGGGCAATCCCGCGGCTGCTCGCACGATCTTCATCACACCCCGTCAGATGCCTTCGGACATCCGGTATGATCACTACTAGTCATTGACCGTCAGCATACTTGCGTTGCCTGCGTGACGGAAAGTTCTATTTCCGGGCCCGCCTAGGAGTTGCAATGCCATGGACGGAGTCCGGGACTCGTATTAACTTTTACTACAGGAGAATCAACCCCTACCGGACCCTCCTGATTCCCACCCAGATAACCCCTACTCCCTGCTAACGCCAGACAAACCCTGTTGAATATCCAAATTTATTACTCAATACTGTCAGTTCCGACTGGCACCCCAAAGCAATTCAGACCGTCGCAAGGCAGTTTTGGATATCCAGCCGTGACTACAGGAATTGTCACGAATGTTTTGCCCCGTATATGGTACCAGAGGGACAAAACCTGTAACCCATCCCTTGCGTTCCCTCTTGGGCGCCCCTACTTAGGGATGGAAGGTAGATCAATCCTCTGCCGTGATCCTCATACCATGACAGCATCCAGCTCCAGCGTGCTTGTATACCCCAGACGAAAGACCCTCCAAGGCTTCCTCATGCTCTACAAGGGCGCGAGAGGCGTCAGCCTCAAGGCCTCCTCCCTCCAAGCTCTCTTCCACCTCCCCCAGACCAAAGCTGCCGCCTCCCTGGTACCCCTTCCTCTGCTTTCCCTCGTCGTTGCCGGCTGACAGACATGGCGCAGGGGCTGTCGCTCACGGCGTTCAAGAGCGCGTGCCGCCGACTCGGCATCGCTCGCTGGCCGTACGAGCGCAAGTCTCGCCGGGAGCGAGCGGAGGACGAGGTCAAGCGGGAAGGGGAGCAGGATGACGAGCACGACCGGGAACAGGAAAAAGAACAGAATTGTATGGAAGAAAATCAGCAGGATGGCGACGAGCCGCTGGAGCCGGAGTGGATCGACTGGTACATGTCCGCCAGCGAGAGCGAAGGCACGGGGCTGCCTTGGGAGGGCGGAGCCTAGTCGACGAGGGGCGAGGCGGCGGGAAGGGAAGCAGAGGAGGAGCATGCGGATGTACGATAGGACCAGACGAGGCTGATGGGTATAGGAGAGGTGGAGGGGCTTCAGGCTTGTTGCAGTAGAGACGAGAATGAAAATACTTGTATACAACATGCGAGAGAGGGGGGTCACGACATGATGAGAGAAGCTTTTCTCTGCAGCTTCTCCAAGTTGATTTTGTAGTTCACAACCTGAAGTGCATCTTTCTTGTTGAGCTGACCAAATGACTTCACGACATGCTTGCAGCAATTGTGTTTTTTTTCTTCCAAACCACTTCTTTTCGAGGCCCTCAGGGGCCGCGCACGAGCAGGAGCCGCAGGAAGGGGAGGAAGAAGCCAGGCAGGACGAGGTCAAGCAGGAAGATGGCGACGAGCCGTTGGAGGCGGAGTGGATCGACTGGTACATGTCCGCCAGCGAGAGCGAAGCTTGAATAATGTGGTAACGTTGGGGAAACCGCTCAAATGATAGCCGCCACCTTGACTTGCTGATGGACGTCAGGGTTTCAATCCTTTACTCAAAGTTAAGTAAAAGAATCAATCAATGAAGTCTCAACTGCGTCGCACGGGAAGTAAACTCCAGCGCTTTCAGGTCAGCCAGTCTCCGAGGGGCGCTTTTCCAATCCGAGTAACCCCAGCCCTACCCCTAAAATTATGGATCTCGGTACCGGTCCCATTTTAGAAGAGCCCCCGACAACAAGGAGGAACCAAAGAATCGCAGGCCTGGGCGCCATGGAACCAACGCTGCGAGTGTTCGCGAGGAGGAAGCAAAGCAGCGGCTTCCTCATGCTCTACAAGGGCGCGAGAGGCGTCAGCCTCAAGGCCTCCTCCCTCCAAGCTCTCTTCCACCTCCCCCAGACCAAAGCTGCCGCCTCCCTGGTACCCCTTCCTCTGCTTTCCCTCGTCGTTGCCGGCTGACAGACATGGCGCAGGGGCTGTCGCTCACGGCGTTCAAGAGCGCGTGCCGCCGACTCGGCATCGCTCGCTGGCCGTACGAGCGCAAGTCTCGCCGGGAGCGAGCGGGGGCCGCGCACGAGCAGGAGCCGCAGGAAGAGGTCAAGCAGGATGGCGACGAGCCGCTGGAGCCGGAGTGGATCGACTGGTACATGTCCGCCAGCGAGAGCGAAGGCGCGGGGCTGCCTTGGGAGGGCGGAGCCTAGTCGACGAGGGGCGAGGCGGCGGGAAGGGAAGCCGGATGTACGATAGGACCAGACGAGGCTGATGGGTATAGGAGAGGTGGAGGGGCTTCAGGCTTGTTGCAGTAGAGACGGGAATGAAAATACTTGTATACAACATGCGAGAGAGGGGGGTCACGACATGATGAGAGAAGCTTTTCTCTGCAGCTTCTCCAAGGCGTCTCCTCGCAGCTGTGGAGAGCAAGTAAGCGGTTCAGGGTCGTGCACTCAGACTGGAACAGCAGGGAGGGGTAAAGGTCACCTGCTCTTTGAGGGTTCTGTAGATCACAGGAACAAGATTCACTAGGACCTGGGTTGGGCAGCTATGTCAGTCGACGAGATTCAACAGTAACCGTCTACCGGCCCGTAGACGATCCCGGAGAACCCAAACACCCAGATACCCGCGAAGACACTTAGACCTTAGGAGCAGGTCACGGATGAACCTTGCGAGGACAGGCAGGAAGTCCAATTCCTTGTCAAGTTCTCACCAGTGAAGTATGGCGGCACGCTTGTGTCCTGCGCTTTCATCTCCTTGTACCTTCGTCCATCATCACAGCTCTTCATGTGCTTGCCTACCACGTACATCCATGCCGGCGCAAAGAACCACACACAGACTTGGAGAATGAGATGCAGCATGGCAAGCTGAGTCAGACGCGTCAGGGTTCGATGAACACGAGCTCCACATTATCAGCTACCAACGGATAACCCTCAAGCCAAATCTGCATGGTTGCTGGCAAGAAGACTGGTATACGTGAAGATAATGGAGGAACGAGTGAGTTGCAATCAAGTACGAGAATGATGTGCAGCTGTCATTCAAATAGCAGGAACCACGGACTCACCAATGAATGATGGAACTATCGGTACTACCGCCATCATTCCAGAGCAAAGGGCTGAAAGGACTATCAGGCAACTCCTGAGAGAGCTAACAGACCTGGCAAGTAGACCATGATGAAAGAATTCGGAAGTAGATGGGAGACAATGTCTAAAGAGAGCCAAGACCAACCCTTCCCGTTTCAAGTCAAGTACCGGTTTCAACATCAGGAGGGAATACCACAAAGAAGCAGAAGAGCTTCACGCTTGCTTCGAGAACCTTCACAGTCCATCAGTGAAGAAACATGTTCAGCTCTGCCACTTTGGCCACGAGCGGCGAGGCACTTCTCTCTTGCTTTCTTCGCTTCTTTCCATCGGAACCCCCGGGAGCAGAAGGCATCAAGTCTCGGATAAATCGCTCCGGTTCCTGAATTTGATCAATGACTTAAGGGGTTTCGAAGTCTCTTACCTGATCCATCTGCAACATGTAGAAAACTACAACCAAAAAAATGCAAACACTGAAGACAAGCTCAAACTGTATAGCGGTCAAGAAAACAATCAACAGCGTGCAAAGCAATAAGATACCGTAGTTGTGACAAAAGATGAAGTAAAGGTTAATAAAACAATAGCAGCTTTGATTGTGAATCCAAATAATACTGACAATCATCGTCACAACGGGACTGAAAGGTGCTCTTGAACCAAGGGAAGTCAAATCGAGAACCTGAGGAAGCAGAGGATATGTAGTTGAGGCCAGAAACCAGATATCGCTGTTAAAAACGGAAAGAACACAGATCATCTCCTACTTACTAGAATCCGATACCATTTACCTGGAGGTATCGCACATCAATCCATGAGGTTACTGTGGTATAGATGTCCTTTGCTTGATGTTGGGACAACGAACGCAAGTTTCATGTATGATTTCATACCTGATATGTTTCAATGATTGTTGTCCAAAGTTCCTTGTTGCACTTTCATGAAGTGGATTGAAATGAGAAGTGCAAAACCTTCAGATCGGCTTCTAAAGAGCTCAACGTCGCATTCCTCCTCAGAATTTTTGTTACTGTGTCGTGACACCTGACAATAGATGTAATCTCCTGAGAACTGCCATGCAAACAAGGCCGGACTACCTTTGCACGAGCTCATCCCCTTTAGCCATGAGTGCCTTGTGTTGAGATGACTCTGTCTCGTTGGAAAATCTTCTCTCGAGCACGTTGTACAGTGAAGACAGCTGCAACAAGCATCACACCGAGCCATTTAAACGATCTAGAACCACCTCTTTCGAAGCTTCTGTTGCATTCAGACCACTTTGAGATACCTGTCGCAACAACCACCTAGACGCCAAGGTTGATCAGCAATGTACCACCTTTGCGCACAAACTGACTCCAGCAAGCTTTCTCTCAGTTCTCGTTCACTCCACTTGAACCAGTTCTTGTCCACGCTTAGCTCCCCAAGTGCCTCCTGAACAATGCAAGGCATGACAAGTCATGTTGACGTCAAATTGAGACGACGCATGGTGATGTTGACCTTGAGAGCTCCTGAATGCTCAAGAATGTCCTGGGGATTCAAAATCGACACGACCGACGGAATTCTCCCTCCGATGGCGAATCGAAGGCCCTCCCTTTGCGAAACAACGTCAGTGATGTAAAAGGGGGATGATCAGAAAGGTTGTGGATCAAAGACCTCGGAGGAGATCCGATGCGATATTGTGTGTCAAGGAGTTTCTCATTGCGAGAGAAGTACAGGTTTCCTGCACGATCAGCGGCGTCAACGACAGAGAAGACCACAAGACCGCAAGAACAAGAACAAGAGCGACCTGCGTCAACGTCATACAGGACACCTGATACAGCCGTTACTTGCTCCAACAGAAAACGAATGCAGCAGCACCGACTGTATCTCCAACCCCATAACTCCACATCCCACTGAAGTCAAAGGAAGCAAAACCGTCGTTGGTGCTGTACAAACTCCTTCAACTGTACAGCAGCATGCCCCTATCCATTCCTTCACTGACCTGTGACCTTCACTGGTGTAGCTAAATCCTCCTCCTGCCCCCAGGACAATCGACGTAGCGTGATCAGCCCGTGCCAGACCGATGCGTACGTCATTGCAGCTCTCTTCAATCTGATCCCTGGGGTCAGAGTAGACTGGCGTGCATGTGAATACCTTGAACTCGATGTAATGCTTCCCCTTCTCGCCTGCAGACTGCCAGTCACGACACGAGTGAAGGGTGCATGAGTTTACTTGGGAAGAAGATAGGATCGAGCAACGCTGTGCTTGGAGCCTTGCTACCGAACCGGATGGATGTGCTGGAGGAAGGAGTCAGATTGTCACTGTTGCGCTTCTTCTATCACCCATTTTTCGTCACGTTGCTCATTGCATCCCAACTGACGATCTTTGGGGTCAAAAACGCCGCACAAGTCTCGGTCATGTTGTCGCATATCTGTCAAGTCAGGTCACTGCCGTAGAGATCGGACTCGTTTGCTCTCGCCTCAGGGGATCTCAAAATGGCGGTCCCGAACCGGCCCAGAATGCTGCACGAGATTTCATTGAGAGAGTAACGGAAGAGCAGCATTGCAACAACCTCGATCGGCCCTTGTTGAGACTTTCGCTCAGGATTTCAATCATCTGAAACAGCTCGTAGAGCACGGAGGCGCAGACCCAGAGGGATACAGTGAAGGAGACAAAGCAAGCAAAAGCGATGATGATGACGGCAAGAATGACTCTCCTCTTGCGCCTGATTGTTGATCGTGTAAACAAAATCGAACAGAGAGAGAGAGCGCGCAAACAAACCGAGAGAGGGGAATTCGAAAAATTGACATCTGCGTCCATTCACGTACGGAGAGCTGCACCAAACAATGAGATTGAATGCTTCGACAAGACAAGGATAGAAAGACTGACAGACCTTGAAAGGAACAATCCTGCATATGATGCTGCTGCATATCGGGATGGCGATGTTGAATCCAAGGACGATAAGGGGATGGACGAGGAAGAGGAGCGAGAAAAAGAGAATCCCTGAACCACAAGTCACCCTAGAGTCAAAGTCAGTGATTGCAACGAGCACCTGGTCCCCATCCGAGCCATTCCACAGGCCTACTGATCGCAACCCAAATCGCACACGCTGCAGGAAGTCAACAGCAGGTTCGGATACCGCGAGCAAGAGAACCTAGGACAAGACAGCCGGTGAGAGCATCTCCAGTGATCTTCTCAAGAGCACTGTTGTTCATCACTGTCTTAATGTTTCCATCTCAGAGTGTCGCATCCAACCTCCTTGAAAAGTCGAAGGACAGCAGTGACTCGGGCATCTTCAGCAGCCCTTTGCTGATCCTCCACACGATCAGAAGCAGGAACCTCTCTCTTTCTATCTCCTTTAATAGCTGTCCAGATGTCAACAACAGCCATCAATCTCATGCGAAAACCTTGTTCTGCCATCTTCGCAGAGGAATGCTGCACAATACTGTACACCAGCCAAACGTCAGAAGCGGAAGTTGCTTTCGAGAACAGAATACCTGCCCAGGTGATGGGGGTGAAATAGACAGAAAGCAAGAGGTAATTGAAATAAACCTGTACATAGACAATGTCACGATCACTCATGACCAGGACAGAAAGATCTCAAAAGAGAGGCATTACAACGGCCCACAAGATTGCTGCTGCACTCAAGAATACAGTAGTGTAGAAAGCCTGGCATGTTCCATCAAGATTATCCTCCACTCTGTTGGGAATCATCTGTAGCATGACAGCACCTGCTTGTATGCGAGCTCTTCTATCTGATCTGAGAGAAATGATTCAGTCATCAAAGCTACACCCCTGCTTTCCTGACCTCCTTTGTTATTCGCAAACACGCTCATGTCAAGCTCGGATTCTTCCTCGTCGAAGATTCGCTGACGAGCTGTGAAAGGAGACAAGCTCTGAGTCCTTCGAGCTCGTCAGCCATCTCGCGGCCAGCAAGACGGGGAGAACCTCTCAGGTCGAACGTCCACAGGAGTGTAACTCTGCTTCATAACGTGCCTTTGTTGCCCTTGCAGCAAGATCAGCGACGATGTCGAGGCCTCTAGGCTTGATGGCGACTGTCTGCTGCACTCCATCATCAACAAACTACCCCGTCTCGTACCCTCCTCCTCATCGCTCTACCTCTCGCCGATGCACGATGCGCCTTTTCCCGCATGTTTGTATCGATTGTTTTTCCCTGTAGGTCTACGGCACACCATGGCCTTTCCATACTAGTACGGCTACTAGAACATTTCAAACCTATAACCCCTTACCCCTCGGATACATGCCTCGCCACATCCCCATACTTGAGAGTCTTTACTCAAAGTTGAGAGAGTAGTGACCAGTCCAGTCAGGTCAGTCAGGTGACCAGTAGTGTGACCATATGACTGACGGGCCCGGGGTTCCCGGCGGCGGGCCGGACCGGCGGGATGATCGGACTCGAACTAGACTCTGAGCTGAGGACTCAGGCTCATAGACTGAGCGTCAAGAAGTACAAATCAGTACGGGCCTCGTACTGAAGTACCTACGGTACTGTGTACTAGTCACCGACTTCAAGTATCTTTGCTATGGGTAGATCACGGCGAGCCTCTATCAGTGACTATCGATAATTCATCCCTGACTTTGGAGCGAATGGTTCAAGAAAGCGTCGAAGACAAACCCATTGATGGCTCGGGGCACCTGCATTGGTGGTCATGCCATGCAAACAGCAGCGAGGGAGGACGACGTAGGACATGAACCCGGAGGCTTCGGGGAACTTGGCAAGGACCTTAGTGAACTCCGTGACCCGAGCGCATGCTCTCACTCTCTCCTGCATGCTTCGCCGGTGCCTGCAGAGCGAGTGAACTAAACGCTCAGAGTGAGGAGAAGTTTCACACGTTTCAAACGCAGCGGTATGATCGCCCTTGCTCTGGGCGAGGGCGTCGGCAAGCTTGACGGCGCTCTCGATGCTGAGCGCAGCACCCTGACGTGATGAGTCACAATTCCTTGTTCAAGCATCCTCACCACAACCTGAGCCAGGTTCGGGGAGAGAGGATGGCACGCGTCTCCCAGGAGCACAGCTCTGCCAGAGGACCAGGAGGACAGCGGTCGGGTAAGCTCGTGAACAGGCTCCCAAAGGATGGCGCCGGACTTACATCCACCTGGTAGGAGACATCAGTCAGCAGATCCTGACAGGGCAGGGGCAAGGAAGCAGATCACCTTGCTTGATGCTTGATCTCAAGATCGATGGCACGGGCTCGTGCCAGGAGGACAGCTGCTCTAGAACCTCCACTGGCACGTCCGCCGGCCCCTCCCTGTCTCCGTGGACTGTGATGAACCAGAACAATCTGTCCCCCTTCAAGGGAACCATGGCGATGCGCAAAGGACTCCCCTGCAACAGGAGGATCAGACTCTCCTTCCTTCTCCCTGGGCTCCTCACCGTTGCCTTGAGACGCCCCAGCGTTTCAAAGGCAAGACTGCCCAGAGGCCGATCAACGATATTGCTGTAGCAAGTTTTGCCGGTGAAGGCCATCTTCGAATCTGGGAACACCAACCTCCTCACAGTCGAGAAGCAACCATCTGCACCAATCAGGATGTTCCCTTCCTCCTCCGTCCCATCTCGGAAACGCACTTTGACCTTGTTCGAGGCTTGCTCCATGTGTTCCAAATCTTTGTTCCACCCAATGTCAAGCCTTGCTGCTCCTTCCCCAGCAAGGGCCTTCAGCAAGTGCGACTGCTGGATGCACGCCACCCTTCTTCCATTCTTTTCCGATGATCTGCATGACGACAACCATGTTCCCCGCACATCACGGTAGGAAGCTGGCTTGGTAAAGAATGCTTGCTGTCTCAAGAACTCCCCCAGCCCAACCTCTACCAGACACTTCTGACTCACGTCCCACAGTCCAAGCCCTCGATCCTGTCGAGCTTCGGGCCCAGCGGCTCGCTCGAACACCTTGACATCGATTCCCCTCAGAGCAAGAGCTCGAGAAATCGTGAGGCCAGCAACACCCCCTCCAACAACAAGCGCTCTCATGCCTGAGATCTCAGCCCTTGAGGTTCAGTTTCCCGTCCTCTTCACAAGCAGAGTGACACTGCCCTCCTCCTCCCCTGCCATGCGGGTTCTGGAAAATTTCGGGCGATGACCCACGACCGGGGTGGGATCAGAGTGGGGATGGGGGTACCAGAATTAGATACAAGGGGGAGGCCGTGAAAGGAGCCGGACAAGGAGAAGGAGCAGAACAGACGAGGAGACAAGAGGTGAAGGATACAACCATGGCTTCCTCCATAGCGATGTTTCTCCTCCTCTTGTCACTCTATCACGTTCCTTCGTGCTGTTTCAGCCCGTCGCCCCTCCCCATCGTCGGGCAACGGCGGATCCTTAGCTCTGTCGCTCCTTCTCCCAGAGCCGGATCTCTCTTTCTTCATGGCCTGCGCATGTCTGAGGCCCCGCATCGACCGAGACGGTTCATAGGCTCTAGGAGACTGCATCAAATCAAGAACGATATCGCGCACAACCCGTCCAAGTGGAAGGACCACAAGAAGCTGTTGGGCTCTCGAAGGCTGGGGTACGCCTACCACACCTGGAGGGGAGCCGTCAACCTTTCCATGCCCATAGAGATCATTGCAGCACCAACACAACAGCACCAATACAACCACCATGACGTGAAGATCAAGAAGAAAGAATCCGCAACCTCCTCGTTCGATGAGCCTCAAGGAGCGACAGACTCGGTAGAGAAGAGCATCGAGATCGAGGCCGGGATAGAGCAGTGCTACCGCGTGGCTTGCGGCTTCGAGGACTACCCCAAGTGGGCGGGGTCGGTACAGCACGTGAAGGTGCTGGAGGAGGAGGCTCCGGGGCTTGGCAGGCGGGTGGAGTACGCGATAGGAGCCTTCGGTCAGCGGCTCGAGTACACGCTGGAGTACGCACATGAAGCACCGGAGCGGGTGCAGTGGCGGGCAGTAGACGGGAGCGTGAAGCTGCTGGTAGGCAGCTACCGCTTCGAGGCGCTGGGGGAGGGCAGGACGCGAGTCACGTACAAGCTCGCCATCGACCCAGGCTTCCCGGTACCGGGGCTCCTGAAGCAGGCGAGCACGAAGCTGATCGTGAGCACGGCACTCAACGAGCTCAAGCGCTACACTGAGCTGCCAAGCACGCGAGCAGCACTAGAGGCAGCACAGCCCGCATGGAGGGAAGCGGCCAAGACGGAGGAGGAGCCGGTCAAGACCGAGGCCAAGTCAGCAGAGGCGAAGCTGCACAGGCAGGACACCGCGACGCTTGAGGCAGCAGCTACAGACTCGGTAGAGAAGAGCATCGAGATCGAGGCCGGGATAGAGCAGTGCTACCGGGTGGCTTGCGGCTTCGAGGACTACCCCAAGTGGGCGGGGTCGGTACAGCACGTGAAGGTGCTGGAGGAGGAGGCTCCGGGGCTTGGCAGGCGGGTGGAGTACGCGATAGGAGCCTTCGGTCAGCGGCTCGAGTACACGCTGGAGTACGCACACGAAGCACCGGAGCGGGTGCGGTGGCGGGCAGTAGACGGGAGCGTGAAGCTGCTGGTAGGCAGCTACCGCTTCGAGGCGCTGGGGGAGGGCAGGACGCGAGTCACGTACAAGCTCGCCATCGACCCAGGCTTCCCGGTACCGGGGCTCCTGAAGCAGGCGAGCACGAAGCTGATCGTGAGCACGGCACTCAACGAGCTCAAGCGCTACACTGAGCTGCCAAGCACGCGAGCAGCACTAGAGGCAGCACAGCCCGCATGGAGGGAAGCGGCCAAGACGGAGGAGGAGCCGGTCAAGACCGAGGCCAAGTCAGCAGAGGCGAAGCTGCACAGGCAGGACACCACGACGCTTGAGGCAGCAGCTACAGACTCGGTAGAGAAGAGCATCGAGATCGAGGCCGGGATAGAGCAGTGCTACCGGGTGGCTTGCGGCTTCGAGGACTACCCCAAGTGGGCGGGGTCGGTACAGCACGTGAAGGTGCTGGAGGAGGAGGCTCCGGGGCTTGGCAGGCGGGTGGAGTACGCGATAGGAGCCTTCGGTCAGCGGCTCGAGTACACGCTGGAGTACGCACACGAGGCACCGGAGCGGGTGCGGTGGCGGGCAGTAGACGGGAGCGTGAAGCTGCTGGTAGGCAGCTACCGCTTCGAGGCGCTGGGGGAGGGCAGGACGCGAGTCACGTACAAGCTCGCCATCGACCCAGGCTTCCCGGTACCGGGGCTCCTGAAGCAGGCGAGCACGAAGCTGATCGTGAGCACGGCACTCAACGAGCTGAAGAAGTATGTGGAGAGAAGTCAAGTTTCCACTTAGATTCATATAGCATTTTCCCTTGTTTCAATCTGCACTGATATCTTGTTACTCCAAACCGATTTCTCCTGCGCGTGCCGTACTTTCCAAACATTCAAGCGGAAGCTTATACTTTAAGAGAACATTGTTGTTTTTTTGTTGAGCTTCGAAAGTGAAAGCTAATGCTGAACGTGCTGATGGTTTCATCAACACGCATACAAATGGATATCTTCATTCAAGGCATGACATGGGCGTTTGCTACAGAAACCAATCGTCATCGCTATCTCACTTCCACTTGTCTAATTTCCTGATGGACGCTGATAACGCTCGAGAGCATGCGCTGTAATGGCGCAGCCTGCCGATTGCCGTCTGCTGCCGGGTCAAGCTTGCGAAAAAGTTGCGCCATCTCCTGCCCGATGTACTCGGCAAAGACCTGAGATGATGACGAATGAGCAAGAGCGCGTGCTCACAAGGTAGACGGACTCAAACAAGAGAGGATGGGGATGTACCTTGTAACCTTCCTCGTTGGGATGAACACCGTCTCCTGCAACGATCTCTCCGCATCTTTCCTTTGCTTTCCTCCAAATCTCGATTGCAGGTTTCGGGATAAAATGGATCCAAGGCTGCTGTGTCGCCATGCATCTCTTTTCTTCGTCAAAAATCTGCGAAAGGCGAACTGCAGCCTGTCGAGGCGTTCAGTTCTCTTCAACAAACATGAATTTAGCCAGATTTACCGTCTTCAACGGCTCTGGTAATCTAGTTTCTTCCAGCGGGATAGCCGGCAAAAAAATGATACACTCTTCCCCCACCTTACAAGGGTTCAATGAAAGCATACACTGTAGCGCAACCATACCTGTGCCTTGAGATCAGCAATGAAATTGTGAAGATCCTGCTTGAAAACTTTCGAGGTCCTTCCCTGAAGATCGAGTACAGAAGTAAGTGCAAGAACAGCTCATAACAACTCCGACTTGTGAAGAAACTCACCATGAAGATTCGTTTCAGATCGTTCAACCCGCACAGAACAACGACGGCATCAACCTTCACTTGTGGTTGCTTCGACAACTGGGCATCTGCCATTGACCTAGTCGTTGCAACAGGAGAGCCATCCTGCTGAACGACCATGCTTGCATGCAAACCAGAAGTCTGTGCAGTGCTGTGCAGTGCGTCTTCTTGCTCGCTCTGGAACTTCTTGACTGTCTCGAGAACATTCTTGTGAATCGTTCTTACATCCCCACCATTCACTCCCAGAGCCTTCCACGAAACATCCACCTAGGTTCAGAGCTGTCAGGGCAGGAGTCACCATGGACATGCTCATGCATACCTTGAGGAGGTTGGCCAGCCTCTTACAGATGATCTGGGGCATCACCGGAGCTTCCTTGCAGCCAATACCAACAACCAGGGAATCGCCTATGATGAGAACATTCCTCCGCCTGGTCGAGACTTCTCTCGTGCTTCTTAGCCTTTCGACCAGCGACTGTTCCTCAGAAAATGACGAGTGCTGGTCTGCATTGCTCTCCTGCCAGAGCTCCACCCCATGGGTTGCCCCACCCGAAGGCCGCGGTAAAGGTACGTAGGTAGATTGTAGATACGCTGTCTGTGCGCATACCAGGCCACCTGCACCTGCTACAACACTTGCCAGCCGCTTCGGGGTTACAAACTTCAGAGTCCTCCAAGACAGAGACATTTCCTGATATATCTCCCGTCCGCAATCTACTGTGACCTGGGATGGAATGAAATTCAGGACAGAAGCAAGAAGGTAGTGAAATATTTCTCAATTTGTCAGAAATCAAAGTTCGAACAAGTGTGAGGAAGTTGACGGGAAAGTCGGCATAAAAGCAGTTGGGTCGGGAGTAAGAGACAAGGATGACAGAGAAAGGAAATGCAATTGCTCAGAAAAATGCTAGTAAACAGTCACCCGGAATGCTTTCCATGTGTGTAGAATCAACAACTTCATCTCTACGATGTCGTGCTCCTTTCTTCTCCTACTTTACACTCTATCTCTGCTTCTTTCTTTTACCCTGCCAACATCCTGGCGGCAGCAGCGCAAAAATAAAAAGCGCATTGTCCTCGGACATGTGCGGGGACGCGGGCAAGGCAGGGGGCGGTGGGAGCAGGGGGGGGTATTGAAAATCGAGTAGGTAGGGGTCACAGTTCAGGGGGAAAATGATTGAAATTCACGGTAAATGTAGGGGTGGGGGTATTCAGGCTGCTGAGATAGGGGTGGGGTGATGGCATCCACGAAGTGCCGGTAGACAACAAACCAGCTTGAAACAAAGTTGAAATCGATTTTAACGAGTGGTCCAAACTCTTTCATCGAACTTTGAAATTAAATAACAGAAATATCAGTATCACATTTGAGAATATTCAGATGCGTCAAAAGAAGCAACTTGATTGAAAGTGGGGTTGCAGGTACCACCCCACCCAGAGATACCCCCTCTTCAAAGTCCAAGTACCCCTCAATGGCCTTATAAGTGACCCCCCACGCCCCCCATTCTCGTCCCACAACCCCCACCCCCCAACCTCATGAACTTTGCGAAAATTCATCCAAGAATCGAACTTCGATTTGTTATCTAGGTGGCCCGGTCTTGCTCGAATTCGGAGCTCCGTGTGAAATGCAATGGCAGTGGTACAGAAAGAACGGGAGAGAATAGTGATAGAGAAGGAAAGAAAGTGAAGAGGAATAGGATATGACACTGATAAAGACGGAGAAAAAAATCAATAGTAGATGCTCATGCTCCTAGGCTGGCTGGAAAGCAGGTATATATCAAGGCAGGAGTTGCAGAGATGCGGCTACAGGGTTTCGAAACGAAGAGAGGAGGCACGGGAAAGGAAAAAGTCAACATTTTCCCCTGAGTTTCGCTGAAATTCTGATAGGATACTTTCTGTGATGTGAGGACAAAGTTTGCAATCAGCATGAGCTCTCGATTCTGCGGCACCTGCATTCTCTTGCTCACTGCAGGAAGGATCGGTCAGACCTTTGGAGATGCCCAAAGGTCGTCGTTGCAGTCTGGTCTGAGAATCATGAAGGTAGAGAATCTCAGTGCACTAGGCATTCTATGAATGGCAACTCACACATGATGTTCTCCAGCAGGGCTTCAGAAGGCACTATCACAGTGATCGAATCAATGGATCAAAAGCTTGTGATCCCGGCGATAGAACACAGGATAGAAAGGTTGAAGCAGGAAGGAGAGTACAGCTACACCGCTCTCTGTCTAAACTTGGGCTCTGCTCACGTGGTGTTGCATGGAAATTAATTAAGGTATGACACGACTGCAGCCAACCCTTGCAGGATTGACCATGATCAGGAGAGGAGGGTGCTCGTGAACGGGAAGATCATGAGTGATCCTCTCACCTGGATTGACATGCAATCCGATCAAGTCACAGTGGACAACGTCGTGTCTGAGAGAAGAAAGGAGACGCGTGTGTGGATGATGAACAAGCCGAGGGGCCTGGTAAGGTTTGTGGTTGAGAGAGGTATCGGACCGATGATTTGTCTTCAAGATTGTAGCGCGTGTGGATGAGAGGGGAAGGCCAACGGTCTACTCTTTGTTTCAGAACCAAAATTTCGTTGAACATGCTTCGACCACCATGACTGGAGATGACAAAGATGGCACATCTAATGAACCATGGCGATTTCCTGTATCACTGCCCTCGCTTGTGATTCACTGTAATGCTGTCAATAGGTGGGCAGGTTGGACGCTGACTCCGAAGGGCTGCTCTTGTTCACGAATGATGGGCAACTGAGTCAAAAGCTTCTAGATCCTACGAGCGGAGTTGAGAAAACCTACATCGTGCAATTGAAAGGTGTCCCCTCGGATGATTGCCTTGTAAAGCTCTCAGAAGGAATCGATCTTGATGGAAAGAAAACTCTTCCTGCCCGTTTTCAGCTCGTTGAAATATTTGACGGTGGAAAAGATGGGAAAACGAAACGAAGTCGGATTCAAGTACAAATCCATGAGGGAAGATTCCGTCAGATCAGGCGAATGTTCCAAATTGTGGTATGTATCCGTCTACCAAGCAGAAAAGATTTTGAGTTTCTGTAATGCAGGGATTCAGAGTTAAGAAATTGCAACGTGTTTGTATTGGTTGCTTAACACTGGGGGAGCTTCCGGTGGGCAAGATCCGTGAACTTGCCAAAGACGAGATCGAAAGATTGATGACTGCTTGTAAAATAAGAGATAGTGGAGGTATGCGGTGAAGGAAAGAGATGAAAGTGTGCCCTTGAGATGAAATATAAACATTTTATTTACAACACTAATCTTCAGTCGGCGAATTTCAAAAAACCGAGATCTTCCTCTTCAGCGAGAAATCACACTGTACAGGAATATCATAAAGAACATCATGGTTAAAGACTTAATGTAGTTCTCTGCGGTACGGCTGTTCAGACCTGTGACGACACCAACAAGAATACAGAGGCGGCCAAACCACACAGTGGCAGATGCAGATGCTATCTGTGCCGCTTGAGCAAGATCAAGAGAGCTAAAATGATTCAATACTTGAGTGGTTTGAGCCAAGTTCGTGCCAACATCCACCAGATCGTTTGCCATGTCAGCTAACGACCTAACATGAAGATCCTTTCTGCAGCTCGGACATCTCAACGCTCGCTTGTCGGAAGGGATGTAGGATAGAATCGATCTGGATGGCATCAATCCGTTGAGCGAGGGGGAGCAAGGTTGTGCACTGAACGCATCAACATTGTAAAGAGAGATCACCACGAGGCACAGGCGGGAAAGCAGCATTTTCTTTTGAGCAAGGCAAGGGTCCAGAATTTCAGTGTGTTCCAACGCAACAGTATCGGAGCTGATGTATAGGAGGTTGATAAAGACTTATTGGGCAAGAAGGAAGATGCGATAATGGAAGATCTTGGAGTACTTGAAGGAGGGAGGAGTGAGTTCAGGAGGATGGGGAGATTCTGCGCACGATCCTGGTATGAGTATATATGCGAAACCCCGGGTTCTCCACCCCCTTCTTTCCCTCACACCACCCCGTCATTTCATATTCAGAAAGGCGGAAACTCCTCCACCCTACCTGAGATACAGACCACCCCACCCTCATTCATTAATCGACGAACTGCAACTTATTCTGTACTACCCTCGTTTTGAGTGGAAATTTCTCCTATAAAAGGGGTACTCGGTACTCCAACGGATCACAAGACCCCACCCTCAATTTCAGGAATCATCCAGTGCATTAAAAACTATAAGTAATTCAAGGAAAAAAAATTAGAAACATCTACCAAGTAAAATGAAAAGGGACACGTCCCACCCCTGTAAAGAACTTAAAAGGGAGAATCTGAGAACCCCCTCCCCCCCCCCACCCCCATAATTCGTGGCAAAAGCTATTGCTCCCTTGTTGACTCTGGAAAGAGGAGGTATACCCACCCCTTCAAAATGAGGATCATTGGAGCATTTTGATCAACGGCTCTTCACTACCCACCCCCAATTACATCTTGAGGTTTCGGAGTGAACGATGGAAAAGTTGCCCAAATGCTCTTCTCAAATTCAAAATTATTGCATTACCAAGTGTTTTATTTTAAATCTCCCCTCAAGTGTTTCTTGGGACGCATTCAGAAAAAGGTTTATACTTTTATAACTTATGTAAAGATCGGTCCAATCGAGTAAGCTGCATTTCGTGTCCGAAGGCGACGCGGCTGTTCCTATCGAAGCGTTCTTTACCACAGACCAAGATTTGTTTTCCTAGGACATGGATACGACTTGATTTGTATGGGGGTCATAGTAAACGAATCTGAAGTTGACATTCTGCCCGATTTGTATTTTGTTCCGGCCGGTTGATCGCCCGGTGTACTCGGGCCCGGCCCCTTTCACTGAGTTAGCCGGGCCGTCGGGGACCTTCTTGTCCTTTAATTGGGTAGACTGAGTTTGCCAGGCACCGGCCCGGACTAGGGCCCGGACTGTGACTCCCATCAGTGGGGCGGGCCTGTAATCGCATCGGACATTGGATGATGCGACCGCATCCCAGGTGCTGCCCTGGCCCGCCCTCGCCGCTCATGCTTTCCCCCTCGTCGATCCCATGCGATCTCACCTACATCCATCTCTCGATGAGATGCCACTGTGACATGTAGCCTTGCTCCCTGCTAGGGACTGTCGAAATCATGCGATCCATGCTCCTGATCGCAGCGATGATATTTTCGTGGCCATGTGGAGAAGGAGAAGTGGTGACGAATCCAGCCAGCAACGACTGGAAGTGTCAGGCATCGATGTGTCGGAGTCGAATTGTGTCTCATATAGTAATGAGAGGCGGAGCAAGGATGACCAAGATTGGTAAGAAGATCTACAAAAGGAAGATGAGAGCGAGGAAGAACAAGAGACCCAAGGGAAAGAAAATACCTAAACAGCTCATCTTCAAAGCTGAGCCATACTCTTCGGACAGTGAAGAGATGGCCATTGCTAAACACGAAGAATCTGTAGATGAGAACAAGGATCGCGAGCACATGTTGAGCGACGACATGGGGAAAAATGAGAGTAAAGAGCTGCTGCATACCAAATATGGTGGTGTCAACGAGGATGGCACGGACGGTACAGACGCGGCAGAATTTGATGGAGTCTTCTATTATCGTCCACGGAACGAAACTGATGCTGAATGGCAACATGAATGTGTGTAATAGTCATGCCTGACTATGTTTATTGGCAGTGGATTCCTGATAGCTATTCCTTTCAGTCGAGGAGAAGTTCAACAAGCTGTATCAGAAGCTTGCAGAGCTCCATAACTCAACGGAGACAGTCTATCGATACATGGATGAGGACCCTTGGGTGCGTTGAGCTCATTTAACATAACTTCTTACGGATTGCAGTGGAGCGCAACCTGGAGGAAACGACAAGACCTGACAGAGTACTTTGCGATGAACGCCTTGGTAAGGGAGTCTTCGATGTACATTTTTGAATTCCTGCAGGTCAATTTACAGTATGTTGAGCTGATGGACGAATACATGAAGTTGAAGATTGAGGGGAAGTAATTGTACCCGGATCTCTTCTCATTACAAGTTGACATTGCTCATAGATGGTTTCCTGAGCACAAGATTGGATTTCGGATCTCCGAGACGAAAAAGATGCTGGAGCAATTAGAACAGCAGCGACCAGAGATCTCGAAACAAATGCATGACGTACTACATGCGTTTATTTCGCAAGACAAGGTGCTCGACTTGCAAGGAAGATGAAGAAGATTTCACTTGACAGGGTTTTCACAGATGGAAGATAAGGAGAGAGCAAGAGTAAAGGCAAAGCTGAATATCTCTGAATCGGAGGACGACATTCAGAAACCGATCATGTTGGAAGAGTTCTTGCAGTTGACCAATCTGGCATCGTCTGAGGACCTCAAGCGGAGAGAGAAAAGGCTGGAGCGTGAGGATCAAAAGAAGAAACTTGCAATTGAGTACAAAGGGAAAGAAAATGATGTGGACTTTTGGAAGGGCAAACTCAAGAATGCGATCAACCTGCAGGAAAGCTTTGGAACTTGCTTGAGCGCTGTGACCTGTGAAGCAGGAGGGCGTTAAATCCAAGAAGATCAAGGAGAATGACGAGGTTAGGAAGGAGATCTCTCAGATAAACTTTTACGAGTCACAATGGCTCAATGCATATGATTCCATTTTCAAAGAATCAAAGGTCGTTCATTGTGGCGCATGACACCTCCAAGCTGATTTCTTTTGAGCCAGGTAAAGTCATCGAAGAAACAGAAAAGCACGGGTAAGCTTTGTAATGAGGTCGAAATGCGAAGCTAAAATGCTCAAAAGGAAGAGAAGATCAACCGAGAGTGAAACTGGTTTGAAACGCGTCAGGTAGATTTCGTCCGAGCCGCGCACTCTATATAAATTTACAACGAGGTTGAATCTAAATTATTCAGTCTTATCGTGAGAAATCTACTGAATTCCCTTTGTCGTCGGAATTCCTCTCAAAACACACCTTGCCGGCTTGTCAAATCTCTCCAATCTCAAGTTCATCTCAGCAAGTTTACCTTGTTCGGCCGATGTCCATCGGGCCAAAGGCACAGGTTCTCGTGGATTTTGCAGTCGGTGACTGTAAGGGAGCATTGTGTTTTGTCAAGAGAGGAAAACGTGTCTCTGTTCGAGCATATTTGGGTTCCTCGCACGTGCAACTGCCATTATTTGGGTCATGAGCCAAATCACCTCCAAGGGGTCTCTTTCACCGCTGCAGAGTCCCCTACGCCAATGGCGAAGTGAGCTGAGTGAACTTTGCTGCTTTCGATGGTGACTGAGGCTTTTCCACAAGCAGCAACCGCACATCTGGGCCAAGACCCAGGGTGAGGAAAGGTTAGGAACTGGAGCTCCACAACACCTTGCTCGCCCTATGTTACAGCCATGAAAGCTTGCGCTCCCCCCTGTGCTCATGACAGCATTCCTGAAGGAACCGTGAGGATAGGAATGCAGAAACCAATGCTTCCCACGTCTTGATTGTGTGCTTCCATCCTTCCGGCATGCTGTTACTTGTCGGTAGGCTGCTGGCATGGACGGAGCAGTCGTGGAAAGTCCACCTGCCTCTATCGATGCGCAGACAGTCGCCCTCTGTTCGTAGGCAGTCATACATAAGGAATGAAAGTTGATGATTCACCGTGGCAGCAGAAAGAAATTCCCTTGAAAGATCCTCCGACGTCGTTGCTGAGGATCCAGTTACCCTTGACAGTCACCTGACGCTAACTCACAAGACGACAGTTCATCGAGGATTCTCACCTGCCCGTTTGCTTGAATGTTGACCTTGTTGAGTGGCGCGAGGGGACAGAAGACTTGAAAAATTGAAACTTAGCCAGCGCAAAATGGGATTTCAAGATTGTCATACATTCATAGAATCCTTGCCTAACGATTATTACCCTATGACATGATTCAGTATTGGGTTCACACATACACTCGAATCTCACCTTCCATCCTTTGATTGGCGGATGGCTTCTTCCAGAGACAGATCGTCAGGAACATGCAGTTGGTTCCCTCGCTCGTTCCGTGCCTCATGGTGTGCGCTACTGTTACACAAAATGTCCCTGAATATGTTTGGCTCGATTGATGCACATCTTGCCATTGGAGATGGCTGTGAGCATAAGAAAACACTCAGAATTTGCTCATGTAGCACATCAAAACGCAGATTTCGGCATTGTGCGGGTGTCTTCATTCGAACTCTCCCTTTCCTCTTGTCCTCGTTACAATTTTTCGACCGACCTTGTTTCCTACTCCTCCTGTCCTCCTGTCCTCCTGTCCTCCTGTCCTCCTGTCCTCCTGTCCTCCTGTCTTCCTCCCCTCCTCTCCTCCTGTCTTCCTCTCCTCTCCTCTCCCCTCCCCTCCACTCCTCTCCCCTCCACTCCCTGCCCTCCGAAACTCTCCATGTGGCGTGTGAAAAGTTTGAACCCTTTGAGGCCTGAGGGGGGAAGTGGTACCAACAAAAAAAAAAGTTTAGTATCGACTACCCCTCCTCGTCCCTCAATTGAACCTGACCCACCCACCCCTACCAGCAGAGCCGATGCCGCGAGCCCGCAGGGGGAGAAAGCATAGAGAGGGGAGGGAAGGGAGCAGGAGCAGCAGGAGCAGGAGGAGGAGGAGGAGGAGGAGCAGCAGCAGCAGGAGGAGCAGGAGCAGGAGCAGCAGGAGCAGGAGACAGGATAGGATCTGACAAATGATGCCTTTCGTTGAGGACACAGGGTGGAATCAGTGCGATGCACACGAGAGAGATCTGAGAGGGCATGTAGAGGACTTGTTGTGAGGGAAAGAAAGCCAAAGGATGTTTGTAGGTGCTTCAATAGATGGCTTTGCGGTTTTGCTGCAAGTTTCTCAACCAAGAAGCATTGCATGGAGCTGATGATTCTCTGCACAGATTTGGCGAATACCTTTAAACGTAGTTGGCACTCAGGGCCAAGGGAGTTTGGTGAGCAAACCGTGTGCTTGCAACTTGAGATTTACTTGTTTGAAAGGACGCCTCTCAAGATTCCATAAATGATTTCGAAAGAGAAACTCTGGACGACGATGACGACGACGATGACGACGACGACGACGAGTCGTTGGATTCTTCCGCCAATCGCGGTCCCATCGGAGGCCCCTTCGAGAAGGAAAAGATCTTGAGGACCGCCTTGGTTGCAGTCTCGAAGAGAATGGGCGAAAGCTTCTACTGCTGGTTCAATCTCGGCCTCATGTACTTTCGGAATCAAGTCTACACGAAAGCCAAGGAAGCGTTCAAGAGATGTCTCGACTGTCTCAAGGGCTACAAGCAACCCCTCAAGCTCATCAACGAGAAGCGATACGTGACGCTCGAGGCTCGGGTTATGTCGCTCCATGCACAGTGTTGCATATACGAGTTGACGTTGCCAGGGATGGTGGCTACAGACGAGCACAACCCTGTAGATGTCCAAGAACAATTCATACAGGCTACCAAGACTGATAACATGCAACCAGACATTTGGAACAACGTTGGGCTCTTGCACATGTCTCTGGATAAGTTTGATGGCGCAAAGATGATTTTCCAGCCTATCCTCATGAACTTCACGCAGTACAATGACGCGATTTCAAACTTGGGTGGAAAAAACAAAACTGAAGTGCTAAACTGATATGTTTGCAGGGCTTTCACATCTTTGTAACGGTGAACTTACTGATGCTGCAAGAAGCTTTCAGACTGTGATATTGCGGTCAGGCATTGCTACCGAATTATCTTGCAATGACGTTCTTGCAGAGATTCTTCCCATCTTGAGGCCTTGAACAACTATGGCGTCCTCCTACTTCGTCACCGGAACTACAAGAACGCGATCGTTTTCTTCGAGAAGGCAACGCAGAAGCCTGTGCAGGGTCATTTTGTGTTGACTCTGTCGCCAGGCCATTGAGCTCGATCCTGGACAATCGTATGTGTGGAGGTGAATGCTGGAGATGAGGACATTGCGATGGAACTGATGGCTCGCCACAGCAATCTTGCATGTGCTTACAGCGCGGAGGGGAAGTTGAACGAAGCTGCTCGTGCGTTCAGACAAGCGAGAGAGCTAGACGACACCAACGTACAGGTCTGCTCCCTTGCTTTTCCCCCTCTCCTCTCCCTGACACCCACGGTCAGGCAACATGCAACCTTGCCCATCACATCACGTGGATGGTACAATCTGAGGCCGACCCAGAAGCGCGCGCCAGGAAGCTGGAGCAAGCAGAGCACATGTAGAGATGCTGGCGTTCGGCGCTATCTGCTGATATCCATGGCAGGTACTCAACTGTACTCTGCGATCAGAGCAGCAGCGTACAAGCCTGGACAGGCCTTGCTGCGGTGTTCAAGAGTCAGGTGAATTCAGCTTGAACAAGGTCTGAGGTGACTTGTTCCTCTCAAGTCTGAGATGGCAACATCGGAGGAGAAGCGTCGGGAGTACAAGGAGCTTGTGATGAACGAGAGTCAACATCTGTTTGCAACTAATCTGTTGTTTCCTAGGCACTGGAAGCATTTTCTCTGGCCATTGAAGCGGATTCGAGCGATCCTGTAGTTTGGTCTCAGGTCCGGTTCTGATATGTATAGAATTATTCTGACTGAGAGTAGATGGGGATGTTGTGCATGGGAGAGGGAGATTACAAGAATGCAGAAACTTTCTTCAAGAACAGCATCGAAAAGGTAGAGATAGACCGAAAGACTTTGTTCTGTTTGACTTGGTCCCTCGTGTATCAGAGCAAGCAGATCAGAAACGTTCATCCGATCCTTGCAACTTACTGCAACCTTTGTGTAACATACCAGGTCTGTGGCAAATCGGAGTGTTTGCCTTCCTGACCCTCACCTTCAGCTCGGCGAGCAGTTTGCTGAGTCAAACAGCCTGTACCAGAAGGCGATAACGCATTTCAAAGACTCTTACATCCTGTACAACAACCTCGGCAACTTGTAAGACTTTCATCTCATTGCTCCACTTCCTTGCTTCCCTTCGATCTCGTCCTGCGTTTCTGTTCTTGAGGGGATTGTGAGACGTTGGCTGTCAGGTATCGGCAGATGAGTAAGTTCGATGACGCGCACAAGGCCTTTGACCTCTGTCTCCGCTTGAAGCCGGTATTGTTGTGTTCTGCTTCCCTTCCTTTCCCTCCCTCCCTCCCTCCCTCCCTCCCTCTTAGCTTCATTGACTTCCTATCTCTTGCAGGACTACGCCATCGGGCACAACAACTTGGGCTTGTTGTTCATCGCTGAGGAAAAGTTTGTGGAGGCGAAGGTGGAGCTGCAGACAGCGCTAGCGATTGACAGCGGGCTTGACTGTACGTGGAGGTGCCAACAGAGGAGGGGGAATGTGACGTTGTCACAGGTGCTAAGAGCAACCTCCTCAAGCTCGTGGAACTCGGTGAGTGGCAGCGAGAACGGGGAAGGAGGGAGGAGGAGGAAGGGAGGAGTTGGTGGACTCTAGGGAAGGAGGAGGAGTTGAGGATCGTGATGGATGTGCTGCAGAGAAACGGAGGATGCGTGGCAACAGCGGGAAGCAGCCGGGCAAGAGCTGAGCGTTCGAGATGCGGCGCCAACTTGGCTAGTAAATAAGAAAAATACAAAAAAAGAATCACAAACTTTCTCCTTGTTCTTTGAGCTCATGCTCAGCTGGGTGACTTAAGATTGTCGGCCCAGCTGAGGAACAGACTGTACTGACTCGCCGGCCCGGCGGTCCCGGCCGAGGCGCCGTACTGAGTGTGGTGACCCCCGGGCGCCCGCGACACTGACAGACCGTACGCAAACTTGAAAACATGGTCCGCCTCAGAGTAGACCATTGCGGTTTGCCCTTCTTTTTCAGTCAATAAAACATTGTGGAAGATGCGATCGTTGGCAGACGAGGGAGTCGGAAGTGGGAGGAGAGGGAGAGGAGGAGGAGGAGCGACAGGGAGACGAGAAGGTTGGAAGGAAGAGAGAGGAAGAGGAGGAGCCGAGGGTGTAAAGTCGCACTGAGAGAGGCAGGGACTAGAGGAGAGAAGAGCCTCAGGCTCTGCTAGCTGATCAGGTCGTCACCCCATATCGCGATGGCGCGCACGCGAGGAGAGGACCTGTCGTCTCTTGGAGTCGACTTGCCGTCGTTGGTCTCTGACACGAGGCCTCTGCGATCAAACTCGGTCACGACTCTACCCAACAGAGCCGACCAGCTCGAGGCTTCCGAGCTGGATGACGAGCTTATAGAGATCCTCTCGGAGCAGCTGAGAAGAGTCTTGTCACTCTGCAGGTCAGAGGTGGTGGAGTCCGTGCGGCCAGAGATCGATGCTGTCTTCCATGCCATCATCTACTCGTTCTCCGTGTGGTCTGGTGCGCAGACGCCCGGGAACGTCTTTCAGAACTTGATCTTCATAGACTCAAGAACTTACAATGCGTCAAAGTCGCAGGGCAAGCCGATCTCGACCAGGTGAGAAGCTCCTGCACTCCCTTCTGCCTCATCGTCATCTGCAGGCAGAAGGTCTTGCATGGTCTGGTCTTCGTCCTCCTGCCATGGTTGTGGGCGCGCGGCTCGCGGTACCTGGCGAAACACGAGTGGGGAGCCATGGCTGAGCAAGACTGGAGGTATAAGGTGTGGAAGACTGTGCAAAGGATGGAGAGCCTTCACAAGCTTCTCGTGGTGCTGAACCTCCTCGTCTTCATCAGGAGAGGGAAGTTCCGGTCAGTGGGGGAGCGGGTAATAGGCATGCGTGTCATCCCTCAGGACCCTTCGCTGACCCGAGCTCTCAACTTCGACTACATGAACCAAGTCCTCGCATGGCAGACGCTGCAGGAGGTGCTGACCTCCCTCCGCCCCATCGTCGTCAAGAATGTCTCGCGCGCAAGAGCAAGGTTCCTCTCGGTCATCAGCACGGGGAGGCAGAGCGAGGGGGTTGAGGAGGCTGGTGGGAGAGGCGGCGAGCGGCGATGGGCCTGCAATCTCTGTGGATCAGAACCAGCGAACAGGTGGGAAATTTGAACCAAGGAGGAGGTGGGGACAGGGAGGGGGAGGGCGAGTTCAAGGGGGAGGGGGAGGGGGAAGAAGGAGAGATTGTGCAGAAGGGGTGTAGAGGAATTGGAGTAGAGGACTGGCAGGGGCGTTACTTGTTTTCGCAGTCCTCATTCGGGTGCCTGTGGCCATGTCTACTGCTACTACTGCCTGAGTAGAAAGTCTCGTCGTCCTGCTTCAACCTGACGCTACCTCAGGCTCCTTGCTCCATGACGCGATCGACACGGCAAGGTGCAAGGTGAAGGAGGAGGCGGAGGTCAGGTGACCCGCTGAAGTTGCTTGCAGAGATGCCATGCCAAGTTACAAACATGTCGTAGATGTGAGGTCAGTGCCGTCGATTAGACGCGCTTGTCCTAGCAAGAGGGGTAGCAAGACGCTTTGTTTCACTTATTTACAGTGCCTCATGATACCTCCATGGCAGCATCCTCGCTTGCTTCCTGGCTCTCTCCTTCCTCTTTGATCTCTCCCTCCTCCTTGTTCTCCCCCTGCTCCTTCTTTCTCCCGGCCTCCTTCACTTCTCCTGCCTCCTTCACTTCTCCCGCCTCCTTGACCTCTCCTCCCTCCTTCTGGTCAGCCTCCTTCTGCTCCCCCTCCTTCTGCTCCCCCTCCTTCGCTTCGTCTCCGGCAGGCGCTGACCCAGCAACTTGTTACTATCAGCACGTCAAGGAGGAATGTTACCCTTGTCTTTGTGCGTCTCCTTTCCCTTCCCGTCCATGTGGTTGACCACACCCTGAACAACAACAAGCTCACAAACTCCCTCACTCCCTCACTCCCTCACTCCCTCACTTCCTCACTCCCTCCTCCCTCACTCCCTCACTCGTCCTTCTCTCCCTCCTTCTTCCTCCCTCTCTCCCTCCTCCCTCCTCCCTCCCCAATAGACCTCGAGGTACTTGTTCTCAGCCGTTGCCTGCAGAACCCCGTCAAGCGAGTTTGTGGCATGAAAACAACTCTATCACCTTGTCGAACATGTTGATGTCATAAGAAGCAAGCATTCTCAGCGTGACCCATCTGAGAGGGCCGTTCAGACCTGATCTCTTGCTCCACCTTCCTCCCTCATCCTCCATCCCCTCCTACCTCCCTCGCCTTACTCCCCTCACTCCTCCAACTCCTTCCTCTCCTTCCTTTCCCATCTTTTTCCCCTTCCAGCGATCCATCACCTCCAACAAGGGACGTTGTTCTTGCGGAACTCTTGTTCGATGTAGTTCTCCGGGTCCGCCTCCATCCTCACAATCTGCAGCAACAGTGAAATTTGTTCCAGCCTAACTGCCGTAACGAACCGCAAGACGCTCTTCGAGCTTCGTTGAGTTGGGATTTCCTGAGACGCCCATCAACCGACGGATGGAAGGAAGAGGAGAAGAGAGGGAGGAGGGAGACGGGAAGAAAGGATGTATGAGGACATGAGAAAAGGCGAACACAACGAAAGGAGCAGACAGGAGCAGGAGAAATAGGAGGAGGAGAGAGGGAAGGAAGGGAGGAGGGAAGACGGGAGGAGGGAGGACGGGAGAGGGGAGGACGGGAAACGGAAGGAGGGGAGAAAATAGCAAAGAAGAGGTTCTAGGTCTCCTCACCCAGCCCGTTGGCGATGTCTTCAGCGCTTGAGTTGGACTTTCGCTCCTGACGAGGAAGGTGAGAAGGACGTGAAGGACGTGAAAGATATGAAGAAAGACCTTCGGCTTGCAGATTTCTAACAGACTGCCATTCTCAAAGGAAGCGGGGACAAAGTTGTCTTTCGTCTGAACGAAACCCGGTGAATAGAAGAGCGGAAACAATCAACAGTCCGATTGGGAGGTGGAATGAAAACAGCAGCAGCAGCAGCAGCAGCAGCAGCAGCAATCACTCTGATCTCCGAGGGCAGAGAGTACAAACATTCACAACCTTCATGGTGAAAAATCTTCGCTTCCACAGCGCTCCCGCATTTTCCATGCTTTTCCTCTTATCCCCCACCTGGCCGAATCCTTGCGTCAGATGTGAAGGCGAAGGAAAACAAAATGTCCACCAACCTTGATTGCAACGTCTTCACCATCTGCCACCTTGCTCTGCATTCAAACTCCATCAACCCTCTCCCCCACCCGGGTAAGGCCGCAATCGCAACCTTTGAGAAATCCGGACATTTATCCTGCGAAAGTCATGAGAGGCTCGTTCAATCATTTGGTAGTTGCCCACCTTCTTCCACCTCGTCCAGTTCGCTTCTCGCTGTAGAATCTTCCTGAGAGTCTCCACGAACTACTGACACCTCAACCCTCGTCCCCTCCAAGGTGCGGCAACTGCGTCACCTCCTTCCCGCTGGGAGGAATGTTGCCGAGCAGCTCGAACGTCGTGTCCTGATTCGTGAGTCATGTCTTGCTTCGCAGAGCAGCACGGGGAACCATGAGCTTGTTGAGATCTTCTTTCTGCTTCTTGGTAAACTCTGAAAGACCAGTTCTCAGCACGTCTGCAGGAGGGACAAGCAACAAGAGCGGGTGTGACAAGTTACCTAGAGTCTTCGCAGGATGGACAGCACGATCGAGCAGGTATTGCAGCACTATGAGGTACTGCGATCCCATCTCAACATCTGCAAGGCAACCACTCCCCTCCCCAACCTGAACCAGAACTTGTCGGCGGAAGATCGGATCTTGAAGCTCCAGGGCGACCAGCTGCGAGTCGAGAAGGAGAAGAAAAATTCACAATCTATCAAGACTTTAGCTGCAGTACCTTCGTCGAGGTCAAGAAAGCAGGAAAGTAAAATTCTCGGTCTGCGCTGTGACCCACGGCAATCCCCTACAAGGAACTTGAGTGAGCTGATGGGTTTCGACTTGTGTTGAGCAACCTCAGTGTCGGACAGGCTGTACGATGAGAAGCAATCAAGAACGAGCGTCATGCCCTGCCCATAACGATCAGCAACACTTTCACCCCCTCCAAACCAGGCATGTCAAAGAGACCTGAATCATCGAATCCACAAGTTCAGGGCCTGGGAAGGAATAGTGAGAATCGATGTGGAATGGAGGGGATTCTCACCGCTGAACAGCGCAGAAGGGTCGTGTAAGTACTTTTGAAGCCCCCAGAATGTCTTGTACAAGGAGAAAGAGACCTATGAACAAGCAATTTCACAACAAGTGGAATCAGTTGCCATGTGAATAAACCTCCATTTGCCCGTCAAGCTTCTCGTCTGTCGACTTAAGATAAATCTTGCTCTCGTCCTTGTCTTCATCCTCCATCCTTACACATCCTCTTCAGTGACCAAACAACCCGTAACTGAAATTACTTGGTGTAGTCGATATCTTCGAGATTCTCTTGAAATTCAGTCACATTGGCTTTGTTGAACTCCCCCTGCAAGGCTTGACTCACCAATCAAACAGCATCATCTCCTTCCTCACCTTGAGATTCACTCCTGACTTCTCTGATAGCGGCAGGACATGGGCGAGGAACATCAGAACTCGGCCGCACAACAGCAGATCGCAAGTCTTGGACAGCCGTTGCATCAAAGTGTTGCAACAACGGAGTAACGCAGCCTGTAGAACTGGCAATCAGAAGAACTAAAGTTGATTGCGATGTAGGGTGACCTGACTGTACTTGTGTTCTCCCTGTTCCGTCAAGTCGCGCATCTTTTCCACCCTCTGCACCAATTCAGCTGAACTCTTCAAGCGAGTGTGATCTACCGTCTCCAAGTACGAAAACGCTTTGCTGCATTGTTCAGCAGTCTGCAGAGGGGAGAAAATGGTCAAAATCATACAGGTATCATGCATCGATTCACCTGTCCTTCGAATAGTTCGTGCATCGCCATCAAAGGGAGCTGAAAACAAAACTGTCAACCACAGAAGAAAGGAGTTTGGCTGAATCTCACGGACCTGTCTCGGTACCATGTTGCTCATTGCCGCATGCATCGACAAATCGAGCAAACCCACGACCTGACCACCAGCCTGAGCGACAAGGTCAACATGAGAGCTTGCATACCTTCGCATCTTGAATGGCATCCTGCCAGTCGAGGACAGTCATGTCAAACCCTCAGGCACAGTGGCAGGTGTCTCACCTTCCCTTCTTTGTTGTTTCGCTGAACGAGATCCTCCAACACCATCCTGAAGGCGAGCGCTTTCCGAGCGTCAGATACGACCAGGTGAAACGTGAGGTCTACCGATGGACTCCTGCTCCTCGGTACCCTCCGCACCCTTCCCTTCCTCGGGTTTTTCGTAGGTGCATCCAGCCTTGGCCAGCTGCGCAAACAAGAGACGTTGGTTGACCTCGGAGCAAGAAGGGTAATTTGCGAGAAGAACCTCTTCTTGCAGCTTCTGGGGAGCTGAATCGGGATTTGTAGCTGCAAACTCTGCGGCTGGAACCAGCATCATAAGCACCAGGTGATGTGAATGGTTCAATACCTTTGTGGATGGCTACTTTGGCGCCATCAACGTCGAACTTTACAGTGGGCATCCTACATCAAGGGGGTGAAAAATCTTCACAGCAAGAATCAATCAGTGTCTTGATCTAAACTTTCTTGCTGGTATCAAAGGCAAGGCTGCGAATCTTTACTATTCAATCTGGGTTCCAAGCAGCACATAAAACCTTGATTGGAGCGATTTTCTTTCATGCTAATGCTCTGAGTGAATTCCTTTCCTATGTTGGGAGCATCAAAATATAGAGTGGTAAACGTGCCATGGAATTTGGATGGATTCAGTCTGGTATCATGATCATCTGCAGTTGGAGCTATGTACCTCCCGATATCTTCCTGTTTCAGATTTTTGGGCTTCACTAAGAACAGTGGAGCGCATGAGCAATGAGATTGTATGGAATGTATCGGAAGCGCTAAGAAGTGCTCATGCATGACTCTGTTTGTCTCTGGCTACCTGTCACCCCCTGCCTTGTTTACTCTCTTAGCTGCTGCACATCATGTGTTCGCTCTCAAAATACCCTTTCCTGTTCCTGTCATGCTGCATCGAGCGCCGAACCACTCTGAGTCCATCTTCGTCTTTCACCTCCCTCCTGATTCTGTCCCTCTCCCAGCTCCTCCTTCTCCTCTGCCTCCCTCCTTCTTCACTTCGTCTCCTCCCTTCCACCCGCATGCTCCCACTCCCTCTGAGATCTCACCGTGACCCGCAGCCCCTCATGGCACCATGGTCCTCCTCGTACTTTTCTCGATTTCTCTATTAGGCTGAAATGCCATACATCATGTCTTCCTTCCCTGACATTGACACCCCAGAATATAAGGATTTTCAGAGTTCTCCAGGGGGGTGGGGTAGGCTCGGGGCCTCTGGCAGTCGGGTAAAAACACCCGGCGGTGGCCTCTACACAATTTGGCGCCTGATCGCACAGCTAGCGGTAGCGACATAGAAAGCGAATACTACCCCTCATTTTGAAATGAAAAAGGGGGTGATGGGATATGGGAAATTTCACCCCTGGCATGGTGGGGAAAAGGGGGGGTAGAAAACTACCCCAAAAACCATTCAGGATCCACTGGAACGAAATTCAGTTCTCGAGGGGTGGGGTACTTATCATTGGGGTAGGGTGTGACAATATTCCCCTTTGTACCCGTAAATTTATAACGGGAATCCTCAAATTAGGCGAGGTGGGTATGAAATTATGTAGGTGGGGGTAGTGGATGTGTAGGGTGAAGGGCTCCGACCTGATTGCTCGTGAACACGACTACCCCCTACCCTCTCTCTGTTCAATTGTGATACTACCCCCTTTACAAATCATAAGGACCCTACCCTGCCTTGTCGTTCGACCACCCTGGTTTTCAAGGGAAAACGATGGGGTTGGCCAGAAGATCCGCAAGTAGGAAATGTCTACACATGGGGGTAGGTGGCAGGAGTGAACGGTGGAGTTTGAAAAAGTACCGGTGATTTTCTCTAGATAATGGGGGTATTGTAATATTGGGGGGTACAGAGTGCAGGGTCTTTTGTAAAAGGGGTAGTGAAATTCAGGGGTGGGGTGGGGGGCACGTGCGAGAACAGCATAAAACGACAGGAGGGTGGAAGGAGGGCGGGGGCGAGAGGGAAGACCGAGAACGGGAGCAAGTGATGGCGAGGACAGGTTGATCCATCCCGCCAGGAGAGGAACAAAGGAGGAGAATCTGAAGAGTGAGCGCTGGTGACATAGTTGCCTCGCGGCTCTTGGACTTCTACCTCCAGTTCGGTCTGGTCAGGTTAACTTCCCAAAGGGGTTGTTGACAGTATGAGTGCTTGCTTGTTGGACTTGCCATCTCAAGGGATGTTCACCAAGCTGAGAGCAAGGAGCAAGACGAAGTTTCCTCCATCATACTGTCCAACCCATGATACATCGCCTCCTCCTGACCAGATCATCACGACGGACAAGAGCAACAGACTTCTCCTCAGGTTTCGGGCCATGCTCAAGGAACGTGAGGCAAGAAAAAGGGGTTACAACCACGATTCAAGTGCGAAGCATGCTCATCATCCAGAAAAAAAGGCTAGAAACGCATGATGCGAAACTATCTGGAGCACTTCTATCATTGTAAGTACCTTTGTTTCCTATTGGTGTTATGGAACTCTTGCATTCCCTTGCTCCTTCCCATCCTCCCTTGTCCTCTTCTCTTCCCTCTTTTTCCCCATTCCAATGTCGATCGGTGCTGTCATCCGGTGCTGGCCGTACCTTGTGGTGATAGTGAATGCATCCGAAGTGCCGTCTCTCTGGGGACGTTTATGGTGCTGTCCGCATGAAGATCGTAGAACGAGCGCGTTTGGTTGAGATGCGGAGTCTTTATCTCTCAGAGATAAAGATGATGTAACTCCCTTTCGCACCCGCTAATTCCATATCGTTTTGTAGTTTCTATGAAGCCTTAACCATTGGGAAAAACCTAGCGGGGTACATGACAAATCAACCGCAGGTGATGGACGAGCGAGCGAAGTTGAAGACGGAGTTCGCAAGTATAAATTAGTTGTTATAACGCAAGGTCGGATTATTCTTTGAGTATTTTTTCCTAGATGTATATCGATGTACCAAATAAAGGTCAATTTTGAAGTTCAAACCAGCAACAGAGTGCAACCTCCTCACATGGATGTTAGAGAACATTTGATTTTCTAATTCTTTCATGCTTGCACTTCATTCGTTCATTGTTCAAAGAAAACCTTATCACAACAAGTCCGTTGAAGTGAGAATCTCCTTCTACAAGTTCCTCCTGGCGTAAGGCACATAACGGTGATCCTTTTTGGCCATTTTCTTCCTCCTCTTCGTGAGCAACTGAACCAGAAAATTCGTTAAATGCAAAGTCATACCAGAAGATCTGCTCAACACCTCATCAACTTTGCCTTTCTTGTCCTTGATTTCCTTAAAACTTGTACTTCAATCTGAGTCGCACCTCAAACCAAAGTTCACCTCATATTTCTTTGCAAGCTCAAGAATGCGTTGATCGGACTTTTTGAGGTAAAACGGCTGTGAGAGACCAAAGATTCAGCATGATAATTGACTGGGCATTTCAGTATTCACCTTCTTCCCTTTGGCAACAGCGTCTCGCTCTGTCCGCCTTCTCTCCTTGAGCTTTTCTCTCTGCATTCGTCCGATTATTTTAGGAAACTTCACTCACGAGTCAGTACATTTGCATTGGTAGCATCTTCCTTCTGCTGTGAACGTTGTAATTCCCTCAATTCTTCCTCCAGCTGGACTCAACATCAGTTCGCCGTGGGTGACATCCCCATAGATCCAATTCAACCTGATTCCTCATTTCCTCGTTCTTTGTTTTCGCAATCTTTTGCTTCAACGATCTACAATCAATCAGAGAATGCGATGATCAAGAGAAATAGTTTACTTCATTTCTGACTTGCGCTGATCAGAGACGAAGGAGTAGGTCTTTTGAAACCTGACATCCAGAGTTAAGATGGCCGTAGCAACAAATCAGGGAGACGCAATGAGATTACAGCTCTTCATTGAAATGTCCCGATGTTGACTCAAATCGAGGATCGCAAGACTTCCTCTGCTTCACAGGCACGACGACTCTGAAGCTATCGATAATGTCAATCGAGGGTTGCTGCATCGAAGCAATCTCACCGGGAAACGGGCTTCTTGCTCGTAGCTTCGACTGGGGCCCCCTTCACTTGCTTGATTTTCTGTCTGATTGTCATCTTGCAAATTCACACAAAATGGAATTGCTATACTTTACGAGAAGTATCCTTATTGAACTTGGAGTCCACCTTTCCATCCTTCTGCAGCTCCTGTAAACCACATTAAGGGGAATTTTCAACCGCCTGCTCAGAAATCACTTGAAGAACTTCGAAAGGAACATCAGAAAGCTCCCGCCTGGAGCCGAAAATCAAATCATCAAGACAGTTGTGCAGAAGAGCAATGAAAGACCTAGCTTTTTCTGCTTCATCTTCACTCGAGTTCTCCTGCAGTTTCGATCGTCAGGAAATGAAGAGAAGAGAGATCGCGTAGAATTCATGTACCTCGTCCTCTTCATCACTATCACCACTGACCATTGAGCTGTCTTCGTCCGATTCATTGTCCAATTCTGAAGGCTGATCGGAAATCTTGTCATCCTCGGAGTCAGATTCCTCCTCTTTTGATTCTGATCTTGACTTGTGGGCCTTGCTCGTCTCCAATTTCTTCAGTAATTTCCCGTGGTTGGGTCCCTTCTTCATACTGTCGCTCATGCTCTTTGGAGCCCCTGTGCTCTGCTCCGATTTCTTCTTCGCAATCCCCATCCTGTACAGGATGTGAGAGAGCAATAAATTCAACGTTGCCGTGCACTTTTCTTCCGTACAGATTATCTGACATTCCTTATCTCACACAATAAGTCTTTGGCTAGGTTGATCGCCATTAGTCTATCGCATGTGCTGAATTGTACTCATTGCTTCTTCATGGACTCAACCATGGCTCCTCTACCAGCTCCTGTTCCTTATCCTTTAACGCAGGACGTTTGATATCCATCTTCCTTCCTCTCTCTCCGTCCCCACCCTCCCATTCGCTCGCTCGCATTCCCTCAATTTCTCATCTGGGCGGGTTTGCAAAGAGCGCACATGCAGAAGAAACCAGAGAAGCTGGATGACCAAAATTGACCTCATCCCCCTCCATACCCTGCTAAATATATTATCCCTCATCCCATCTCATTCAGGTTTATCATCGCCCTCATTCAACAAGGTAACCGCCAATGCCATCACCTACCCCTTTTTCCATACAAACTTGGCTTATAAAGGACCCGTACACAGAATAGTCGTTGTGTATGAATTAAATTAGAAACGGTTTGTAACGACTCTTCTGAAGGGTCGCGGGACAGAGAAGGGATGAAGGGCCGCGGCACAGGGTTTTAAAAAAACTAAAATATTTGTTTGATTTGTATGAAACGACTCTTGATCGTACCTTTACATAAAGATAAACATTCAACTAAAATTATTTTATAAAATCAAACGGTACAGATTGGGGGTTCAATAACCCAACACCTAGCAATTCTGTACCATATCAAGATTACTTTGAAGATTGAGTTAAAGATTTAGATAATCATTCAATAGCCAGATTGATGCTCAATTCATTGTTGTGGATTGCTATCATACAGATTAAATAAATAGTTTTGTATTGTAGGTATAATTTATAAAGAGAAACCTCCAGTACTACCGAGTACCGAGAGCTTTTTAAAAAGCTGACCCTTCGTGCCTTCCTCATCGTCGCCCATGGCTCAGTTCGCTTCCCCCGTCATGCGCCGTCTCCTTCAGGTACCCGCGACGTCTCCCTTGGCAATGAGCGCATGTTATTGCTTTTGAGAAGCTACCCGATGATTCTAATGGAATACTGAGTTGTTGGCTCGTCTGTTCTTGTCTATCACAACCTATTTTGGTCCATGATCTTTGATGGCGTGCAGTGGTGTAGAGTCACATAAGATTGGTTTTCGACTTTGAATGCTGACTCGCAAGCTCGGCCTTCATCCTGTTATTTTCATATTGTGTGTCCTGTTCCCTCCCATATTCAGCTCAAAACTACCTGGAACCGATACAAGCAGTAAGCATGATATCTGAATATCCTGTCGCTCTACGAGGATCAGAGAGAATTGTGATGAAGCTGAGTGTTCTAACTGGTGTGATGATGAATGACAAGGACTTTGACTAATCTAATGAGCGTGACACTTGATTTGGTTGATGTGTCCCTTCAGCTTTTGTACTGTACTCGCAAGTGGTGATCTTGCACATGTCGTAATGTTTGTATTTGCAGGAGGCTGAAGAGGCAGCTGCAACGGAGCCCACCGTCACCTTCCCTGATGACTACCCCAACTCCGTCAGGCACTTTCTCCTCATCGGATTCTTGGGCATGTTCATCGGAGCCATTGTGTTCTTCTACATGGGTATCTCCCGCAAGGTCAACACAGTGATGCACGTCCTCACCTTCTTCATCGCTGCTGTTTCTGCTTGCTCCTACTACGCCGAGTGGGCTGGTCTCGGCGTCGAGTACAAGACCACCGACACCACTCCCCGTGTCATCTTCTGGGCTCGCTACCTTGACTGGGTTGTCACTGGACCCGTAAGATGTTATTCTCGCATGCCGCAGTGAGCTGACTTTGTTTTCCTCAGCTCATCCTCACTGACTTGGCTCTCCTCTCCAAGTCTGACACCCCCACCATCATCTCTTTGGTTGGCAACATGGTCCTCTACGTCATCTGCGGCCTCATTGGAGCCCTCACCGTGGCCCCTTACAAGTACATGTGGTGGGTTGCCGGACTGATCTTCTTGATCATCGTCTTCATGCTCCTCCTCCAGCGCCTCAACAACGCTGAGGGATATGGCGGAGATGCTCTCAAGGGCTTGACCTGGCTCACCATCCTTGTGTGGATTGTCTACCCCATCGTCTGGATTGTCGGATCTGAGGGCACTGGAGCTTTGGGTCTTTCCCAGGAGGTCGGCATTCTCACCATTGCTGATTTGATCGCCAAGATCGGCTTCGGCTTCTACCTTTTGGCCAACGTTGATGCTCCTGAGTCTGAGTCTGTTCCCCTCAACCAGTCCTCCCAGCAGTACGTTTAAGAGCAACTCTGACACGTCTTCATCGAATGAACAGGGATCTCACAGTTTCAATAGGGAACTTAGGACTTTAGAGTTTCATTAGATAGCAGAAAGCAAGAAATTTCGACTTGCTCATTGTAATGAATATGGAGTTGGAACTGTTCTAGTTCTCACACATCCACACATCGGAGTGAAGCCCCAGGTGCAATCTTGTAAATGCCTAATGCTAACAAAATGCTCTGTTGGTGGAAAAAAGAACATTGCCATCTGGATGCAGTTGTACAAGACTTTCACAGCAAGTGTGCCTCGCTCTATTCCTTTGAAGATTCACCTTTGCTCGGAGAAAGGACCTTCGCCGCATGATGCCATACCCACGAAGATCCATAGGCTACCGCGGCAACAACGGCGAATCCTCCCCACCCATATGATATGAACTTCTGGTAGCTTCGAAAGTTGGCAGGCAACTTGAAGAAGTCTTTGGGGAGCCTGAACAAGTCTCTGATTCCTCTTCCTTCCTCACTCATGGTCACCAGTGAGCACACATTCTACCAGAACCTGCATGAATTTTCAGACTTCGACTCGCAATAAATTTGAGGAAACGACAGAGCCAGTGGAAACTCTTAAAAGGTTAGAAATGCAGCACTGTGAGCAAAAGGAACTCGTTGCAGAATGATATCTTCCTATCACTCAGACAATCTTACCAGCAGCTCGTCACTCCAAGCGTTGTCTGAAATCTATCACTCCCTCACGTCCTGCTGCATAACTTTCTATCTCTATGATATTAGCATACATTCCTTTCCTCTTGTAATACCATGTCTCGCTCCACTTCCAACACCCATACCGCCACATGCCCCCCATCGTCTCCATTCAACTCCCCAACATTCCCTTGCAACAAACCCACTATACCGTACCTTCATACTCATCCCGTTTCATCCCTTACCTCCCCTCCCTCCTCTTGCCCTCCCCTTCCCTTGTTCCCCTCCTGCCTTCCCTTCATTCTCTCCTCCTGTCCTCCCTCCTGTGCTTCCCTTGCTGCCTCCCAATCCTTGTCTTCCATTGGACCGCCATTAGTTGCGGGTTCAGTCGCAGTACCTCACAGGTGGGGTCAGGGTGGGGGTACCAATCCGCTGGTACCATAGGATAGTGGGGTACTTTGGATGTCATTTTGTAGGGTAGTGTGAATGCAAGAAGTGTGTGAGGGGGTAGGGGTGGGAGAGGTTAGAGGTTGGTGACGAGTGAATGATAAAAGACGATGCTCAAGAGTGAAGGGAGGCGACAGCGGGAGAGCAGGAGGGCAGAGCAGAGCAGAACAGAGCAGAGCAGAGCAGAGCAGAGCAGAACAGAACAGAACAGGAAACGGAATAGTGTCGACTACGATGCAGGGTAAAAGGGAAGACAAAGTTGCAGAGCAAGCGGGGAAAGGTGGAGGAAGGAGAAAGGGAAGACGAGAGGAGGGATGCGTAGAAGGATAAGAAACTTTATCGTGCAAGTTAGGAGGGGGAAGATGATTGCAACATGAAAAATTGCCTCAAGATGAACTTTTGGTGTTGAGAATCAGGATGAGAGCTTTCCACTTTCATAACAAGCTGCGAACTATGTGTAGGAGAATTACACTTCAAGGACCTCCCTCACACAGAAGTTGATTCTTGTGGTGCTGAATGTGCTATCCAGGCCTCGAAGTCGAGTTCGCTGACTTGTGGACAATCATCTTGCTCTGAAACAGAGGCCTTGTTGCTCATCAACCAATACGAGAGTCCCTGAAGTTCCTGCACGAGTAGAATGCAGTGGCTCAGTTCAGCTTTATCCAAGGCTCCTCCCATCAAGGCAGAGATTCTGGATGCAGGCACAGGTGACACAAAGTGAGGTACGACTGCTGCCATGATCTGACCGGCTGTGCTTGCAGAACTCAAAGGAGGGAGGATCCTGTGGAAGATCCATGAAGGGAAGCTCAAGGAAAACGGCGCTCAAGTCTCAGTGTTCTCCTGGGAGATGACCGCGAACTCGTCGGACAGCGAGCTGGCGGCTGCAAAGAATGCTCTTAGGAGGATCAAGACCTGCAGGCACCCCCACGTGCTCCAGTACATCGATGGTCACGACCCTGGGGATTCGGCTAAGGCCGGCTCCAAGGTGTTGATCGTGACGGAGCATGTGAAGCTGCTAGACACGTCGACGTTCCAGGAGCATGCGTCTCAGAACAAGGAAGGGATCGTGTGGGGGCTCTATGGAGTGGCAAACGCGATCCAATTCATCAACGAGGATTGCAAGCTGATCCATGGCAACGTTCACCGGGGGAGCATCTTCGTGAGCAAATGCGGCGACTGGAAGCTGGGAGGTGTGGAAGGCAGGAGCTGCCCTGTGAGGCTCTGACGTGCGGGTGCTTCAGGCTTTGATCTGTGTGGAGAAGCGAACGATTCCAACTCCATCTTCCGAAGGTGCGAGCAGTTCCGAGTGAAGAGAATCCTGCCCCCGGAAGTCGCCAAGGGGAACTGGGAGTCGCTACAGGAGGCAGGCTATGCGGTGGACACCTGGTCTTTCGGATGCTTGATCCATGAGGTCCGACCCCCCTCTCTCCCGTCGCTTGCTCCCCCTGATTCAGTCTGAGACATCCAACTGATATCGCCATGGTGACCGCAGGTGTACAACGGCATGCTGGCCCGACCCGAGGATCTCAAGAACACAACGCAACTACCCCAGGAGGTGAACGCCAGCAGTGTTTGCGCAACGGCAGTGATGAAGCCTGAGAGCAGGCCATTCCCTTGTATCAGAGCACGCTGAAAGCCGTTCCCGACCGACGACCCCGAGGGAGTCAGGTACGTGCGGCTGGGTCGGCGGCTGTAGGCAGGAGGCTGACGATGAGGCAGATGCTGACGAGTCCCTTCTTCAAGTCTCGGATGGTACAAGTGAACAAAAGTCTCACAGAGCTGGCTCTCATGGTGAGCGCTGGCCTTGTCTTCTCCACGCTCTCATGCTTGTCGAAGGATTCCGCGCAAAAGGAGGATTTCTTCTTGAAGTTGTCCGAGAGCCTCGACCTCCTGCCTGTTAGTCACTCCTTCAGCGTTTCTCCTCTGTTGTGCTGACCTCTTGATCATAGGACTGCTTCCTTCGATTCAAACTTCTTCCTGAACTTCTCAAAGTAAATCGTCCTTGCACTTCTTCACAAACGGCGATGAAAGATTTTCAAATTTTGTTCAATTTCAAGATTGCATAACAGAGATTCTTTGGGTCTGTCTGATATTCATCTCAGGCTGTTGAATTCGGAGGTGCAGGAACGGCAGCCATCGCTCCTATGCTCAAGTAACCTTCTGCTTCATGACATAAGATGATTGTCGATTGCTTTGTCGATGTTCGTTTCGTTTGCTGTCTTGTTGATACCTTTTTGTTCTCTCTCTTCTTCTCCTTCCTGACTTTCAAGTTCTGTTCTACTTCTTTGTGATTTCTTTTCGAAGAATTGGCCAGAGAATGACGGCAGAAGAATTCGGGAAGGAGATTGTGCCGGGTGTCGTGCGATGCTTCGGGTATTATCCTGATTCCCTCAATCTCTTCTTCATCATCATCTCCATCACCTCCTCCTCTACCACCATCATCATCTCACATGATCAGCCTCTCACATCTTCGCAGCTCTCAGGACAGAGCGACGAGGATCGGGCTCCTGCAGAACCTGCACACGTTTGCTGAGCATCTGACTCCCAGTGCGCCGGGTGCGATGGAGAGACAAGTCGCTCTAATATGATGTGCGCAGCTCTGGTGGAGAAGGACATTTTCCCTCAGATCTCTTCTGGCTTCACCGATAGCGTGCGATGAAGCTGCTCTGCATGTCACGTGCGAGTAACGGAGAGAGCAGGTCCCAGCTCTGCGCGAGCTCTCTGTGAAGAGCCTCGTCCTCCTGGTTCCAAAGCTCTCGGACCGCGTGATAAACTCCCAGGTGAAGAGAAATAGAGGGGAGCAGCAGCAGCAGCAGCAGCAGCAGCAGCAGCAGCAGCAGCAGCAGCAGCAGCAGCAGCAGCAGCAGCAGCAGCAGCAGCAGCAGCAGCAGCAGCAGCAGCAGCAGCAGCAGCAGCAGCAGCAGCAGCAGCAGCAGCAGCAGCAGCAGCAGCAGCAGCAGCAGCAGCAGCAGCAGCAGCAGCAGCCAGCAGCAGCAGCAGCAGCAGGCAGAGCAAGTCTGAGAAGAGTTGCAGGTGTTGAGGTCCATCGCGCAGCTCCAACAGGATCCCGAGGGGTCGATCAGATGCAACACGACGATCTGCCTGGGCAAGATTTCGGCCAACCTCACCCCCTCCACCAGAGACAAGGTCCCTCACTCCCACCTAGCACTCCAGCTGAGACTTTTGACCGCTGCAGATCCTCTTGCCGGCCTTCAACCGCGCTCTTCACGATCCCTTCCCGCCTGCTCGCCTCGCTGCTCTCATGTCACTTGCCGTTACGATGGAGTTCTATACTGCCCAGGATATCGCTCGTAAGGTGAGAAGAGGCGAGGAGGAGGAGGAGGAGGAGGAGGAAAAGGAGTTGACGCATTCAGTAGGTGCTCCCTGCCGTCGGGATGTTGACGGTGGACCCTCAGAAGGACGTGCGGGATCAGGCCTTGACGTGCCTGCAAGGAGCAGTCAGCCGGCTCGCGGCTGAGAGCTCCAAGATGTCCGATGACCTGGCGCTGCAGGTGTTCCTCCTCTCCCACCTCCCCCCCCAACAAGTGCTGAGACCTTTAAGCAGGGCGGAGGGCCAGTCACCTCCCCAGTGATGAACGAGGCTGGAGTGATGAGCTGGGCAGCAACGGCTGCGGCCTCGACCCTGACCAAGAAGATCTGGGGGAGCATCGACAGCGCGGAGACGAAGGCGAGCTCGAGCAACAAGTCGCCGGCGCAGCCGAACAAGGAGGAGAAGGGAGGAGGGCAGGAGAAGCACGCGGACAGCAACAAAGACACGTTCGCGGACTGGGAGGACGACAAGGCAGGGACAAGCTCGGGATGGGATGACGGGATGCTCGACGACGGGCTGGATGAACCCTTCGATGTCCCTCAGCCCCCGGCCAAGGGTGGGAAGCCGCAGGGCAAGGCTGGAGGGAAAGCGCAGCAAGACGACTGGGGAGCTCTGATTGACGATGTTCCAACGAGCACGAAGCTGGAGGCAGTCAAGAGTAAAATGTCAGCTGGGAAGAGCTCGGGGGGTGCAAAGGCGGATGACTGGAGCTCTCTACTCGATGACAAGCCCGGGAAGGGAGCGGGGAAGGCTGCGACCAAGACGTCAGACGATGACTTTGAGTCTCTGTTTGACACGAGTAGGAAGAGGATGCGAGAGGAGGAGGAGCTGACACGGTTGTAGGCAAGAACCTAGGCGCGAAGAAGAAGCCGGGCGCGAAGCTTGGAGGAGCCAAGGTACTGGGGATTGTGCTGGAGGGTTGCGGGCTGATTCGTTTTGAAGGTTGTCAAGAAGTCAGATGATCTGCTAGACTGGGAGGAGTGGTGAGCTACATGTTTGCATCACATCTATTCTTTCATTAAAGTCTTGTTCTCATCTTTCTCGCATGACCTCTGAGGTCCAGCCAAACTTTCCTCGTCTCCCCACCCTCTCCCTCCTCCTGTCCATCCACTCACCTTGCCTCAACACGAATGTTGTTTCCCATTCCCGCGCCTCTCTCCACCGCCCTCCTCCCCTTCGCTCTCCCCGAACCTTCTCAGATGCCATTCAGAGTCTCGAGCTTGTTCTGGTAAGCCTGGGAGTACAACTTGGCGGCGGCAGAGAACGGACTCTCAACTGCATGCTCGTGAGTGGAGGAGGAGGAGGAGGAGGAGGAGGAGGAGGACCATTGATGTCCCTGAACGCGGAGATCTGACAAAACTCCAGAGAGTTGTTCCTTGCAAACTCTGCTCCTTCGGTGGTATGGACCTGACACAGGAATCAACGACGACAGGGCTGGAGGGCTGCCACCTTGACACGATCTTCCAGGTCAACCTTGTTGGCAACGACCCTGCAGAGAGATGTTGAGTCAAGTGCACATTGAGAAAGAGATCAACGTACACTCCAGGGAGAACTTTTTCCGGACACTTCTTTCGCACTGGAGACAAAGTCAGGTTCCACTCCCTAAAGAAGAGGAATGTACCGAGGTCTAGCCATTCGCCCAGGTTTTGAAAGGATTCTGGTTTCGTCACATCGTAGACAAAGATGACAATGTTGGAGTTCTTCCACTGCAAACCACTGTCATTCTTCGAAGGCACCTTCTCACTTGGTTACGTATTGACTTGTTAGGTCTTTGAAAACTGACTGGCCCGCACAGTCATAGATGTGAAGCTCTACAGTGTAGTCACTCTCTGGCACTTTGATTTCCTTCATCACGAAATCACATCCTGCTCCACTTCATGAGAACGAACAACGCAACGATATGCTCAACGGTCGATTGCCTGTGGTCATGTTGTATTGCCGAGGATAGTGCGACCCTTTGCTGTGAAACATCTGCACAATCGCGCTCTTCCCAACCCCAGCATCGCCTGATGTGTGCATCAAACCGCAAGGCCAATGAATCTATGTTGGATCACCGACAACGATCACTTTGCATCGCAAGAGGACTCCGAAGTTGGCAGAACTCATTGCGGCTGATATTTCAACGGTCCCTCAGGATGCTGTTTTCCGCCAGACGAAGCGAGAAGATTCTTCCTTATGTTTCACCTGCAAAGGAAAACGTAAATCACGTGTCATGGAAGAAGCACTTTTCTTTACTCAAACTTTTCAGTCCGTCCTTCAATTTCCGATCCCCAGTTCCTCCATCCTTTCCCCTTCTTCGACCCATCTATTTCTTCTTTGCTACCTAGCTGCCTCCTCCCTTTCGACCTCTATCCTTCTCCTTGCCCTCTTCTCCTTCCCCGCACGCCTCCCTCTCCTCCCTCCCGCCACCATATTTCGAACAACCGAACTAATCTCAGTCAGCTCAACCAATTAGCATTGAAAGTCCTCTTTCTAATTCAGTTTTGCCGCTCGGCCGCGGCGCCGCCGGCCGCGCCCGGGCCTCGCGGCGGCCGCCTGACCGTCCGTGAGTCCGGGCCCACCAAGTGACGGAGCACAAGTTTGTTAGACTTGTACTGTGCCAAGTAATATTCAACGAGGCAAGACAGCATCATGACATCAACTTAAACCGGGCCCCGGGCCCGGCCAAGCTTCCCTGAGTCCGTCCAGACATGTGAGAGGAGGCTTACGCGGCAAGACGGCTAGGAAGACCCCTGCGATGGCCGGGCAAGACCGTGGCAGACTCTCCTGAGGAGCTTCCGCCGATCCGATCCGATCGGTGATGATCCGGGCCTCCCTGAGTTGTGACAGTAACTTAGCATCTCAGTACTTCAACACTCAGTGACTGCCGACTCAATCCGAGACGGTCGGCCGGGGCCCGGGGCGGCCGCGGGGCCCAGCCAGCCCGGCCCGGGCTGACTCGCGGCAGTACCGTACGACGACGGTACCGGCGTGACGGCCGACCCGGACTTGAATTGCCGCATCATGGTCATGACAACAGAGAGACTCTGGCAGATGTCACACGCCTACCGTCGTACGGTGTACAGTACGGTACCGGAGCCCGGAGCCGGGTCGGACAGTCACGCCGGGTCACGACGGCCGGGCGGCAAGCCTCCGGACGCCGGCCGGGCCCGGGCCGGCCTCACAGTCACAGTGGCCCTCATCCAGGCAGTCACGCTTGTCCGTAACGCTACCACGCCATTTTGAAAAATGGAAACAGCGATGTAAGTTTGGGATACGGTCGAAGGGGAGGAAGAGAGAGATGGGAATGGAGGAGGATCTCCTCAAAAATGTCATTTGTGACATTCAGATGCGATTTCAATTGATGACTTTTCATCAGTTTGAACTTTGAGATGCTTGAAGTCTTTCCAGAGGTGACATCAACAATTTTGCTGTCAAACCTTACATGCATGGCAGTTGATTCAAATGATATCAAAACATCTCGATTGCGAAGGGATTCGAAAATTTGCCTCCGTCAACAAATTGTGATGCAATGTTGTAAACTATCAGCTCAAAGATGTGATAACTTGCAGGATCCGAGAAATGACCTACTCCGCTGTGGTGGTTGCCCAATATCAAGAAACACGAATCTTCTTGAAAGGTTGGTCATGAAGTTGCAGTGAGCTTTTTGAATGATTCTTTTCTCCAGGGCTGTTTCAATCGTTCCAAGAATATGCATTAAAGGATGGTCATATGTATTCTAACAAAATGAAATGCAAAGTATTCAAGGCAACAATTGAGGACATCTGTTCTTCAGTTGAGATGAATGTGAGTCATCTAATTCAAGCTCATCTTTTGATTTTTGTGGTCAGGATAACTTAGGATTCTTGATGGATAAGTGCTTGGAGACTGAAAAATGCACACAATATGTTCGATTGCCAAATCTTCTTTCTACAAGTATGAAACATCAACTCAATGACAGAGAGAAACGAGTCATAGCGTTGGTAAGTCGGTGCAAATTACAACAAATACATTCCTCAGATTTCTTCCGACAGGGAATTCCAATTCAGAAAAGGGTAAGATGCAAGTTTAGCATCAAGAAGCAGAAGCTTGGGAGGTTCCAAAGTGCTCTATGCGAAGACTGCAAGAAGTACGCTTGCATATTGTGCGAGGACATCTCCACATGTAGCACATGCGCCACCTCGAAATGTTCGTCTTGCAGGTAAGAGATGGAGGAGTTGCGAGTCTGCAGAGAAATCTGAACGTTCCGCTGAAGGGATTCGGAAACTTTCTTTGTCCGGTGCGATTGCTGTGAACGTGTAACTTGCCAGAATTGTGCCATGGCCGACAGGTTGAATTGCCACAACTGCTGTATCTATGTCGCTGACAGAATGGCAGCTCAAGGTGTCCGAGTTGCCCCTTCTTCTCACAGTTGTGTTCAAAGTGCACGCACATGCCACATTGCGAGATCTGCGGGCTCCATTGCAAAAAGCCTCCAAGGTGAATCATCGAGGATGGAATGCAAGAATGAAAGTCTGATCAGTCCCTCTCTTAGGGTCTGTGAGTCCTGCGGAGTTTCTTCGTGCGATTCTTGCATTCCCTTGTCATCTGTCTGCATGGTAAGTCCGCCTTCTTTGACCAGCTTCTGGTTCCCCCTTGACTCTCGTGCCAGCAATGTGGTCAGTACAGTCTCTGGTAGATGTACCTTCAATAAACTCCAGTTGACTTGCTTTTGTGTCCTTTGACGTTCAGCTCACTGATGAATTGAATTCCTCCGATTCTTGTCCCGATTGATTGATTTCATTGCTGCTCTGTTCGACTTCCTCCTTGTCTTCCTTCTGTTTCTGCCCTTGGCTTTCTGCACCCTCCTTCTCCTTGCCTTCCTGGTTCTGTACGTACTCGTCTTGCTCCTCCTTTTCAATCTTCTCCTCCTCAGCTTCTTGTTTCCTCTCTTTGACCTCGACCTCATCGTTCAGATGCTTCTGCGATTTACCTTGCAAGGTCGCTCCTCGCAGAAAGTCTCTGATCACCAGCGCATGCTTGATCTCCTGAATCTCGAGGATCCGAGCTTTCCTTGCGTCCCGCAGCTTCTGGGGGATGATAGAAGGCATCCTCCACAAGGCGATGGTGAACATCAAGTCCTCCCACGAGACTGGAGGTACATGTCAGGACCTGCTCACAATGGATATCCGAGCAGACAATGTTACCCGCGTTTTGGAATTCTTCTGTCTTCTTCCACGCGAAGTTGAAGTCGAACTGCTTGAGGGCAGCGACGTCAGGGTTGAGGGCACCAGAGGATTGGGGGGTGATGTAAGAGATGAAACTGTTCTTGCCCTTGTTCCCCTTGCTCGAGTTTCTCTCCCGCATGATCAAGTGAAGTTCCGCGCGGATGAACTTGAGGTAAGTTCGGTTCATCCTCTGATTCGTCTGCCTCCTAGCAGACAGACTAGCAAACCCCATCGGAACAGGTAGATCACGCATGAAGGGCTCGAGACAGTTGACTGGCAGCCGTCCCGTCCCCTTATCATACCTGCGAAAGATGTCTGCGTAGTGCTGGACCTGAGGGAAGGTGATAGTCAAAGGACAGAACAGAAGCAATGAGAGCAGACCTGATTGATCCCCTCGCTTTCCTCCACCTCTTCATCAACGTCGGTTGACGCTTCTTGTATGACAAAAGAAAAGTTGTCGAGAATCATTCCAACAAACAGATTGATTAGCATCCCTTCGCATATTAGCTTGAAGCAAACGAAGTATATCGCCGTTCCAGTCTTGTAAAATCCACAGTCACCAAAACTGTAGTTCTTTCCGCTGTAGCCAACGATATAATCTGAGCTGAACTGATAAGTACAGAAAGGTGGCAGAATACTGAGATCCTCCAGCATCTCCTGCCATTCATCTCCAGTCAAAATCTGCAGACTGGTGACAAACGAGGAGCCGAGAGTGTCGAAGTTAGCCGTTGGGCCGATCCTGACTCCACTGCGTGTGAGGCCGAAGAGCTGTACTGCTACAGCAGCGAAGATGATGTAGATGAGAAAGAGCATTGAGATGACGTTGATGAATTGAGGTAGACATAGGAGAAAAGTTTCGAGAATCACTCGTACCGGTCGAATCTGATTGAGCAGTCGAAAAACTCGAACAAGCCGCAATCCTTTGAGAAATTGCAGGTATGACGCCGTGTTGCCTGACAGTAGCATAAAGGAGGTCAGGACTATGCCCAAGTCAAAGATTCGCCATCGGTCGATGAAGAATCCTTTCAACCCATACGCGAGAAAGTTCATGGCAACTTCAATCCCTAGCAGAATGTAGGTACAAATATTCTGCCAGTAGATCATCTTGCTCAAAAGATCGCTAGCATCCGAATGGTCCGCTAGCATAAACCCGACATTGACAGCAATGAAGAATAGCGATGTTGCCTTAAAGGTTTGAGTTTCAACAATCTTACGGATCTTCACCGTAGATTTTGGGTACTTGTGGGCAGTGACTTTCGGCTTGTAGAGTTGAACTCTTAGAATAAAGTTGTAGAGGTCTTTTTCCGCAGATGATGTTCCCTTGTTGACAGTGAAAGCATCTACAATGAAGCCAATCATTAGGTTCCAGATAAAGAAAGACCCGATAGCTATGTATATCACGAAAAAAAATGCATTTTCAGAGTGCGCATCCTGCAAAGGACTTGTATCCACAGTTGTAACATCCATTGCACTTTGCATGACGGAGACATACTTGATTGTTGTGACTTTGAACAAAGTCAAAGCTGAAGTCCAAAAGTTGTCAAAATTGTGCCGCTGGTTAGTCCATGAGCTAGCGTACAGTATCCTGTTATTGCTGTTAACGAAAGTTCCACTGCAGCTCGCTTTCCCTAGCGGGTAACTCACACTCGGATCCGAGCAGCTGAAAAATTTTCCACCAAACAAACCCATAGCAACTATTCCAAAGGCTGAGATTATGAAGCCCAAGAAAAAGAAGATGTAACAGAGAGGCACCAGTGACAGAACAAGTGCATTAATCGTGTTTCTCATACCCCTGTTCTGCTTCATGACTCTCAGAGGCCTCAACGCTCTTACAAGCCTCAAAATCTTTGCATTTGAAAGCGACTGGAATTTCACTAAATTTTGGAGCCAGGAGACGCAGAGTACAACAAAGTCCAAGACATTCCAAGGGGATCGGAGATAGGCTCCCTCTGAGAAAATGAAACCAACATTCATGATCCTGATAAAGCTCTCTACCGAAAAAATGATGTTGAATATCAAATCTGTGATACGGGAAATCGAAGGGCTAATGAGATACGGATAGTTTGGAATATCATCATATGGAGCTAGAGTGAATAAAAACACGCAACTGCAGATTATGCAAACCAAAACAAACCCTTCGAAGATTTCCGATTCACCAATCCGTATGAAAATCCGGCGAAATAGCATTGACTTAGGAAAGATGAAACAGGCGTAGTCAGCGTAAAGCCTTTTTCCTTCGTCATCTTCGACCATAGACCCTTCTACTGTGCTCGAGTTAGACTGATACAGCACAAGCTTCGACGACAAGCCTCGCTGAACTGCCACCTCAAAAGCTGATATTTTCGTAGAATCCTTTCCAAAACTTTGATCCTCCTGCAAAGATTCCTGTTTCGAAGTTCCTGGAAAAGAGTCAATCATACACTCAACAAACCCTCATCATTTGTACCGTCACCTGCTGGCATGTCTCCAACCAAACTCACAGTCGGTAACTTCTCTTCCACCTGTGAATCGCTTTCTACAATCGAACTAGGCTGAATGACCTCTTCTGGTCGCACGCGAGATCTGTCGCTGTCATGTGGCAGAACTGGAAATCTCTTTCGAGCTTTCCTCAAGTTCGAGAAAGTCTTCGCAAACATAGATCTGAGAGACTGAATAGCTTGCGATGCCTCTTCATTTTCTTTCTTGAAAGTGACATCGAAGGTGAAGTTTTGAATGATGATGGCCACCAACAGATTGATAAGCAGAATCTGCGAAAGAGTCAACGCACTTGGGCTTACGTAATCAACAATCACCTGACAGAAAAAAAGTACAAAATAGACAAAGAATGCTGCTGAGAGCTGCCCAACGAATGTTTCTTTTACATGAATCGCGCTGTAAAGTATTCTGGACCAAGAGTCACCGGCAGTGAGCTGGAAGATGGTCAGGAAGGCATAACCAACGCTGGAGAAGTTCGAACGGGATATCGCGTCCAAAGTGTCTCCAAAAAGGAACCTTCCAATCGTTGCAAACGAGATCATCCAAACCAAGCAGAACACTGCAAGATTCAAAAATGATCCGAGACTGTTGACAGAAGTTGATAACAGGCCCTTAAGCAATGGAAAGTGTCTGCATAGTCGAAAAATCCTGAACGACTGCGAGAATTTGAAGAAATCTCCTGTAGAAGGAGATAACCCAGTGAATCCGAGAAGAAGCAGTAAGAGATCAATTCGAGCTCTCCATAAAAACCTTAAAAAGCTTCTGCATTCGATGAAAAACAACCAAGCATCGACTGTGTACACGAATATACAAACCACAATGATTGCAAAATAAATACTAGAATGAGATGCAGAGGCTTCGTACGTATCCAATCCGAGGATGATGACATGTGCAATGACAACCAACGACAGAAAATGCTGATATATTGCATTAGTTCGCACAGCTTTTGCAGCCTCGAGTAGAAGCTTTTCATCATAATTCATTTGAGCATTTATAGATGGATGAAATGCCAAGTTTTCGAATTCATTGTAGACACCAGAATAACTTTTGATTCTACAGACAACTGGTCAGTAAATATGCAATCAAATAAATATCTTCACCGTTCATTATCCGGCAAACTCAATGGAAGTCTGTTCGAAGCGTCTTCAATGATAATGGATGGCTGAATACGTCGGAATGTCTCTGTCACAATACCCACGAAGAATCCCAAATCCATCCAGTGGCATAAAATAAGGATAAAAGGATAAAACAAAAATGTAATGAACCATACTTGATACTGGCTTTGATAGGAAAACCAAAGGACATCATATGCATTGTCAGGAAATATCCACTGCGATATCGCAAGAACGGCTCCGAAAAAGTGATCAAAGTGCATCAGACCGAAGTAACCAAACTGCAAAACATTTGGAGGTGTCAATCATCTTTACAATCACACAGGCAATCACTTACATCCTCAACATTTCCTACTGTCTCGCACATTTGAGTGACTGCGGCTTGACCTTGCTGTAAGAAAAGACTCATTTGACAGGTGTGATATCTGCCTTTGTGATCTAGAGGATATTGTCCATCATACTGTCCGGGCGTTGAGTTCTGTAAAATATCGCACATCTTGAAAAACTGATATCCTCCGGTAACGCTCACATTCCAAGGTTCCACACTAAAGCCATAACTGGAAACTAAAGGAGCTTGGCATGCAGGACTCCAGCTTTGAGTTGAAACAGCTGTACATGCAAAGTTTTCGATGAGAACTTGTACACACCTGTTAAATCATAACGTCAAAAGAAACAGTCAAAGCTTTGAAAATGTAAAAACCTCCTTCGGAAAGCAGATTGGTATACTGATACTCCAAATATGGCAAAAGTAAAGACAAAGCAGACAAGAATCAGAAGTGCACTCCACATTTGGCTCAACCCAACATCAAGTGTCAAAACCATCCATTTCAGCTTTTCGAATGAGTTCATCACTCGTAGCAGCCTAAAAACCCTCAAAAAGCGAAATGAAGCAAAAGATATGCCTGTTATACTGTCGACACATCAAAACGTTTCTGAAAAAAAATTAAGTTTACCTGAAGAGCGACAGGATGATATCCACCACACCAGCAACCAAAACGAGAAAATCGATTGTGTGGAACTTGGACTTTCTAAGATAATAATGTGCATCATTGAAGCACCCCATAGCGATGCAGCCAACCAAAATTTCAATTCCGAGGAAACCGAAAAGAATAATGTTCAGCAAGTTGAATCTCGCCAACCAGTTGTATCGAACATCATAGGTCCTTGCATCCATATTATGAGACCCTGCATGATCTGTAGATAGAAATGCAATTGCTGATGCCCCCAGTCCATGCAAAACAGCGAGAAAAAAGTGAAAAGTTACCCAATACTTGTTATCAAAAACTTTCAGACAAAACATTCGGAAGCGACTTTCCTTAGGAAATCCAGGAAAGCGTATGTCCCAGAAGCTGAGTGAAAAACTGGATGAGGCTATTCCTTCAAATTTTTGATAAGGATCTGTCGACAAAGGGAAGGTTTTTTCTGGATTTGCATCAGGAGCTTGACGCAGGGAGTTCCCCCTAAAACTTGTCGTATTTTTCGCCTCTTCTTCGCTCGATTTGCTCAGACTACGTTTTAATGTTGCATGCGACTTTGTTTCCAGATCAGCCAAATCTATGATCTCCAAATCAGCATCGACTCTTAGTTTCTCACGAGATACAGGTCCCACTGCATTCTGTTCCAGTTGACGGTTTTCTTTTTCTTCAACTTCGTCAGCCTCGTCAGATTTTGCGACAGGATTGTTCTCCGATAGGTTTATGTTAGGAGCCTGAGCACCTTCGAGCATGGTTGCCCTGATAGATCTAGAAGACTGTTGCCCTGTTAGTGCTTGATGAGGGCGCGGAGTCGACCCCTTGAAAACGCCTCCTGATCTCTATCATAAGCATACGGGAACGAACAAGCACAGCTATTACCGTTAGAAGGTTGTACAGAGTTCATACCTTCAAGGGCCTTTTGCTTCTCAATCAAGGCGTCGAGCAGCGCTTTTGCCTGATACGATGTCACCGCTTTTGTTACGGTTTCCAGCTGCAGTAGCGGATTCTCACCTCTCGCAGCATTTCATCCCTCCAGGGCTCAGAATCCTTGGAATCTGACATGGTGGTCTTGAACTCCCAGAGCCAGTTAACAAAGTTTCCTGCTATTTAAGATGAAGTTCCTGATGTTCAGAAATGCGGATGAACTTGCGCGGTTGCAGCCGTTTCACCATCCTATCTTGTAACATGTGTATCGGAGCATGGAATCTTACCCCCGCGGCGAGAAGGTGCAAGGGAGAGGGAAGAGTGACACGTGTTATCAAGAAGAGAAAGACGAGGTCTGCTACAAACTCGCAACATTTTCCCGCTTCACCACTGACCCATGGCGCTGGAGTTTGCTGGACATTTCCACAAATTCACTGACACAGATCTGATACACAAAAGCAAACTCTTTCAAGTCGGCATCAAGATTTCCCCGAGGCGGGCTTACACATAAAGAGAGGAGTACAACATGCTAGGTTTCAGCTTCGAAAGGCGCGTATGATGCTGGTTGAAAAGGAGAGAACAGGATCATGCATCAGGAAGTTGTAGTAGCTGACATCCACAGCAATGAAGAAATGGATTAAGGATGGTGGAAAGAGCTTCTTCTCTGCGCTCACAGCCCACCGCGGAGGCAGTCAGGAAGCCGATGATGCAGGAGGAGATTCGGATCCAGAATTTCCCTCCAACACCTCTGGGTCGATAAATTCTCAGCCCAAAAAGATGACAGCTGGATCGAGAGTACTTGTGCCTTCCACCACCAAACAGACCAAGTCACAATTCGAGGATTATCTGAATCAAAGTGCTGTTTCAGTTTTAGAAGGAGATTTGATGAAGAGAAAGGGTCGTGGAATAGGTAAAGCTTGGGTTCGGCAACATTTTGTTCTTCGTAAGGACGCTTTATATTACGGACCATGCACCGGGTTCACGTACAAAGAGAAGAAGATTGCTCTCTCTCGTGTTCACATTGGCTCGGCAGAACATTACACCAACAAGGTGGGCATGTCTCTTCCAGTTTTCAACCGTGTATGTTGATATGTTGATTTGGCTTCCAGGAAAATGCATTTGGTGTCCTTGATTCTTCGTCAAAGTCACTGCATGTCATGTCTGCTGAAAGCGAAAGGAGCATGATCGAATGGGTGAAAACTTTGATTGCGGTACAAGTTGCTTTGGAGAACAGGTACAAACCTCAAAACGCTGCGCGGCCAAGATCAGCGCTTCAGAGCAGCAGGAATCAAAAGTGATTGAGATCCATGCGTGTCTCAATTACCTAATTGCCCCTTTGGTAGACATCCCGAGATTCCATCTTTGCCAAATCTCTTAAAGAAACACACTGCAAAACAAAGTGCAGCACAAGACAGCCTGCAAGATCAAGATGAAATGATTTTGAAGACCAACCGAGAATGCAACAGATCTACGGACCACTTAACAGATAGCAGCGAAGACGAGACCTTCACTAGACCATCAGTGAGCAAGAATGTGGAAAGGTTCTTCGTTTCTTCCGTATCGGAAACAAGGTCCTGACTTGCATATATTAATTGCAGGGGAGACTTAGAAGGACTACAGGAAGCACTGTTCAATCTAGATTTATCCAAGGCCTATGCTTTCATTGATGTGAGATCACTGAGCATGACGGCATCATTGAGTTTCTTATTCCTTGGGTCAGGAAGGTGTGGACCCTGCTTTACTTGATTTTGGGAGAGTTCCCACAATGTTGTATGAGAAAGAACTGATTGCGATGAAAAAGATGGGATTCATGGATCAGAATAGAAACTGCCTGGTGCTTTTACAATGCAAAGGCAAACTAGATGCTGCGGTAATCAAGTTATCACGGGATCGCTAACATAGTCTCTGTATTCATATTGATTACATGGAATATAAAAAATGTCGACAAACAAGAATTCGCAAAACAAAAAAATCACGACGACATCTTCAGGTCAAACTCTGCAACTTAGCACAGCATTGAAGGGCACTCAGGGGGGTTGCTGTCAGCGTCCTGGTCATTGCCTACACCAGAAAAAAGATTAGATTTGAACAACCTACGTTCATGCCTCCAGCTTATTACCAAGTGCAAGAGGATCTGCTCCCCAGCTGGCCTCCCATTCTCCAAAGTACACGGGGGGTTGCTCATGGTGCATGTACTGTTGCAGAAAATGTCATCCGACAAAGATAATCGATAATTTTCTTGCAATCATCTTGAAGTTTCAAGACAAAGTCCAGCAAACACAAAGCACGTTCAATCCTCAAAATTTCACTCTACCTCCATGTTGTACGCCCACAAGCTCTGCCGCATCTCCTGATAGTTCTTCAGCGTTCCGAACATTTTCGTCCTGGTCCAGAAATAGGTCGAACCCTCATCCCCGCTCGTCTTCATGGCCCCCGACCAGAGCCTGCCCCAGAGCAGACCTGAGAGCAGTGTGGGGATGAGGGTTCCACGCCAGGCCCGCTCAGGTTGCCGTTGAAAAATTCAAAAAGTATGCCGTTTTTTTGGGTCCCTTCTGCTAAGGGGGTAGGGGTACTTCAGGACACTGGTAGTACGGGAAAAATTAGGCTGAAATGGGTGGGGTAAAGTCAAAATGGTACTGAGACGGGGTACTTTTGGATGAAATCTGTTCATGTATTCCTGGTGGGTACAATTAGGCACGGGTACTCAATTTTGTACGGGTGGTATTGTGAAAAATTGGGGGTGGTAGAGGGTTATGAATCTAGAGTTGGTGGGTTGGAGGCGGGGCAGGCGAGGAGGAACGACAATGCAAGGAGTACAGGTAAGAAGAGCGCATACACGAGGAAGGAAGGAAAAGGAAATGGGTGATGGAGACGGCTTGAATGAGAAAGAGGAAGAGCTGTTTTGAGATGGAGTTTTGAATCTCTTGAACGGGACCTCGTGCTTCTAGGAATAGATTCATGATTGCAGTGAGACTATGGCAAAGTGAAGGATTAAATTGTGATCTCAGCATAACTCCTACTTACGTATGAACTGCATGTATTTGGATAAGACTTCGTCGTTTCCATGTAATTATTTTCACTGAGATGCTGTTGATGGCAGGCCTCTGGAACGTATTGATACTGACAGCCGAAATCAAGCACGAGCATGAGCCATATAGGTCTATTGCAATGTTTGAAATGCTCCTTGCTCACCATTTGCTCATTCAGATAGCAAAGAGAATTACAATCCACAGCGTTCCAGCATCGGAGAGAGCCTCAAACCCTTGAGATTGGTCTTCAATGACACAAGCCGAAGTTCCAACAGGAAGGACACGACAGGAAAGGCATTATGCTCTGTTGCTAGTGTGAAAAATGGTGCCAAATCTCCCAAGAATGGTCAACTTGGGAAAAAGAGAGGCCTTGCAGAGAAATGCTCTAGCCCTGAGAGGTCTCGTGCCAGTAAGCGAAGGACTACTTCGACACTATCAACGGCATTAGATGAAGTCGGAAATGCCGAAACCCGATTGAGCTCTGCCTGCATAAAGCCAGCCCAAGCACTTCGCAAATCTGTGTGCTTGGAAAGGAATTTTTGTGAAGCTACGGCATTTCGCAGCGAAGCTTCAGGAAAGACTTTTGATGATATCGTGCAAACGAAGAGCAGGAAAGAGTTGTCGTTGACTCGCTGGATGAGCCATATCTTCCAAGAGGCATATAGCACTAATCTAGTAGATGGAAATACGAAATCTCTCCGTACTCTCCAAACTGTGAGGCATGATGCTAGAGCAAGAGCTCAAATTAAGAGCATTTTACAGCAGCCCCAAATTGTGAAAGCCTTTCAGATGATTGAAAAAGAGGTCTCTGATGAAAAGCTATGCATGAGGGCTGACAAGAATTGTTGCACTGATGTTGGAATGCGTGATTACCTGTTTCAAATCATTTTGAGTTTCAATTCAATTTGGCTCCGACCAGCATTGGAGGTCCTATTCAATCAGATCATTCCAAGGACGAATGCAGAAGACTCGATCAATCTTTACAGATTTTTGGCGAGCAATCTTACGAAGAATGCACAGCTTGCTGATAAGTTTGGAATTCAACGTAGCAACTCGGAACTGAATACTAACAAGGAGTACTATAAGGAACTGCACAAGACTGTTTTATTGCGATTCTTGAAACTGGTTGTTGTCTTGGATGAATCTAAGGTTCAAAGCATAATCGACAATGATCCCTGTTTGTTTCGAATTTCACAGTCGCTTCATGTTCCCCACGGACTCATCAACGCTATGACTCTAAAGTCTACTCGTGACGCCATTGCTATGTTCTCAAAAGAGTTTTTGAGCGGTGAGGGCGACTATTTCCGCCATCTTTCTTCCTTAGGAGCTACCTTTAAGTACCAACAGTTGCCTGTGGATGAGTACGACTATTCGATCAAGAAACTCACCAGTGATCTTCAGAATGGTGTTGTACTCTGCAGAATGGTTGAAATCATTGCAAACAGAAAGAAAGAAATCATTCCAAGGTTGAGAGTTCCAACCGTGTCTAGGCTCAATAAGATCCACAACATGAATGTCCTGTTGGAGGTCGTGCAAAGCTATGGAGTACCCTCGAATAAGGATAGTGCCAAACTCCTTGTTGAGGGCAACCGTGACCTTCTCTTGCAATTGATACAGGACATCATATTCAAGATTCAGTTGCCGTTGCTGGTTGATACTGAATTGATTCAAATTGAAATATGCAGGATAAGGAAGTTGAGATCCAAGAGTGTAAAGGCAGCCCGCCCCATGGTCTTAGCATCAACAGCCGTCGACCTGATGCTGCAATGGTGTCAAACTATCTGCGATAGCTATGAAGTTACTGTCTCGGATTTTCAAAATTCATTCCACAGCTTTGTGGTATTTTGTCTTCTGGTAAATTTCTACTTGCCAGATATCATACCAAATCAGGCAATCAAGTTTGATTCTGACACTGGTGCCAAAGACAACTACGAGCTATTTTCCAATGCATTGGAAGAGATTGGCGGAATCCCGCAAATTTTCAAATCTTCAGACAACTCAATTGTGGGCTTGGATGATTCGACTGCAATCATGTTGCTTGGATTTGTCTGCATGAAATTGATTGATCTTGGAAAAGACTGCAGGTCTGCAATGAGAATCCAACGAACATGGAGACAAATTCTGTACAAGCGGAGAATGGCTGCACAAGAACGCTCGGTTCTTGTTCTTCAGAGGTTTGTCCGCGGCGGGCTGCAACGGCTTCGATTTCAACGGATGAAAACTTCCGTATATCTGCTGAGGTCATCTATGGAAAGCAGTTTAATCAGGAGGAGCTACGCAAGCTTTCTGAATCGCGTGATTCACTTGCAGTCCTGGGTCCGCATGGTCTCAGCCACCAAGCAAATTAGTACGATGAGAATTGTATCAAAATGCTTGAGCAATGGAACCTTGCGAATCAATGAGAGGCGTCAGCAAGTCTTGGAAATGAAACACAGGGAGCTTATAAGGGCAGTTGTCATTACCCAGAAACTTCATCGGGGGAAGGTTGCCCGTACTGAGTTCAGAACTAAAAAGACCTCAACCATGATCCTGCAGAGAATTTGGAGAGGTCATTCTGTGCGAAGAAGTGTGCAGAAGATGGCTGCTGCTGCTCTTCGAATTCAGAAGAACTGGAGATGTCTTCAGCAAATGTTGTCGTACAGAAGAGCGCTGGAGAACATTATTAGTGTTCAAAGTCTTTGGAGAGGAGTTGTCCAGAAAGCAAACTTCTTACATTTGAAGAGCTGCACCATTCGTATACAAAGCCAATTTCGAACATTCTGTGCAAAGAGGATTCTAAAAGTGCTCCAGGCCAACCAAAGATTGGTAGCTGCACTGAAATGTAAGGATGCACGCTTCAAGTTGATGGATTTGAAGAAAAATGTAATATTTGCACAAAAAATGACAAGAGGATTCTTGAATCGGAATCATTTTCTGAATGTCAAACAAGCAGCCATTGTGATTCAAACGAATTTTCGTTGCCAAACCAAAAACAAACAATACATGAAACTGCGAAAGAGCACGATACAAATTCAGTCGCAGTGGCGAACGATCAATCAAAAAACACAGTACCAATTGCTAAGGCGATCAACGATCAAAATACAGACTGCCTTCCGGAGACATGCAACATGTATGGCCTACAAACAGGCTCGCGGGCGGCTGATCAAGCTGCAGGCCCAGTACCGCAGCTACAGTCAGCAGCAGGCGTACCTGCTGGCCAGGAAGAGGCTCATCCAGCTCCAGTCGGAGTGGCGACGCTACAGCGCGGTGCAGACGTACAAGGCGCAGAGGACGAGCGCGATCAAGATCCAGGCGTGCTACAGGGGGTACTCGCAGGCCGTCGCCTACCAGCAGGCTCGCGGGCGGCTGATCAAGCTGCAGGCCCAGTACCGCAGCTACAGTCAGCAGCAGGCGTACCTGCTGGCCAGGAAGAGGCTCATCCAGCTCCAGTCGGAGTGGCGACGCTACAGCGCGGTGCAGACGTACAAGGCGCAGAGGACGAGCGCGATCAAGATCCAGGCGTGCTACAGGGGGTACTCGCAGGCCGTCGCCTACCAGCAGGCTCGCGGGCGGCTGATCAAGCTGCAGGCCCAGTACCGCAGCTACAGTCAGCAGCAGGCATACCTGCTGGCCAGGAAGAGGCTCATCCAGCTCCAGTCGGAGTGGCGACGCTACAGCGCGGTGCAGACGTACAAGGCGCAGAGGACGAGCGCGATCAAGATCCAGGCGTGCTACAGGGGGTACTCGCAGGCCGTCGCCTACCAGCAGGCTCGCGGGCGGCTGATCAAGCTGCAGGCCCAGTACCGCAGCTACAGTCAGCAGCAGGCATACCTGCTGGCCAGGAAGAGGCTCATCCAGCTCCAGTCGGAGTGGCGACGCTACAGCGCGGTGCAGACGTACAAGGCGCAGAGGACGAGCGCGATCAAGATCCAGGCGTGCTACAGGGGGTACTCGCAGGCTGTCGCCTACCAGCAGGCTCGCGGGCGGCTGATCAAGCTGCAGGCCCAGTACCGCAGCTACAGTCAGCAGCAGGCGTACCTGCTGGCCAGGAAGAGGCTCATCCAGCTCCAGTCGGAGTGGCGACGCTACAGCGCGGTGCAGACGTACAAGGCGCAGAGGACGAGCGCGATCAAGATCCAGGCGTGCTACAGGGGATATCGTCAGAAATTGGCGTATGCAGAGCTTCGTCGTGTGTCAATTCTTCTTCAATCTTTCTGGAAATGTGTGTTTTACCGCCATCAGTTTCTTTCGTGTAAGGTTTCGGCAGTCAAGCTTCAATCTGCGTATAGATGCTTCACTCAATCCCGCCGTTTCAAGCATTTTCGACTTGTTGCCACATTTCTGCAGGCTCTGTATCGTGGTTTTGTTGCTCGCAGGTTCGTTCATCGATCAAAGGCTGCTCGAAGGATTCAGGCTATGTTTCGTTCGTACAGGCAGCAGAAGCTGTATCAGACTCTACGATCCTCAGCTGTTACGGTACAAAAGAACTTTCGAGCTTGGCAGCAAGAACGGTCGTTCCAGGCCGCCAGAGCTCGACTCATACAGCTTCAGGCTGTGTACCGCGGGCACAGGCAACATTCTATGTACATCCAGCTCAGAGATGCTGCCCTACATGTGGAGACATGGTGGAGGCAAGTCGCTGCTAAGAGGATGTACATCCATGCCCGCACGTCGGTCGTGAAGATCCAGGCCTGCTATCGAGGATGGCAAGCGCAGAGGCTCTTGCGTTGCATGAAATCTGCTCTTGTGATTCAGAGGATTTATCGAGGATACTCGACCAGGAAAGAACTTGCATCCCTGCATGTCAAAGCTGTTCAGCTGCAGGCAGTGTGGAGAGGATTCTTGGTAAGAAAGCAGGTAGCTGAATGGAAGGCTCGGATTCAGAAGGGAAGTTTGACCATCCAACGCATTTGGAGAGGGCATGTCGCACGCACCGTAGCAGGACAGCGCAGAAGCGCCATCGGAACCATCCAAGCTCATTACAGGGGTTGGATTGAGAGGAAGCGACTCTGGGACGCATGCCGTCAGCTCGCGACTAAAGCGAGGGAGTATCGTATGAGAATTGCTGAGGCTCAGAAGCAGGTGCAGGAGCACATGAAGCTTGGAAACCGCACGGCTCACAGTCTTGAGCTGCTGCTTGAGAGCACTTCAATCTCTTCCACAAGAAACGCCATCACGTCGCTGGAAATGGCTACACGATTGTCTGACGTTTGTGCTCAATGCACGGTGGAGTTGGGAGCGATCGAGAAGCTGTATGAGATCATGAGATCCTGCAACAGAAGCAAGCCTGAGCTGATGCTGGCGAAGCAGTGCCTGCAGACCCTCTCCAACTTCACCTTGTACAAGACGAGATTCCGCGATGATCTTTGCATCCTGCCTCTGACTGCAGAAGCGCTGGCGGAGTTCATTCAGAACATGAGGGAAGCTGATGAAGATGCGGTGCTGCTGGCCGTTGGACTCCTGAGATTCATCTGCACTGATGAGAGCAAGGCGTCTGAAATTGCTGCTCTCCCTTCTCGTGGCTCCCTGCCAACGCCCATGCACAGGTTGAACATGACGCTGAACATGCTGCAGAAGAAGATTCCAAAGCCTACCAACAATCGCAAACCCCAGACTCCAAAGCTGGTGGTGGAGCTGCAATCTCTAATTCAGGTCATCGGCCAGAATAAGTGAAAGACGATGACTATTTCACTCGTAGTGATAACTTCTAATCAACTCAACTAACAGAATTTGAAGTAAACAAACATGAAAATGATATCAAAAGATTATCTGCGCTGTACACTCTCTAGCCATTGCACCCTGCGCTGCAATGCTTCATTTTGTGTTTGCAGGGTACGAAACATTCGTTCCCACTCTGTCCTCTCCGATCTCATCGCCGTCGAGTTCTGCTCAGAACCTTGAAAGTGGTCGCGCAGTTGGGACCGGAGGGAGCTGATCGTATCCATGAGAAGAGCGATCTGCCCGTGCAGCCTGTCGTTCTCTTCGCGCATCTTTTGGTTGGAGTACTCAAGGTCACGATTAATGTGGCTGATTCTTGTAAGCTCTTCGTTAGCCGATTGAGCTGCTTCATGCAACCGAGCGTTTTCTCTCAGGATTTCACTCTGAATTCTGACCATGCTATCATGCTTCTCCTTCCCGAGCTTGACGTACTTGACGAGCTGAACTTGCGGTCAGCAGCAGCCAATCTGAGGTGAGCTTACCTCCTGCTCGTGTTCGCTCTGAATTCGCGAGCGAGATTCGCTTTCGTTGAGCTCGATGCTCAGTTGCGACACCTCCTTCTGCTTGTCGTGCATTCTGTCACGCAAGCTCACCTCTCCTACTCGGATAGCAAGCATCTCCTGCTGCAGGCTGTTGTTGAGCTCCTCCTGCCTCTGAAGCTCCTCCATGTACGCCAGTTCCATCGTCTTCACACAAGGAAGACACTTCCATGGGATCCCCGACTTGTTCCCGTCGCATCCCCGGCAGAAAGGAGACCGAGGAACTCGCATCTTCCACTTGACCTCGAGGCTCTTGCTGCTCGTGCTCGTTCGGGAGTAGCCTGTAGATGCCGCCATGGTCGAGCGAGAGCCTCTGAACGCAAGTCAGTCGCCATGCACGATCAACATCGATTCTCATTGGTCTCGAGCGATTCCCTCAAACGCATCTCCTTCATCGTGACGAGAGAACAAGATCGGAGAGAAAGATAAACGATTTCAATCCACAAACTTGGCTGAAATAACATGGTAGCTCTCCCTCCCTCCCTCCCTCCCTCCCTCCCTCCCTCCCTCCGAGACCCTCCCTTCCTCATGTCCCTCTTACCATCTCCACACTTTTGCACTCCACCTGTCCCTGTACCTCCCTCACCTTCTCCCTCTCCCTCCTGCTCCTGCTAATTCTCATTATCGCTCATCTCCTCACCATGAAGAAGAAGCATCCCCCCAAGTCCTTCCCTCCTCTCCCATTCCTCATAACTTAGCCAGGCTCACTCTCCTGCTTGTCTTCCTCCCTCCCCCTTCTCCCTCCCCTTCCACTTGTCTCCCTTGCCCTCCACTTATCTCCCTTGCCCTCCCCTGATGTCTCTTCATCTGTCCCGCCATCGCGCCAGTCCTCCATTGCTCGTAGCAACCCACGGCCTGACTTTACTCTATTTGCTCTCTCCCGGTCCTGCTGTCCGCCTGCTCATCTCAAGCTCGCCTCAGCGCTGGAACCACGCGTCGACATGGCTGATGCAGGCGAAACCCCCAGGTGGGAATCGGTCAATGCAGGCAGGCGAGCAGGCAGGCGAGCAGGCAGGCAGGCAGGCAGGCAGGCGCGAAGGAAGGAAGGAGGGAGATAGGTGTGGAGCGAGCGAGCGAGGGGATGAGGCAAGAACAGCAAAGTAGGTTGAGGTGGACAGGATGACATGAGCACTTGAGGTCCTCGGTGGTCAGCGGGAGCGAGAAGCTCATGCAAGAGAGGAGACCTGGTGGTTGTGGTCGGAGCATGACGTTTGTGCAGCCTTGAGATGTCTGGCCGAAGGAGACAAGGGCTGCAGGTTCTTTGGCTTCTTCAACACCATGGAGTTCTGATCTTCCTTAGCAGTCGCCGGCTATGAATCCGACGTCTCAGGCAATCGTTGCTAGACTGCAAAAATGTGTCTCCTGACAAACCTGTGACCTGCTTCCAGTGGGACGAAATCACAAACTCCGGTGCTCCGCCTGTCCGTGGTCTCTGAAACGAAGAGATGTCTGTTCCCCTCACATGACATTTCAGGACGAGAAAATGAGTTGGAGGAGAAGCGAACTCTGGCGGCACACGGCAAGGGCATCCGAGTTAAAGAAGATGAATCCACAGAGGACGAGGCGCTGCTGGCGAGGTCTCTTGTTCTCTCCTGCGCTTGTTGCTTTCTGAGAAGCATGTGATACAGAGAAGCGTTGTCGACAGGTTCTCAGAGTTCCACGAATGTGGGGATTCCCAGATACTTCCGAGCTTCTTGGCCGAGTCTCTTGCATCAGATCATGTTCATCATACGGCCATCCACTGACATCTACATTGTACTGATGGCCTTCTATCTCAACTTCGGAGGTCCTCATTCGGCTGCGGCAAGCGAGTTTTCGATGTGGGGTTTCTTGAATCGTCATAGATTCTTTTTCATCTGGATACCATTTCTGTGGAGATTGTTTCAGAGTTTTATTCATTTCCTTCTTTCATTAGCGATCATTCCCGCCCCCTTGATATACAACGAGGGCCCTTTGCTCCGATTCTATCCCAAATGGCTGCAAAATTCCATTGCGGAACCTAATGCGTACCGGGAGATTTTGAGGCCCAGGCTAGAGAGCTTCGGGGGCATTTCGATACAGATCGTGACACCAGATGGAGTTTTGCTCGATGCCATGTACTTTCGTGGATGGAACTGTAGAATTGATGGACCAACAATAATCAGGTTCAACGGAAATGCGGAGGCTATCGAGCTTCAGGATCCATATCTTCCCCAAGTTTATGTTCAGAACGGATTCAACTTTGTCATGTTCAACTACAGAGGAGTGGGCAGGTCAAAGTGGTCGAGCCTCTACGGAAACGAACTTGCAGGCCACCTTTACGGGCTGTGGCGCACTCCTGCTATTGTTGGAACACATTTGGACGCATGGAGTCTTGTGGAGTACGTGATGAAGGAGCTGAGAGTGGATCCGAGTCATGTCATTCTTCTTGGGCACTCCATTGGGGGTGCCATCGCAACAAAGCTTGCCGCAAACTTCACGACAGGGCCCTTGACGCTATGCAGCTCGAGGTCGTTCGCTTCATTAGTGGAAGTTGCTGTGCACTTATCGCCCAACTACCTTGGATTCCATCCTAGTTCTTGGAAGGCAAGATGGCTCAAAAAGGTTGCCCGTGCCCTTCTGCATGCTGCTGGATGGGAGTTCAACAGCGTGTCGAACTGGCACAAGGTCAAAGGCTTCAAGTGGATTGAGTACAGCGGTTCAGATCACATCATTCCTTACGACTTGTCACTGCATGCAGCTCTTATGGCATCGCCTACCGTGAAGAGAGAGCAGATGAGAGTGTTAGCCCTGTTAGACGATGCCAGCGTGGATAATCACAATAGGGTGCTGTATGACGACGAATTCCTTCAGGTGAGTGATAGCTTTCTTTGAATTCCCCTCTAACTATGAGGATGGTTTCAGCATTTGCAGTATGCAAAAGAGGCATGTGCTCTCTCCACCGTCAGAGATGAGGTCTAGATTAATGGACACACAGCCACAAGTCAGCGGAATGGATGGTGCATTTATTTGAGTAGAGATGTGAAATAAACGAACAGAACTGGCAATTCAGATGTTTAATCTACAGTATTACAAGAATTCTCCACACTATATTACACATTCAAGAAGTTTTGCTTAGTATACATCATGATGCGCTGCTCGGTCGTAATGAAGTATTCAACGCTAGTACCTGCTGCAAACAATCAGAGAAATCCACAAAGGAAAAGTGAAACGAATGGGAAAGAGGGCCATCAGTAAAAAATTAGAGTGTTTGACAGTTCTCTCATAGACTCGCTCAACACATTGTTTCCTCCTTTGGCTCTTTTCTCTCCATTGATTTTCTCCACAAGCCCCTTCCGCTCACCTCCGTCTCGCGGTTGTCGCGCATGGCATCCAGACGGCACGTGCGGACTAAAGGCTCCGAGTACTACCGTAGTCACCTCTAGCCGCTGACCGAGAGTCGGGCCCCCGGCCGGTGCCCGTCCCGGCCCGGGCCCGCCCGGCGGTGCCGCAGGTGACTCCCGGCACTGCCACACTGCCGACCCCGCGCGGCCGCTGACGAGATTCGTAAGGCCTCTTTACTCAAAGTTAAGTTAAAGATCAGTACGAGGACAAGGTAAGGAATGTCCTAAACCCAAAAGTCTGCTCATGGCTCTAGGCTCAGTCACTTTCAGCAGAGTAGCCGGAGGAGGCTAAACTTCCATGTAGATCAGTTTGAGCTCCGAAGTCCGATCGGACGGCTAGTAGAGGCGCTTTTGTTGAGTGAACTCCCGGGCTGAGGGGGACGGGATGTGGAGGCAGTGGTGCCAGATTGATGACACATGATGACAAAGGTCTGACTTCACAAGTTACCGAAAGAGAATGATTTCAAGTGCAGAAGGTCAGTAAAGGCATACAAACTCGTTTTCACTTACCGCTTGCAGGTTTAGCAATCTCCAAAAGTTCAGTTTTCACATTCACTTTGTCATCTGCAACCCCTTTTGGGTGGTTCCTTGCATGGCCCTGAGACTCACCCCTTCTCAGAAGCCTCATACGTAGGGTAGGGGCCTTCTCCCAGTTACTACCTGCTGACGAGTGTGCTCAAAACCCCACCACCCTCTCCGAGCCAGTCCTTTTCAAATGTATCCCCTTGTACCCATATGTTTGCCTAGAACACACCCCTTGTATTCCATTTCCCCACCCCTCGGAGGGACCACCCACCCTACTTCCGTCCTTCCCTGCTGACCAAATATATAACCAAGGAGGTAGTGCGAACAAACAGGAGCAGGAAAACAAGAGCAGGCACGTAGAATAGCAAAAGAGAGCTACAGCAAACTTGGTGAACTGATCAGTGACAACATGCTGAGTGATACCAAATTCTTCTTGCCGGTTCAGACCATATCGGACTGGTGTACATTAGAAGATGATACATATGAGTCGTCCAGCGCACCGTTATGGACTGAGGAATGGGCCATGAAGTTGCCACCGCAAAATGCTATGGTCATAACTTCCGCTGACAAGCCTTACCCGGTGATTTATGCGAATAAGAAGTGGAGCGAGTACACTGGATATCCCTTGAAAGAGATACGGGGAAAGTCTCTCAGCATTCTTCAAGGACGGAAGACATGTCAGAGCCGAATCAGACTCTTGTCGGAAGCATTAGAACAACGCAAGCCTGTTGAAGTATCTGTAGTCAATTACAAGCGGGATGGCAAGGCATTTCTGAATCATCTGACAATACTTCCCCTTTGGTCCGAGGAACTTGGGAGGATCTCATCGTTTCTTGGAATCATGAAGCCTGAAGATTATACGGAAACGTTCAGATTTCGAGAGCATAAATTCAGGCCAAGAGAATTTTTAGAACAGAACACAACAAAACATCTGATCCAAGATAAGGAAATCTTTCGTGCAGCAGAAGTAGGAGATCTCACTAAGCTTGTACATCTGGACAACAAATCCATGGCTCTCCGGAACAGACAAGGACAATCTGTTCTTCATAGAGCAGCCATCTTTGGAAGAAAGAGCGTCATTCACCTCCTTTTGGGAAACAACCTTGTTACCAAAATGGCCTTGAACGTGGAAGACAACCAAGGATTGAAACCGTTGGACTATGCCCTCGCACATGGGCACGATGAAATCGCGGAGATGTTGAGAGCGCATGATCGCAATCTGCTCTTGAGCTCGCCCAAGGAGTATGACACCATATCCAATGCCTCCTCCCCTTCGGAAGAATCGTCAATCCAAGACAGAGACGAGAGCGAGGCTCTGGCAGCAAGCCCGGTCCAAGCGCAAGACAAGAGCCTCATCTGGAGAAACAGAATGAGTGCCGCAGATTCAAACGGATGTATTTTTCAACGTAGCAGGAGCGATGATGCGCTACTATCGAGATCGCATGATCCCCCCATCATATGTCAACGCGTACCCGGGAGTTCACTGAGAGATCGCATTCGAGCAAGACGGGCTACGATTCAGAGCATTTCAATCCTGGAATCTTTGAATCCGGGAGAATTCAAACTTGAGTCAAACGAAAACAAGAGTGGTTCCGGAGTACAAGAGAGCAAGTTTCTAACGAGATTGCGACCATTGCGAGAGAAAAGAAACTCTTTTCACTATGACTTCGGAAGGGCTGCATCGGATGAGACTCCTCAAAAGACTTCAAACCTGAGGTCGATGTTTACAAGGGCTCGGAGCGAAAGTCCCACGTCTACCCTGAGAGATATGGCAAGTCACATTGCACGAAGAATTGCTGTTGTAACATAACTGGATGTAAGAATAATGTAATTTCTTTCTTTAATTAAACTTTCAAAGCTTCATTGTCTCGTTTGCAGGCCTGCAGTTTCATGGTCAACTATTTCTGCAGATTCATTGAATCTTTCCGAGGCCAAGACCTCACATCAAGTAGATCTTGATCCTGCGGCGAGTAAGAACAAACGACAAGGATCAAACACACGCTTGCCTCAGGACTGACGACCGCATGTTCAGCTCCCCACGACCCTCGTTTGAGCACCACCTGGAAGTCTTTCGAGGGTGACGAGGAGTTGGCGGATTCCTGGAATCGTCTGAACCGAAAGCTCACCAACGAGCCTCTCTGACCGCACACACTTTCACGAATGGCTGGGAACGGCAGGTCATCCACGTTCTGACCGTTGACCTGCAAGAGCTCGTCGCCTTTCTGAATCACATTTGAATTGCTCGCCGACATTCCCAGGATCATGGACTCAACGGTAACTCTTCTTTCTTGCCTGCCATCAGCTAGGTGAAAGATATCTTCTTTCAGCTCCAGACCAACTCCCACGGGGTTGGGAAGGGCATTAATTCTCCTTATCTCGTCCTTGAGGACGTCTCTTTCCTCTTCAACTCTCTTCACCAACTGAAGCAACTCCTTCTTCTCTGCTGTCAGCGAGGCGATCACCTTCCCTTCCTTCTCCGACAGTTTGCTCAGGAATGTCTCGTACATTGTGATCATGAACGACGACAGTTGGACAGACTTGTCTTGTATCTCTTGGAGATATCGGATCTGACTCAAATATTCCTGATTTCTGTTTTGCAATCTGCCGATTTCAAGTCTGAATTCAGAGTTTTCCCTCGAGATGTCTCTTGTCCTCCCGAGCTCCTCTTTGAGACTTTGGAGCTTCCTCTCTAAGTCGCTCTTCAATGCAACCTTGCATGTGTTAGAGTTCAAAGATATCTCAAAGAGCAGGATACCTCTCGATCGAGCTCATTCTTCAAAACGGTGTTCAATGATTTCTCCTCGTGGTACTTCTCCAAAGTTTCCTGATGGAACGACTTGAGCGTTGTCAATTCCCTTTCAGACTCTTTGGATTCCATTTTCACTTTTGTAGACATCTCCAGCAGTTCTGCTGTCTGCTTCTCAAACCTTCCGTTGATCACCTTGATCTGCTCGAGCTCTTGTTTCACTGCATCTCTTTGTAATTCTGTTGCAATGAGCTTTTCATCCAAACTCTTGAGAGTCGCAGTCACATCTTCCTTTTCTCTCTTGAGTGCAGCAGCCTCTTCTGTCCGATACTTGAGGTCTGAAACTAACTTGGCGCACTTGGCCTCCTCCTCCTCCATGCATGTCTGAAGCCTGCTGTTGTTTCTCACCATCTCTTGAAGCCTCTGCCTCATATTCTTCAGCTCTTCTTCTCGCTTTTCACTCTGGTTTTCCATCTCTTCTCTTAACTCCTTCATCTGCGTCTCAGCCATTTTCAGCTTGTTGGCGGCAGTTTTCCGTTCCAACTCGAATTCTGCCTTCAAATTCTTATTCGCTTTCAACAATGCTGTATGCTTGGAACACAGATCTGTTGCTGCCGCGACGAGAGAGTTCTCTGAAGCAGTAAGTTCTTGAACCATCTGCTCAGCGCTAACAATGAACTTGGCCTCTTGACTCAACAAGCTTGTCAGATCTGTAGTTTGGATACTGGAGCGAATCAATTGTTCCTTGAGCTCGTTAAACTTCTGGTTCATGCCTTGTTCCCGCAAAGCACTCTCTCCCGCGATAGAGCTCGTTGTCTTGAGCTTTGATTCCAACCGCAAGATCTTCCAAAGGTTCAGAAGGCAGCAATACCAACAGGAAAGTCACCTGCTGCTTGTAAGCCTGGTTTTCCTCTCGCACCTCATCCATCTCCATAGCATACAGACGCTGTTCTTCTTCCAGCTTGGCCTTGAGCTGAAAGTTTTGATCACACCACAGCAACCAAGAGCACGTGAGAGAGTTCACCCTATCAACCTCTTTCACGAGGCATGCATGTTCGTGGAGCGAGCTGTCCTTCTGATGGATGATGTCTTGGAGGTCGTGCAGATCCTTCTGCAAGCTAAATCTATCTCAATCATCAGGAGGAGTGTGAATGCGATACCTTTCTATCTCATCTTCTACTCGTTGTTTCGTTTCAAGATCCCCCTCTAGCTTCTTGATGACCTCGTTCTGCGCGATCGATCTCATCGGTACAAGGTGTTGACTAGCGCCCACCTACCTTCTCCCTCAAGATGCTCTCTGTTTCCTTTCTTTTGTCCATTTCTTTCATCAGCTGTTCCATCATCAACAGAAATTTGCAGAGTTTTGAGCATAAACTACCATATTACGCGTCATGATCTCTCTTTCTTCAGCAAGTTGACACATTTCTTCCGCGTTAATCTTCACTTTGTCGGCGAGGTTTGCTCTCTCCGTCATCTCTCTTGCCATTTGCTCCTAAGATTCAGGTCGTGACGATTCTCTCTCATCCAATATTCCTTTACCGCCAACTTAAAGTGATGGGCAATGTCCGAGAGCTTCTTGAGCAGACTATCAAAGCTGTCATCGTAGAACTTTTTCTCTTGGTCGTAGATTGAAGCTTTGAGCTCTGCATTCTTGCGTCTGTTTTCTTCTTCCATCTTTTCTGATTTCAAATTATCAATTGTCTTCTCGAGAGAGATAATCTGCAACATCATTGTACAGTCACCTTGACTTTGAGACCCAAACACGAGCTGAGGTAAAGATTTACCTTAGAATGCAAGATATCAAGGTCGTTTGACCTCTGATGGTTTTCACTGATCGGACTATTGAAGGTCTTCTGCTTCAAGAATTGCTGACTCTCTTTTCTCGGGCTCCAGCTTTCCATTGACTCTCTTCTTATCACAACAGTTCCTGCTTGCAGTTCAGACCCTCGTCCTCTTGTGAACAGCTGACTTACTTTGTTGCCCATCGTTTGATCTCAAAACAAGTTCCACCGGAGATTCATTTCTTCTTATCAAGATGTCTCGAAGTGCCCTCAGATCTAAATTTCTGCATTGATGGTGAGATGCTTGTCCAACGACCCCATGCACACACCTGCAGTTGTAACCATCCGCAAACATCAAGATGTCGTTCAGAAACACATTGCCACATCTCTCGGCAGGTCCGTTCGGAAAGATCTCAGTGACCTACACATACTTACAACCTTCATCTGCTTCCCCTTCGCCTCCTCCATATCCTCCTCTCCTCTCTGTACCGTTGGCCATGTCGCTCCATCCCATTGCACCTTCTCGAATGTGATTCCTATACCCGCCATTCCGGATGTGTTGCTCATGTTCGGCACTGAGATAGCGGTTCTAGAGCGCCTGGTCGGCGAGGAGGGCTGAACATCGATCTGCACCTGCTTCACTCCATTCTTGATCGGGGTTGACATCGCCGACGTCCTCCGCGGCGACTCCATCGACGCCATGGCTCGCCTTTTCCGGGGAGAGGATGTACCCTAGCCTGGCTATGTAGGGCAGTACCGGCGGTACCAGTGGCAGTACAAAGTTCCGGTACTGCCTTTCCGTCTCCTCGTACCATCTGCCGGACCGCCTCAATCAGATTTGCCTCCGATCCACCGGTACTATGGTACTGCCGCCGCTGCTACCGGCCTAGTACTTGCAGTAGTGATGACTGAAACTTCGAGTGGCCTCTCGGATCGGAGTTGAACTTGCCCGGCGTCGACTGACTGAGAGTCAGCCCGGCCTGCCGCGGGCCGGCGAACTCCTGTTCAACGGTTTGTCCTCGTACTCATTTTTGACTTAACCTTGAGTAAACATGCCACGCCGGGTCCTACTAGCCTACGGTTTGAAAGCCGCCGGGGTCGGCCCGGACTTCCGAGCCTTTCAATGCTCGGAGCCCGGGCCGGGCGCCGGGGCCGGCGGCCGCCCCCCCCCAGCATGAAAATGCACAATGCATTGAGTAAAAACTTTAGTACGGGATTCAGTTGAGTTATCCTGGAATTCAAAAAGGCGTGTCGGGATTCAATTTCACTGCCGTTGTTGGAGATGCAGCATAGAGGCCGATCGCCTTCCTCGTGCTTCTCCATTCAAGAGGATACAATCGAGACAGTGTCAAGCATAAGAGAGACAGGTCTACATCGAGAAGATGTCGAGGCTTCATCTTCAACATGCAAACGGAACAGAGACATTTCTTGTTTGCACGTTGCTGAAGTATGCAGTCATGTATCCTCTCATGCGAGAAGGACTTTTCAGAAGGCTCTAAATCAATGGAGGTTGCAGGGATTCCTGCATAACAGAAACATCGTTGTCTTATTGCCAATCTTAACATCATGCTTGCTCTCTTCTTGTACCGCTAACATGATGAATGACCTGGTGACTTCAAGTCATGTTGAATGTCACGTGACGACGAGAAATGCAGCAAGAATAAGCAAACGATCGAGAATTTCTGGTTACACTCACATAAATTCACATGTACAATACCTAAAACTCCTGGAAAAGAACAAGTATTGGGAGAAACTCAATCTCAAGCCGGAACAAGGAATTTGCGAAACTAGCACATTCGTCACGAAGAAATTCGATTGCAGTAGCATTTCTCGTAGAAATTTGTTTGGCAGTGATACAGAACAGATACCTGGCACAGATCAAATTAAAATTGAATCACACACCGTCGATGGCGAGATATACGAGGGATTTCGAAATGAAGTATTCCTTTCCACCAGACGAGCAGCCATATTTTTCGACTTCGACAAAACTTTATCTGCCGACCACATTCATGACCTGATGAAGGCGTCTCGCAAGGGATTATCAGGTATTTTTGTATGAAAGTCATCGCATTATTCTAATTCTTGGTCAGGTGTTGACGTTACAAGGGCATTTGGGGGAATACAAAGAGTGAAAAGACTAGAAAGATTCCTTTCTGGACTTTCATCTTCCGGTGCCATCTTGCATATCCTTTCATTGGGGCATAAAGAAGAGATCATGGAGTCTTTGGTACTCTTTTACTGTGGTACTTGGAAGAAACACTTACCTGGTTCCTACAGAGAGCGGTTGGACTTGACCATATTTTCCCTTCAACGATGATCTACGGCTGTGATGAGCTTCGTTTGAAAAGGTGATGCAAAAAAATCATCCCTCGCAACTGGAAAATCTGACTTGAGCATTACAGGTGTGCAACCAAGGCTCAATGTGCCCTCCAAATTGCCGACAGCATGGGACTGAAGGTGAACGATTTCCACACCTGGGACGAAACTATCTCACTATGTCATATCAGGCTAGTGACGTGCTGCTTGTGGACGACGATCATGAGCAACTGGACAGTGATGAATCGTTTCAAGAGGAGAGTTCTTCGTCCTGCTGTGGAACATACTGGGTGCGATCAGGTAAAGCGCTTGCATTCATGTTGTTCATATGGCCCACCTCATTCGGTTGCCGATAGGTCAGGGACTGTCTGACAGGGACATGGCTGCTATCGGTGGAATGGTTGCTAGCAAACTTCGAGAGAAGGACCCTGTCTCTGACACTTGCCAACCTGTTCACGATCTTAATCGTGAGAGACCTTTGGGCTTAGTCGATGTTTGAATACTTGTTGTACAATACTATGTAAAATGTAACATGTTCGAGCTAAGGACATTTGCCACTTTCATACAGCATTCCATCCACACAAGCAGTGCTCTGAAACAAACATTACCACCTTGGGGTAACCATATTCAATACCAACGACTTACGATGTCATTCTGCCTCAACAAGGCAGTTTCATCAGCTGATGGGGCAAGAGGATCTGATTCTCCAACGATGGCAGCTGTAGCAGAGATCAACATACTTCAACTATATCATGAAGACATACCTGCAAGTTCAGACTGACTTGTTTCTAGGTTATGTGTGTTTCTCGCCTCTTCAGCCCGGTTCTCCCCATCTTCCCTTTGCCCGATCTCATCTTGAGAAGGATCAAGTAAGCCGATGATTCAAGCTACTGTGAAGCTGCTGCTCACCAACATATGCAGTGCTCCGCTTGATATCCTCCTTTAACAAGTCTCCCTCGTCATCGCGCTGGTTTGCCAACTTGTCTTCGTAGTCCACTTCATCCTGAAGCGATTGACGATGCGCTTCCCACCTAGAAGGAATAAGTTGCCTTATAGTTTGGAGCTTGCAAGGCACCTTCCAGATCGCTCCGCCATGTCCTGATCATTCTTTGCGTCTTCCACGGTAGCAATCATATTTGCATATCTCTCAGCGTCATCATTTGATTCCTCCAGGTCGCTGATTTCTTTTTTAGTGTGCTGGTCTTCAAACTTGGAGTCCTCATCAAGGTCCTTCTCTGCTGCTAAGCTGTGCCCATCCACCTCCGTATGGAATCTGCAAAAAAGCACATAACCAAACTTGATTGCACGGAAACAGTCAAAGAAGAGACACGTACGAGAGGGGATCTTGAAACCCTTCCTGCCCTGTTGATGGGAAGCTATCCACTGCTGCCTGGGCCAACACATTTTGAGCTCTGAGTATCTGCGATCTCAACCTGTAAGCTGCAGGCAAGCAAGAAGTGGAGCTTTACCGAAGCTTGCTTGTCATCGTCAGGACCGAAGGGACCTCCGTTCAGCTGCTCTAGTTGCGTTCCCATCCCTCCATCCTCAAGCACGAAGATCACAAGCATTATCCCTGCCATCGCCCCTGCCACAGCCGCGACACTCGCCGCTCTCCCCCCACGACGAACCATTGCCTCTTCGCCTCTGAAAACGGAAATAACGGATAATCATTGTTACGGTTGAGTTGTAGTCCTGCCCGGCCGGCCCGGGGGCCCGGGGGCCGGCCGCCGCGGCGAGTCAGTGTCAGTGCCAGTCGGCAGGACCATGCGGCTGTCTCGACTCTCCTGATTGTCCTCGTACTGATTTTTAACTCAAGTGACTCAAAGTCGGGGAGATGTTTGGATCGGATTGAGAGAAGACATTGAAGGGAATTTGGAGGCAGTCAAACAGTTCATTATGGTATTTAGCAGAGTATTTAGCCCCTCGGCTCCTCCCCGAGCGGAGGTGTTGTACTCATCATCCTGGGCCACTCTCGCTGCACATCACCTACAGGTGTTCCTTCCCTTGGGCCCCGCCTTGTTCTTTCCCGAGTTCCCTCCGCTTCCTCAAGCGCGACTTGCTGGGCTACTCTCCCTTGCTCCTCTTTTGCTGCCTCTACGAGAGGACGGGGAGACCTTAGCCCACGAGAAGACCTTCTCTTGGGCTTCATGGCTGGATCTGTGCCGGCCACCTCGGCCTGCTGCTGCTCCTCTTGCTCTCTAGCGCCTTGCTGAGGTTCTTCGCTGCCCTCCTGCTGCGGTTCTTGTGCTTCCTCCACGGGAGGACGGCGAGATCTGGTCCCAGAAGACCTCCTCCTGTGCCCCCTCACCTGCTCTGTCCTGCCCTCCTCCTGTTGCTGCGGCTCTATATACCCCCCGTCTACTTCAGGGAGGACAATCCTGTAAGAGCCCACTTGACGAGCAGAGCCTCTGCTGGCCAAAGTTGGTTGAGCTCCGCCTCCCTGCTCCTGCTCCGGCTCCTCCTGCAAGAAGGACGTGCTCGGCTGCTGTACCTGCTGCGGCTCCTCGCCCTCAACTGAAAGGCCCTGAAAAGAGAGGGGTGTCTCGCGAGGAGAACTTTCCTCCTTCTCCTCTTGGACCGGCGGCACATCTCCGACGGAGTGTGGCGGGAGGCATTCAGCCTGTGACTCGAGCTCTGGTTCCGACTCGCTCTCCTCCATCACCTCAGCAATTTGTTCTTCCCAGATGCGAGCAGGGTAGAGCGCGTAGTTCTGCATGGCGCTATTGATCCTCTTTTCTCCCCTCCTTGATTCCTGCGGAGCGAACAAGTGAGAGGGAGCGTTGCAGGGTCATGTACAATCACCATTGCTGAGAGGAGGGTACGGAGTGAGGTCTTGGTGATAAAGAATCGCCAGACACGTTTGATGACATCTTCTTGCGCTACCCACAAGACGACGGGGAGAATGAGGATGAGGAGGTTGACGACGATGATGATGGCAGACATGGTTGTCTCTTCGGTCTCGCCAGTGATAGGCTCGTTCAGACGATTCTGCATGCTGCAAGAAGACAATCAAGAAAGGGAGATGAAGAGATGGAAGGAATACCTCTGCACGTGAAGGATGATTCCATCTGCATCAAGTGTCAGACGTCAACCACAAGGAAACAAGAGATCGTTACAGAAGAGCGTCATCGTTTGTGTGAGCAGCGAAAGCTGGTAGAGGGTGTTGAGGCGACGGTTGATGAAGGGGCGGAGGTAGATGGCGAGCATGAGGGACCAGAAGGCCACCACACAACCTGCCGCCACCTGCTGGGGTGAGTCGGGGTAGATGAAGCTTACGATGCCCATCATGAGGAACCTGGAGGGCAGGATTCGTGAGTGAGGAGCGACACTGCATCGGTGACTTGACTCACTTTCGCATCATGTCGACGATCTCAAAGTACCAGAAGTCAACCTGAAGTCATGTCAGTTGCAAGAAGTTGACCCGACGCCTTGTCACCTTGTAGGCCTGGAAGATAAAACCTGCCTGATGCACAGCAACCTTCTCGACATTGACCAGATCGTCTTCGTCCACCTCCTCTTCCTCCTCCTCCACCTCCTCCGAGGCCACAGACGCTGTGGACGAGAGCTTAATAGCCTTGATCTTCATCTTGCTCTTCTTCTCAATCAGCTCATCCTGCGTCATCCATCGGCAAGGAGGGACGGCGATCTTCCCCTGGTGCAGCAGCTGCTTGCCCAAGAGCAGCACAGCCTCCTTCAACCGGATCTCCTGCAGCCTGATAACAAGCTCCTCCAGGGGCATGGGGAACTTCGATAGCTCTTTCCTCTTCCCGTAGTAGGCGCGAGCAGCGATCAGCAGGTTTTGCTTCCTCTGCGACCTCTCCTCCTCGGCGGCCTGAGTCCACTCCTTCTCGCGCTCGATCCACTCGAAGAGACGGGCCGGTCCTCCGGGATAGCTTCTCCTCCATCCGGGCAGGAGAACCCAGTCGTAGACGAGCGCCTTGAAGCCCGTCGGGCCGCGGGCCATGAAGTACCGGAGCCAGCTCTGCCGGAGGAAGCCTTCCTGGATCTCTGACGTGTCGATGATGCCCTCGCCATCTTGTCCTCCGTCCTCCTCCACGTTCATGATGTCGTCTGGGATGTCGTTCAGGTTGTCAACAGCGATCTGGATGGGATCGAAATCTTCCTGCTCTGCCATGTCATCCACTTCACATGAGTCATCTGCAGCTTCCTGCATGTCCATCAGCTCCTCCTCTCTCTCGTTGTCCAGCCTCTCGCAAATGTGCCGCACCCACAGAGACTCCTGGATGCGAAGGTACAGGCTGATGAGGTTGAGTTGCTGCTCTGCCACTGCCACATTCTTGGTCGCCCTCAAAATGATCGAGCTTGTGTCACGGTTGAACATCTTGCCGACAAAACTTCCTTCCAGAGGGATCTTCTCGCAGCTCATCGAGAAGTAGCAGCAGTAGGTAGGATCTTCTTCGTCCTCGTCCTCGAACCCAATGTCTTTCTTGGACGAATTCAGTGCCATGTTCTGCTCTTCCACTTGTTTCTTCCATCGGCCTATAACCTCCTGACCCTTGAGGAGGAGGAGCCTTGCTTCGTCGAAGAGTTCGTTGTTGATGAACAGGATGCACTTGTTCAGGTCTTGCCCATCATATCCGTGTGGCAGACGATCGTTGAAGGCGAAATCCGGACATCCTTTGATCCAGGATATGGCACCGGAGCACCACTTGATTCTCTTGATGAGCAGAGCCTTCTCGTTCTCATGGTACCCCTGCTTCCTCTCCAGCTTCTTCAGCCTCATGGATACTTCCGTCCGCCATCTCGTCAGCCCCGCGATCGTCACATCCTTCACTGCCTTCCTCGCCTTGATGAAAGTTGGCTCTGACGCCTCGGGGTCTGACTCCTTCCGCAACCATTTCTACGACATCATACCATCAGTCCCGTTCCCCGCACCCCCAGACAGCAGCTCACCAGTCGCAGGAAGTCCTGTCCTTCGCTCTCCACCGGGCTGTCGTGCCACCACCTGCGGAGAGAAGGGTGAGGGAGGAGAGGAGGAAACGTTTCGTCCTCACTCGTATTGGAGGATGGCCTCCAGCTGGCTGGGAACCAAGTTGTCAGTGATGAGGAGACGGGTGCGATGGCCGTGCTCTTCGAAGAGCAAGTCTCCGATCTTGACGGTCAGCTCCTTGCTCTGATCGTCCTGCTCCGCCCTTGTCTTGAACTCCTTGAGCACCTCTATGAACAGCATGTTGTCTTTCTTGACCTTGGCCAGTCTCGGGACCTCGTGGCGCCAGAGGGTCCACATGAAGAATAAAGGAAGTCCGATGGGGTAGGCAAGGAAAAGGAGGATGACGCGCCAGAAGACGGCGCGATGAGGGTCTGAGGTCGGGCAGGGGATGTCAAAGTCCATGAGGAGATACTTCACTCCCCCAACGTCCTTGCACACAAACCCTGAAGATGCAAAGATGGCCAGGAGAGGATAGACCAAGAAACACCTGGAGGAGACAGAAGAAGAGGAGGGAGGAGGGAGGATGGAGGAGAGGAGGGAGGAGAGGAGAGAGGAGAGAGCGTGAGTGTTTGAAAGATACACGGTCATCATGGCTTACCAGAAGAGCAGCCAGAACCAAACTCTCTCCTTCACATGCGCGTTATACTGGTTGACCTTCTCCACCTGCTGCTCCAGCTCCTGCGCAGTCATCTGAGGACTTCTGTTCACCAGGTCAACCCGAGCTCCCTCCTCCATCGAGCTCGCGTCCCTCCCTCCCGAGCAGGTGATCAGCTTCAGGACCCACTGTAGGTTGATCTTGAACACGCAGAGCGGCTGGAACTTATCGGCCACGATGCCGGCAGGGGTGACTTTCTTCAAGAAGAGCAGCGGAAGGAGCATGCAGACCCCAATGATGATGGGACTGAGGCCGTAGATGTTGATCTTGTCGTAGTAGTTCATGCCGGCCAGCAGGCAGTGCATCCCTGAGAATGCGAAGAGATCGAATCTAGAAGATGAAAGTTAGAGACGCCTTCTTCCTCCTCTGAGGACTCACTTGAACGCTGCGGCAATTCGGAAGGAACTTTGGATCCGGTCCGGCCATGGAACGGTGTAGGAGTTTGCAAAGGAGGAGGTGACCTTGAGAGCAAGACGTCAGGAGGGAGGAGAGGAGTAGAGGCAGCGGGACCTGGAGGAAACTGATCAACAACCTGAGGTACTCCCACATCCTCTTGAGCTTGTAGATGATGCGAGTGAGGGGAGTGACTTCCTGTGACTCGCGTTTCTCCGGCTTTGAGAGTCCCAGGAGCGGGCGGATGATGAGGATGTACCAGATGATGATCAAGACGAGGATGAAGATCGCCTGCCCCAAGTTCTTGAGGTTATTAAAGTTCCCATGACATGGCTTGCACTCAGCTCCTGGGGTGATGATGTCAGAATCCTCCTCCTCCTCCTCCTCCTCCTCCTCCTCCTCCTCCTCCTCCTCCTCCTCCTCCTCCTCCTCCTCCTCCTCCCGTCTCATCCTCACCGTAGGAAGAGCCGGCAAAGAAGTATCCTGGAGCACACAGGGCGCACAAGACGCCTGTGCGTCCCTTGGTGCAGTTGTTGCCAACCTGGCAGGCGTTGGGAGAGCAGCGGTAGATAGGGATGTTAAGAGACGCATTCCCCATCACCCTCCTGCTGCGTTTGGAGTCGAGGGTCCAGAAGCCCGGGCGAGCGATGAAGGCGCTGCCGCCAGGGCATTCGACCTTCTCTGACTGACACTGAATGCACTTGGACAGCACGTCGTTTGCCGAGGTGGCCACCTGGACCTGCTCGCGGTAGCTTGCGGGGACGGGGCTGTAGTAGGAGCGGGGGCAGACGACGCACTCGTCAAGTTGGCTGGTATCTTTGTTGCGGATGAGGATGTAGCCTGCGGGACACTGTTGGATGCGCAAGACGCCGTTCTCCCACTCCCACACAGACCCTGACACCAGAGGATACATGTAGATGCCGTCGCAGGAGGCGCCGACGGGGCAGGCAAGGCAGGCGCCGGTGCTGTTGTAGTACTCCACTTCTGGCAAGCAGACCTGACAGGTCCTCGTCTGACAGTTCTCAGTGTATCCGGCCTTGCACTTGTACTGGCATGTACCATCGGTGTAGCCTCCTGCAGTCACATACACGCTGTTCGCCGGGAGATAGTCTGTAGAGCAGGGCCTGCAAGTTGTGTCCTCCTTGGCTCCAGCCTCGCAGACAGGCTTCCAGTTCCCGACCGGGCACTGGGAGGCCAGCATGCATGTGTAGCAGTCCAACAGTCCTGAAGTGTTGCTGAAGCTGCCGGCTGCGCAGGGTTGGCAAGCAGTCCTGGGGCCCGAGGATCCGGGAGGACAGGAGCAGCTGGAGATGAATCGGCTGCCCGGAGGAGACATGGAAGTCGAGGGACAGGGCGAGCAGGACGACTGGCCGCTGAGGCCGTTGAAGGTTCCTGCAGGGCAGTCCACGCAGACGCCTCCTTGCGAGAACTTCCCTGACCCGCACAGCTGGCAGGTCCTGTCAGGAGCAAGACCGTAGCCCGAGTTGCAGATACATCCCTTCCTTGAGCTCCCTTCCTTGCTCTGCGCGTTAGGCGGGCAGTTACTGCAGATCGTCGCTCCTCCATCCGCAAACTTCCCAGCTGGGCAGATGGTGCAGGCGACGTTGTCCACCAGGGACTTGAATCTTCCTTCCGGGCACATCACGCAGCCCTGCACGGTCTGGTTGTATCCAGCTCCAGCCTTGCAGACGCATGTGCTGATCGAAGTGCTGCTCGTGTACAACGTTGTACTCAAGTCTGGGCAGGAGGTACAAGCATCGTTGGACCTCATGGCCTTATACGTTCCCATGGAGCAGCCGAGGCATGTGGCTCCCACCAGCTCGAACCCACGGTTGCACTCACAGTCCTTGACCGAGGAGCTTCCTAAGCGATTTGCGAAGGAGTTCTCAGGGCAAGTCAAGCAAGTCGTCGACCCTCCTCCGCTCTGCTCGCTGTACGTCCCGGCTGCGCAGATCTGGCAGACAGAGCTGTTTGCTTGCTTGGAGAAGGAGCCAGGGCCGCATGAGAGACATTTCTTGCTGTTGGCAGTATCAGAGTAGAAACCAGCTGCACAAGCGTAGCAGGAGCCCGCTGACTGTCCTCCGCACCCCACACGGGCAAACCCTGCAGCGCACTTCACGCAAGCTCCGCAGGTGGTGGAGGAGCCGTTGACGACGACGAAGGAGCTCTCGCAGACCTGGTTCTCGCTCGCCAGGCACTGGGCATCGGAGAGGAGGGAGCAATTTGACTGGATGCCGACGGCTCCTGAGCAGTCGGAGCAGGCGGCACATTTGGAGGGCAGGAGGGGATTGTAATATTGCTGTCTCGGACAAATGGGGCTACACTCGCCAGCGCAGGAGTTTGTACTGTAACCGAAGTCACACACCTTGCAAGGAGAGCATGTAACAGAGCCTGCGGTGGAGAATTTCCCCGCAGAGCAGGCAAGGCACTCCAAGTTGTCGATCGTCCTGTTCTCACGGAAGTTCTCCTGGCACTTGCATTGGGTGATGGAGGTTGAGGACACCCGGTCCGTGAGGGAGTTTGCTGGGCATGACTGACACGGGCAGTCAGTGGCAGACTTGCAGCCTGAGTTGTACTGGCCGATAGCACACGCCCTGCACTGACCGCTGACGGTGCCGTAGCCGTTGACACATGTACACATCTCCGACGATGTGCTGGCAACAAGAGAAGTTCTGTTGTCCCCGCATGACTTGCACTCTCCACGGGAGACCGTATCCTTGTAAGTGCCGACAGAGCAGGGATCGCAGGTCCCGGTCATGTTGTTGTACGTGTAGCCTCTGATGCAGAGGCAATCTTCAAACTGTGTGCTCCCAGCCTGAAGGGTGATAGAGAAGAAGGGGCAGAAAGAACACTCGTCGGGCCCGGCCTTGTCCTTGTATTTCCCTACAGGGCAGATGGTGCACTGGCCCCCGTCGAAGGTGAAGCCGGGAAGGCAGGTACACTGCTCGGATGTCAGGCTGCCGGGTGGGGAGGTGGAGTTGGCAGGGCAGAGCGAGCAGGCGGCGTTGGAAATGTCGCCCTTGTACGTTCCAGCACTGCATATGTTGCAGAGGCCGTCGGGGCCGAGAGTGTACCCGGCGATGCAGACACAGTCGTCAGCAGAGGTCTGGTTGGTGATGGTGATGCTGTTGGAGGGACAAGCCTGGCAGGAGAAGTCAAGGCAGCTGCTGGCAGCCTCGACATCCATCAGGTGAGCGATCATCCTGGCAGAGAAGGTGGAGTCGTAGTTGGTGGTCAGGCCCACAAACGTCCCGCTGGCGTACGTGGACTTAAACGTAGACGCGCACTGGCCTGTGCCCTGGAACATCAAGCTCAACGAAGAGTTTGCGGCGACTGCGCGATGAATCCTGACAGTCTGCGAGGCCTCCAGGGACGAGACGATGTTGCAAGAAGCGTCAGAGACGTTCGATGTCTCCAGCGAGTTCGAGCAGTTGGTCATCATCACGTCAAACTGCGCAGCTAAGGAGGATGAGGATGGGCCGTTGGCTCTCAGCACAATCAGAGTCCCTCCCCGCCGCACGTAGCTCCTGATGGCGTCGACCTCCGATGGGGGCAGGTCTGCGGACAGCGGAGGAAGGAGCAGGACCTTAGGGTTGAGGGACTCAAGCTGAGATGCGTTGGAAATCTCCCCGAACCTCGTCGTGGCGATGTTGCTCTTCAGCTGCTCATAAGTTGCTGACATGTACATGCTGTTCACGTATGCCATCGCAAAGTTGTTCATGGAGAACTTGCCCTTGGCGCAGGACTGGCAGGTCGAGGAGCCGGTCTGGTAGGAAAATCCGGCCTGGCAGGAGCAGTACTCAGCCCCTTCCCACACGGACAAGGTGTTGTCTGGGCAGATGGAGCAGAGAGAGTTTCCCGTCTGGCTCTTGTAGTATCCTGTTTTGCACGGAGAGCAGGTGGTACTGTACTCGTATCCAGGGACGCACAGGCACTTCGACACGTCCGTTGCTCCTGAGGAGGAGACCGACTGGGCTGGGCAGGACTGACAAGCATCGTTGGAGCGGGTGGACTTGTACTTGTTGGCAGGGCAGGTGACGCACTGATTGCTGGTTGAGTTGAAGGTGAAGCCGGGGTCACAGAGAAAGCTGTAAACCATGACCTTGTACAAATCGTTGGAGGGACCTGAAGAAACATCATAAAAATAATGAGTCGCTTTCCTCAAAGAGCTTCAGTTCGCCTCACCAGAGTTTTTCTTTGTGTAGCCTCCGAACAAAAACAAGTCATTGCCTATGGCTGCCATCCCCACCTTGTAACGAGCTGAAGGCTGAGCTCCAGCAGCAGCAACGATGCTCCAGCGGTAGCTTGCGACGTCCAACATGTAAAGGTTAGTGTCTTCACCCTCAAGGTAGTCTTACATGTCATGTCAGCGTCGCGAAAGACGGCAGCAACGTCATTACCTTTTATCGCGTTGGAGGAGCCGCCGAAGAGGTAGATTAGACTTCCTACTGCAACCATGGAGTGCCCGAATCGTGCAGGAACGGTCACACCCACTGTGGTGATAGAGTCCCAACGCCTCGTGGTGCTGTCGAACTTGTGCAAGGACGACTCGGCAGCTGAGAGGCTGTCAGATCGTGATGGGGAGGACGAGGGGAGAGACAGAGGAAGGGGCAGGATGAGAGGTCAGAACCGGAGTGAGTGAGTGAGTGAGTGAGGGAGGGAGGGAGGGAGGGAGGGAGGGAGGGAGGGAGGGAGTGAGGGAGGAGCGGTAGGCGGAGAGTAGAGGAGCTGAGAGGAGGGGAGAGTATCTCACCGGATGAGTAGACGGTGGATCCTCCGTAGAGGTAAATGTCGGTTCCTACTGCTGCCATAGCTTGTCCGTAACGTGACTGGGGGCGATAGCCTGTTTGACTGATGTCGGCCCACGACTGTGACGACGTGTCGAAGGCGTACATGTCATTCTTCGTTTGCCCACTGCTGTCAACTGTTTGCCGCATAGTCAACGAGCCATTGAAACAGCTCCAACATTCTCTTACATATGCTTGAATAGTACTCGAAGCCACCCCAGAGGTAGACCACTCGCCCGATAGTGGCTGACGACATGGCGTAACGAGGGTTCGACATGGATGAGCTGGTCGACGACAAACTCCATCGCTGAAGTCTCGAGTCGAAGATCAACATCTTGTTGTAACCTACTCGTCGTCAGCAAGCGGAAGTGGGGGGGTAGCGAGAGTCACTTGTCTGCGGTAGAGGGGAAGAGCCTAATGTGTAACCGCCATACACATACAGGAAGTCCCCGACTGCTGACATTGTATGTCCGCTCCTTCCTAGCACCAGGCGCCCGTCATCAAAGTTTTGAACTGTCCAGGCCATGTCCGAGGAATCGAAGATGTTTGGATCTGCCGTCATGCCTGCTCCAAAGTCATAACCATGAATGACTAGGAATCAACCTCACCAGTTAATTCTGAGCCTCCGACAATGAAGAGCTCTTTGCCAATCGATGACATACTGCAGCTATCAAGCAAACGAGGGTATGCATCGTTGGTGAATTTCCAGGCATTCAAGCTTGAATTGTACTCGAACCTTCCTTGTGAGATCATACCTGTAAAGGAATGAGTCAAACAAGACGAGCTCATAAACTTGTCTTTACTGGTATCTGTCGAAATCTTCCCACTATACAAAAGCAACGTTTCTCCGGCTGCAGCAAAAGCGAACTGAGATCGATTGGATGGAATTTGCCCTTGACTTGTCACATGACTCCATTCAACTCTGTTCGTATCAAACTTGTACATGTCGTTTTGCAAGACGACGCCTTTGCCTGTATGAATGGAATATCAACACATCAATGAGTCTCTGGAATATTAACCTGGCATCGTCCCTTCTCCTCCGAAAACGTATATTATGTTTGATATTGCTGCCATTCCAAAGAAAGCGCGTGATGAAGGCATTCCTCCGGTTGAGTTGAGTACAGTCCACTGATTGTTGACGATGTTGAAGGTGTATAGGTCTTGCAGGTAGATGTACTCTGTGTCAACAAGTCAACATCAAACCAACGTGAGCCTGTTCAGGATTACCTGAAGATGTGGCGTTGTAACTTGCTCCTCCGAAGACGTATATCAGAGTGCCAACCGCAACCATGCCATGTCCATGACGATGGAGTGGTACATTCTCGGTGGAGCTTATACGGGCCCACTCAAACGTTTTCAGATTCAGCTTGTACATCAAGTTGCTCGTGAGATCTATTTTGTTTGTATTTTAGCCCGAAACAACAACCGCATAGCAAGACTTGCTTACAGTCAGACTTGCTTGCCCCTCCGAAATGGTAGGCAAACTCGTTGACAACCACCAAAGACATATTTACAAGGGCTGGTGGCACATTGCCGCTGGTCTGAACCTCCAACCATTTCGCGTTCGTGGAACTGAAACGATACAGAGCTAACAACTTATCTGTCTCATGAGTCAAGTCAAACATCAACATACGCATGATAACGCCTGACCGTCCGAATTGTTCTTTCCCAACAGGTACAGCGAGTCCTCGAAAGAGGCCATGGAAAGGCCAACCTTGTTCAACGGGCCCCCGCTAGAGCTGTTGTACGTCCACGTCCCTTTCAAAACGTCCAGAGAGTACACGCCATTCATCTGGTTGTTGAGATCTGCATGAAGGAAAGAAAACAGCGTCAGCCGTCAAATCTTTCTCGATCCAAGGTCGCCAACCGAGTCCGTCACCTCCCCCATAGACGTAGACCTGAGCGCCATTCGTCGCCACTGCTGAAACCAGTCGGTTTCCAGGAGAAATCTTGGTGAGGTCTGACCAGCTGTTGTAATCATTGGACGCAGATGAGAGGAGAGGTAGTAGAGCACAGACAAGAAGAACTAGCAGCATGCTTCGGTGGGCTGGAGGCTCCATAGCGATCCCTTTCTGCCAAACTCGCCCCCTAGCCATTGCGAACTCTGGACGGAGACACTACCCTAGTCTATCCCAGTAAAAGTACCCACCTTCACACCTCCTGTTATTGGCCTTGTCATGGAAATTAATTTTCCAGGTACCCCTACCATACCCTTCCCCCTGCATCTCTGGGATAAACCACCCCCATTTGCCCTTTCAAGTGACTCCTTGTTTATCTATTAGCCACCCACCCTCTCTAATGTTGAACTCAGGTTTTTGCCAGCAACATACCACCCCTACTAGGAAATAACCTATGTGCATGTGGGAAAGGACCCCTCCTTTTCAGTCAAAAACGAAGTTAAGATTTTGTTGACCCATACCCCCCTGTCAGGGCTCTGTTAAAATTTTCAACCTTTACCGTCAAACTTTCAAAACCCGTGACCGTTGAGCTCGGGGACCCTGCCTCTGTGAAAGTGAAAAATGAGGGGATAATTTGAAAAAATTTAACGCTCGTGTGATCTGAACTGATCTTCTTTTTTCCGCACTCATCAAGTCAAATTTCTTGAGCCAGGGGCTGACCGTTCGCCTCGACCGTCATTAGTACTACTACTCAAAGTTAAGTTAAAAATCAGTACGGTAACAATAGCCAGTGAGTCTCTGTGACACCTCGGGCGCCCCCCGGCCGGGCTCCTTGAAGAACCCTCATACAGCATACCCGGAAATAGATCGAAAGCAGTGGATCGAAAGCTGGATCGAAAGGCATTCCATACCCTACGACTATGCTGCTGCTGCTGCTCTTGCTCGCCTCTTGCTCATGATCCCAACTCTTCATGAGTTCTCCGTCTTCCTCTTCTTCACATCTTTTGACTTCCATTGAAAGTTTCCTGCTTCCCTCGTCTCGTTCAACTCGTCTCCTCTATCTGCTATGTGTGACCCTGTTCGCCCATCCATTCCTTGCCATAATTCTTAGTCCGCATTCCATTCTTCCTTTCCTTGCCTTCTCTTTTTGTTGTTTTGAAAGCCCCAGAAAGCTTCCTTCAGCCACTTCGCTGTTTTCTCTTTACAGTTAGACTTTCCTAGCCCATGTAGTGTTTCCCTGACCCAATCTTGACTGTTTTCGTTCCTTCTCAAGTTATCTTTTTGTATCCGTGAACTTGTTGGATGAAGTTCTTTTCTGACTCTTTTCTTCAGGAAATGCTACGGAAATCGATCTCTTATCAGTTTTAGCCACACAGACGCTATCAATGCAGGCTCACGTTACAACTTCAGGGAGGAGGTTGAATCTTCTGAAACTAGTGGGTACCATCAGTGGTGTATTGTTAGCTGTTGTCGTTTGCGTATTCTTGGTCTATGGTGGATCGGGTCATGAATCATCCTTAGCTGCGAGATACACAAGCTTGTGGGAGTCAGATGACAGTCCCAATCATGACCCATATTTCAACATCTTCGATTTCAACGGACAAGGTAGCCAGCTCGGCGTCAGCGGTCAGTCACACAAGCACTGGAGTGATCAGGTGGTGAGGGAGCGGGTCTGGGAAACTCTGAAGGATGTCAAGGCCATGGAAAGACACGTCAGAGAGCAGAATGACATGAACAACCGGATGAAGAAAGAAATTAACAAGCTCTCTAGTGAGGCTGAAAATGAAAAGAAAGTGATCAAAGATCTTATCAATCAAGGGATGTTGGACATCAGCGACAAAATTCAGCTGTTGAAGAATGCTGCTGCTGCGAATGTCACTGCAGTAGAGGAGTTTTTGAGAAGAATCGAGTCAGAGCAGAGGCAGAAGCAAAAGGAACAAGACAACGCTATCCAGTTGTTAGCTCAGAAGCACAAACAACTGCAAGATTCTGCAACCCAGAAGTTTCAGAATATTGATGAGCAAGTCAGTGCAGCGCAGAAATCGTTGAAAGAAGCCGAAACAAAAGTTGCATCTGAGAGAGATGACGTCCAGAACCTCATTATGAAAAGAATCCAAAGCGACATCAGTGGACTGGATCAGGAGATGAGAAATCGTCTGGAATCAGAAAGGGGGAAGATAAGCTCAGTCATCAGTGCTGGTCTGAAAGAGCTAGATGGAAACATTTCAGATTATTCGTTGCGGACAGGCGTGAAAGTTGCACAATTGATGAGCCGTGTTACGAATTTGAAAGCAAAACAAAAGAAGATAGCGGATGATCAACAAAATGAAATACTCGGCATCCAGAATGATCAAAATACATTCAAACAATCTACTTTGGACACGCTTGAAAAGCTCCGGGTTGCCGTGGAAAATACCAGACAGAAGCTTGAAGATGCAGAGAAAGCCCTTCGTGATGAAGAGAGTCTGCGGAAGCAAGTAGAGGCCAAAGAAATGCAAGGAGCAACCTCTAAGCTGAACGATGCAGTCACTCAGGAACTGACACAGTCAGAATCTGACATTGATCATCAAATCAAGAATGATAAGAGCTGGCTCCAAGGCACTTTGAAGAATGTTAATGATGAGATGGACTTCAACGTGAAAGACTTTCACTCCAAGCTTGCGCAGCTCAAAGGCAAAACAGATACAGAAGATGTTGCTCAGAAGAAGAAGCTCCAAGAGGTCAGCAGCTCGGTAAGCAAGTACTTCACAAGAGCGGGAGAAGAACTTTCAATGCTTCAATCCAATGTGAGCAACATGGCACAGCAAATTCAGCAGTCGAATGTAGATGTAAGACATGAGCTTGAGATGAAAGTTGAAGAATTGAAGTCAGAGCTGGTACGGAGGGTGAGGGAACTCAAGCAGGGTGTGTCTCAGAGCCTGCTGTCTGCAGAACTCGCCATGAAGCAAAACTTCTCGCAAGCAGAAAGCTCCTTACATTCCCAGATATCAGAAGAAATGTCTCAAGCTACGAAGTTGGCGACCGATGTGTCAGAGGAGATGGAAAGAACCACCGACGAACAGAGCAAAGTGAACAAGAACAACAAAGAAAGAATTGACCAACTCTCTGATCAGCTTCAGTCTCAGCAAAAGTATACTGCAGAGGACTTGCAGGCTTTGGAGAATCAAGTCAAGAAGAGTGCGGAAACGGTGAAGAAGGCCAGGAGCCAGCTGGACAACGATGGATCTCAGCTTGAATCGAAGCTTCGATCTCGTCTTGAGTCGGCCTTGGAGTCGATTCGCATGAATATCAGCACCACGCTTATGAACAGCAAGGAAGCCATAACGACTCAGTTTGCCAAAGGGAGGGACAAGGTGCAGAACGCGATCCAGGATGTGAAGGAGGGCACGTACAACTCTCTGCAGTCGTACAAGGAAGCCCTCCGGCTGCTCTCTCAGGACGTGCGAGAAAACACTTACGCGACCGACAGGATCATCAAGAGTGCAATGATGTCGCAGACCTCCTTCACTCAGGACAGCACGGAAGCTCTTGCAAAGGTCCGTCGATCCTTGGAGCAGACGCAGAAGTCGCTGGAGAAGGCCAACGACGACTTTGCAGGTTTGACTTCCCTGGGATGTGAAGGTCGCTGATCCCTCTGCTGCAGCGAGACTCCGCAACCGAGCGGCGGAGCTGGAAGGAGAGATGGACAGGAAGTTCAAAGACGCGCAAAGACAAGTCGACGAGAAGCTGAGCAGAGAGGCTGAGCTGCTGCAGACGGTGATGAGCTGATCTCGTGCCAGTCAAGTTTGACACTTCGCCGCAGGCTCACGATGCGCTGCACGAGGCGATCGAGGCGCATGAGGAGGCGTCGGCGGCGAAGCAGAAGGAGAGGGAGGAGAAGCTGAAGGCGAGGAGAAGAGGAGACGGCCGTTGATAACTGACTTGCCGACAGGACTTGGCCAAAGACCTGCAGACTCTGCGCACTGCAATGGTGAAGCTAGAGCAGTCTCAAGGTAGATCTGTCGCCTGTCAGCCGTTGGTGGGCCGTTTGATTTGGGGTGTGAGCAGGTGACGGGAAGAGCGAGGGAGCAAGGCGGGATGGGGGAGGAGACGAGAAGAACGTGAGGAGGAAAGAGGCTATGAGAAGGTTGTATTCTAAACATGCGAGGAGACCCTAAGCGGTCGGTCGCGGGCTGTCTTAACAGAAACTTTAGACCCTCGAACGAGAATGAAGGGAAAGATCAGAATCTTGATGTTGTCATCATCTCGACTTGTTCTTTCTCCTCTGCCTGTTGTCTGCACCGAAACCTGAAGGTCCCCGTCAGCTGTCAAGCACTTGTGGTTGGAGTTGCACCTTTGCTCACTGGCGCTCTCTGCGACTTCCTCTTCTTGGCCTTGTAGTTGTCCGACGTTTCATCTGAGGATGTACTTCATATCAGCCCTGCTCCTCCATCTGCTATTCCGATTTCTCCCACTCTCCTTCCTCCATTCCGTGTCTTCCTCCCTCCATGGGTTTCCCCTGCCTCCTCGCTCCGTCCCTTACTCCTTCCTCTCTCATTCTCTACCTGCGCGTGTCCTCGAGAGAGTTTCAGTCGACGACAACAGAAAGCGTAAAGTTGCTGACTCTTCGTCCCTGGAACGAAACTGTAAGGTGAAACAGGAGAAGGCGGAAACATGTTAGAAGGCAGGAGGAGGAGACATAAAGAGGACGGCGGGTGGAGGGCGGAGGGTGGAGGATAGAGGAGGGAGGAAGAGCAGGGGAGAAGCGGGCAGGAAGGAGGAGATCAGAATAGACCTGTTGTCGCTTTTGTCCTCTTCGCTCTCACGACTGCAACAGATGAGACGGAGGAACGACACTTCAGATCCTCTCACCTCTCTCCTCCTCTCATCGAAACTTCTCCGTCGAGTCCCTGCTCCGCGTCACTTCTTCCCTCCTCCAAACACACCTCTTCCCATCCCCTGCATCACCACACTGCCCTCCTGCCCTCCTGCCCTCCTGCCCTCCTGCCCTCCTGCCCTCCTGCCCTCCTGCCCTCCTGTACTTGATCTACCTCAAGCTCTTCACGTGCTGTCTTCTCCTCCGCTGCCCTCCTCGCCTCCTTCACTGAGCGATCCGCCGCATTTCTCTGCAGAAGAAATTAGCCACCGCTGCCACCCTCCTGCTCCCTGTCCTCCTTGGCCTCCGCCTCCTCCTCGTCCTACCAGCTCCTGCTCTGCAGCTCTCCTCTCCTCGTATGCAACCTGTGCAGGGTATTACAATCCCTTCCTTGCCTTCTCACTTTACCTCCGCTGCCCTCCTCGCCTCCGCCTCCTCCGCTGCCCTTCTCGCCTCCGCCTCCTCTGCTGCCCTCCTCGCCTCTGCCTCCTCTGCTGCCCTCCTCGCCTCTGCCTCCTCCGCTGCCCTCCTCGCCTCTGCCTCCGCTGCTGCCCTCCTCGCCTCCACCTCCGATGCTGCCCTCCTGGCCTCCGCCTCCGCTGCTGCCCTCCTGGCCTCTGCCTCCGATGCTGCCCTCCTCGCCTCTGCCTCCGATGCTGCCCTCCTCGCCTCCGCCTCCGCCTCCTCTGCTGCCCTCCTCGCCTCCTCTGCTGCCCTCCTCGCCTCCGCTGCTGCCCTCCTCGCCTCCGCCTCCGATGCTGCCCTCCTCGCCTCCGCCTCCTCCGCTGCCCTCCTCGCCTCCGCCTCCTCCTCTGCTGCCCTCCTCGCCTCCGCCTCCGATGCTGCCCTCCTCGCCTCCGCCTCCGCTGCTGCCCTCCTCGCCTCTGCATCCACCGCTGCCCTCCTGGCCTCCGCCTCCGCTGCTGCCCTCCTCGCCTCCGCCTCCTCTGCTGCCCTACTGGACTCCGACTACGCCTCTGCCTCCGCCTCCTCCGCTGCCCTCCTGGCCTCCGCCTCCTCCGCTGCCCTCCTGGCCTCCGCCTCCACTGCTGCCCTCCTGGCCTCTGCCTCCGCCTCCGCTGCCGCCCTCCTGGTCTCCTCTTCTCGAGCCTGTGCAAGAAGATAAGGAGGCTGAGATGTGCTTGGCGCACTTTTTCTTACCCTCTCTCTCGCTTCTCTTCCCATCTTCTCCGCTGACTTCACAGCCTCGTCCAACACAAACCCGAAGCCTCGCCAGACATTCTCAGCCAACGACTTGCCAGCCTGCGTCCTGGTCAGACCCTGTCTTTCCCTCCTCCTAGTTCTCGCGTCGCCGTTCCTCCTCGTCCCTCAAAATGATCTTTTGTGCCTCTACTTGCCTCCTCCTCTTCCTCCTCTTCCTCCTCTTCCTCCTCTTCCTCCTCCTCACCCCTGCAACAAGCTCGCGAGCTGAACGGCTGATGTCCTCGACCGGCCGCTGCTGCTTCAACGATGTCAAGGAGCACAGGGAGGAGTACGAGCGAGACCTCATCGGGGGAGATGGCGGGAGGAAGAGAAGAATCCTAGCACGGCTGGTCAAAGTAGGGGAGGGAATATCAACTCGCCCACCAGAAGTTTCTCCTCCTCCTCCTCCTCCTCCCCTGTCATCTTCTTCTCAAACTGCAATGCCCCGGTGAGCCTCATCTGCAGGACGGTCATCGCGGAGCTAGCAAGTCTTCCTCTGCGTACCTTCGCTATTCCTGCAGGGCTGGCTGTCCAGGGAAGAGGAGGAGGGTCTGAGTCCGGAGGAGGAGGAGGCAAGTAGGTGAGGGAGGAGACGACGTCGGGGGAAGGAGCCCACACTGCAGTCTCGCTCAACACTCGCAGCTTCTCCTGCCCGCTGCCTGTCGAGACCTCCAGCTCCGCCTGCTCGAGTGGAATTAAGAGCAGACAAGACGAGCTGCGGTGGGAGGGATCGAGACAAGAAGATGTAGGAAGGGACGATACGAGAGGAGAGCAGGGAGCGTGGATTCACAGCAGGAGAGGGAAGGATTGCACAGCAGAGATTTTTGGAGGAAAGAAGAGGAATGGAAAGGATAGGAAATTTGAGGGTTCATGAGACAAGCGGGCAAGCGGTAGAATGTAGGGGAGAAGATTTCTGGTAGAATGAGGACAACTACAAGACAACGCAAGGACCTGCCATGGCAAGCCTTTGCGTCCTACAACCTTTCCAAACTGTACGATCCCGTCCGAGACCTTCAAGCTGTCAAGAGGAGAAGCAGCAGCACAAGAGAAATACCGGGAAGAAGATAAGGTCCCCGACATTGCACCTCTCCGGTCGGTAGTAGTCCTCCCCTTCCCTCCAGACGTTCTGAACCTGAGGCGACCAAAAGATCAGCCATGGCGATGGGAGATGTCGTATCCTTTACCGTGATGCCGACGAGCTTCTCGTTTCGATCGTCGCCGAGGTCTCTACTCGGTGCATCCCCCCGACAACCTTCGTCTTCGCTCCAACTCTTCTCAGGCTGCAGGTGAGGGTGAGACCTGGCTCACGACATGTGAAGACTCTTGCCGAAGTCACGAATCTCTTGGAGGGGGAGAAGGCTTCAAATGTGATGGAAGTGAGGAGCGCGATGGAGGACGGGGAAAGCTTTTTGATCTCCTGCCCGTTCTTGGTCCCTACGTAGTTCATGTCAACGGTGACTCCAAACCGGGGGCAGGGGGGCACCAGTACTCTTTGATGAGGGAGAGCTTTCCTGCGCAGCGAGACAGACCTGTTGCAACAAGCTCAGCAGCAGTCAGACTTGCCTGCCCCACATCTACCCACCTCGAACTCGTTGGCTGCCCCAATGCCGACGATCTCGCCGAATCGCCTGGACGAGCCCTGGTCCTCGAAGATCACAAGGTCCCCCACCTTGTGCTGCAGAACTCCTCAACAACAGCAGGCAACTCAGCACAGATATCAACCTCTGAGCTCCGGAAGTAATCCACGCCCTCCGTGAACGAGCTGGGGATCTCCTTTCCGACTAGCTTCCCGTACGTCAGACAGCTCCACTCCAACAGGCCGCCTCTCCTCGCCGACGATGGCGCTTTCGCATGCACCGACCACCTGCTCGCCAGCAGCCCCCGATTGTACAAGGTCGATCGAAGTGATGGGCATGAAGACAGGGTGAAGGCAGAACACTGCTGGCGGCTGATTATGATGACACAACAAAGCCACAAGAATCTGCACAGCATCTGCTGTCGAATGCAGAACAGATTTCGGAAACAAACTTTGAAGCGAACCATGTTTGCATCGAGAGATAGTGTTCAACTCCTTCAATCACTGAGCGCCTGCTTTCACAATTATGTCAGAATGTTTGAGAAAACCAGACGGATTGTAACAGCAGTCGGAGAAGACAATCTTGAAATAGAACACATAGACGAAGGGAAAGACAGGAGAGAAGAATGCTAGAAGAAAAGACTCTCTAGAGCAAAAGGATCACGAGGAATTTATGAGACGATTAGAAAGAGGAAGACATGATGACTAGGATGGAAGACGGAGGAATTCAGAGAGGTGCAGGGACGAGAAGGCAAGGGAGGGAGGGAGGGTGAGAGGAAGGAAGCAGAGGAGGGAGGAGGAGAGGGAGAGGAGGAAAAGCAGGAAGGGAACGGAGAGAAGTAGTGAGGAGACGAGGTTGCTAGCTGAGGGTGAGGCGGGGAGCGCAAGGGTAGCGCCGAACTGCAAGCATCGGGGATTTGCATCCCTCGATACAGATTCTTGGTTGGTATTGTGGGGGGTGGGGTGCCAATCTGAGGCCTAGGGGGTACTCAAAATACCCTACGCTATTCAAATAAGTCTCTCTAGAGCGAAAGGTAGGGGTCCAGAAGATGGGGTGTCAGTCACAAATAACCCCCACCCCCCTGGTCACCTTGGTCGCCTCCGTCGCTCAATGTTATAAGTGGATGACTGCTGATGATCTACCCCTACCCCATGGATGACTGCTGATGACCCAACCCACTGAGCCGGCCCCAGAAAGGTGGATCCCGATGTGATGAAGATGAGATGGAGGTGGATTGAGATGCATAGTAGATGCGACGAGATGGCGCCGGCGAGGAGAGGAGGAGAGGAGGAGAGGAGGAGAGGAGGAGAGGAGGAGAGGAGGAGAGGAGGAGAGGAGGAGAGGAGGAGAGGAGGAGAGGAGGAGAGGAGGAGAGGAGGAGAGGAGGAGAGGAGGAGAGGAGGAGAGGAGGAGAGGAGGAGAGGAGAAGACATGGAAATAGAAGATGAATCTAGCAAAGTGAGAGTTGTAACAAGTGGATGGCAATGGAAGCAAGGGAAAGGTGATTATCTGGGGGAGATAGATTTGATTGTGAGGGGGGGAGCAGACAATGAGACATCAGATCTAGAACAGACAGAAAATGGTAGAGAATATCAGATACTAGGACAGAAAGAAAATGGTAGAGAATATCAGATACTAGGACAGAAAGAAAATGGTAGAGAATGCAACACGGGAGACGACAACGATTCTCAGGAGCAAAGTTTTAGGGTCATGGGGAGTCGAGGAATATCAAAGCAAAGCATCACATATGAGTTTTGAAATTTCTTGATTCACATTTAAAATTGATAATGGACACATGACCTTCTATCTGGGCTTCTTCTTCTTCTTCGTCTTTTCCTTCCCCTTCCCAGCCTTCCAGGATTGTCAAACTTCGAAAGGAACGGGACGACGTTACCTTACTACTCGTCTTCTTCTCCTCCTCCTCCGCAAGAAGTTCTTGGGCGACCTTCTCGGCAGCAAGATGTTTCTCCATGGCATCGTCAACGACTAAAGAAACATCACTCGTCAGTGCCTCTCCATCCGTCCGATGCCCTTACAGCAAGGATCAGCCATCCTCTCCGCCTGACTCGCAAGGTTCCCCTCCTGATTGAGCTTGCTCGGGTCGAGTCCCCTGCCGTCACTTTGATCAGTCGGGAGCCGGGAGCTCTTGGCATCACAATTTCCGACGCTTATCGTCCTTGTGTGCTGATACTTCCATCCTGAACGCTTCCCCGGGTACGTCAGGACGTTACCAAGGAGCGGTGAACAGCTACCTGAAGCCAGAGGGTCTGAAAACCCGGCATTCGATCCCTGAATCAACTCGTCCGGGTGCAACTGATACTGAAGTAGCACAAGTCAGGGCCCCTTATTGACCCTCCTGTCTCGACCTCCTCAGACATGTAGACAGTCGGTTCAGCATCAACGGCCCTCATGAGTAAATCCTCGGCCAGTCTCTGATATGTCTGAAATCGAGACGAGTCAGAGTGTGGGTAGGATGGCGAGAGAAAGACCTCGGATCCAGTTTGAGAAGCTAGTTGGGACAACATGTGAGAATAGCTGAACGTGAAGGTGAGGGGTGGTCACTGAGACGAGAAAGAACGTACCAGTAAAGAGTTGGGATGTTGGATGGATCCATTTTGAGCGCTTGCTGAAAGTAAGACTCCCCAGTCTTGTGATATCTAGTCAAAGTCGAGGAGCATGACGCGGAGCGATCAACCTTGAAGTCTTGCTTCAGGTCAACTATCAGATGTCCAAGGTTGCAAAGAGCATAAGGGTACGTTGGCTGGATGGCGAGAGCTCTCTGATTCATCGATTCAAGGTCACAGCTAAGTAGAGGATCGTACTCTGAACGCACCTTGAAAAGATGCTCAGCTCCTTCAAAGTTCTCGTGAACCTGCACGGATGTCAAACGTTGCACTCGCGGGAGAGGACATATCACCTCATGCAGGTACAACCCATAGTTTGTGAGCACGATGGGATTGTTGGGATACAGCTGGAATAGATTCAGCACAGACGTCTATCTCGGGCCGACGATGACACCTCTACAGCTTGCATGTGCACGTGCTCTGCCTGCTTTTCATCCCTTCGTTGCCGCTTTGATCACAGGCAAGTGGAAGAGAGGGAAGTTCAGACCTTGATTGCAAGAATACGGCAAAATTTTGTAGGACAAGTCTGTCTGCAGGTCGGACTGCATACGAGTCAAAGGAAAATTCACACGGAATTGTAGCAAGAAAATGTACTGGAAAGGGCTCTCGTGAACAGATTCTGGATTTCTGGCATCCCGTTGTTTGTTCGCCTTTGCTGACAAAGGATAGAATCAAAAAAGGCTGATACCTCCTGACGATGGATACCAGGAAGGAAGCTAAGTTGACAATGGTGTTTGTATCATGTGGAGCAAGCGATCGGGCAATCTACAACCGCACAAGTCAACCAAAATCAACATGAAAGGTTTGATACCGTTAAATGATTCAACGTTTCGCGCAGCTCATAAGGTGTTTCCTGGGGGAATCCGTCAGCATTTCGGGGAGAGATGAACTAGCTAGAACCTGATGTACAGCTGCGACTGCAAAGTGTGCCATGCTGTAGATCGGAGCTTGTCTTGTAACTTTCTTCAAAATGGCCTAGGTGAAAGGCTTAGACTCACTAACGCACAAGTAAAGGTATTTCAGCCACCAGCGCTTCGTTCCTGTTGCCCTCTACATTGTTCATGAAGGACGCTTGATTAACATTTGCTCCGATATGATTCGGTTGCAGCTCTATGGCTCTTTCATAAAGCATTTTGACCATGCCTTGCGCAAAGGTCAACCAAGATCTGTCAGAGGGTCTTTCCTTACGTTGGAGGCTCTTCATGTTGCTGAACTGCTTGGACAGCGATTGCGCCAGAATACAATCCTGCACATCATCTCATTGTCACTCATCAGAACTCCGATGAATTGATCAAGACCTGCAGGAATCCTCCCAAGTTTGCCAGCACTGTAGCCTCGTCGGGAGAAAGCCTTAAAGATTGTAGAAGCGCGTTCACAACATCGATCTCCTCATCCTGGATTATTCCTATTTCAATCAAGAGACTCGTGGTGTTTTCGAGGAAATTTATATCCACATGGTCCACTTCCACAGGGATATCACGGACATTGTTACTCCCGATCCATTTCTCTGCAGGGATTGAATGCTGTAGAATCTCAATGGTTGAATCTTTGACAATCCAGCCGCAGCTTGGCCAGTATTCTTTCCATGTGCTGGTCTGCGTGATCCAATGAATGGATGCGTCTCTTGAATAGTTGGAGTAGAAGGGGCTTGTAAGGCTCTTAGCAGATTGCGGGGTAATCCTACAATTGTGTTCGAGGTTGACAGCAAGGTTGTTGTAAGCAACGTTGTTCTGAGGATCAAGTTCAATGGCCTTTAAGAAGAGACGGTGGGATTCTGGATGTCCTTCCTCAAAGAAGAGCTGCCCTAATGCACAGAGGGCGTCTGATATACGACCTCGATATTCGCTTTGCAGCTCTGGACTCCAAGACCCTAGCACTTGCAGAAGATCTTTCCATGGAGAAATTTGGTTCTCTTTGAATGTTGCTGACGAATCCGAGTTGACTTTGGATTCGCTCAAAGGCATAAAGTGTGAATCAAGATTATGTTTCAAACTTGCAATGCAAGTCAACAGCTTTAGCTTCATATCCAAATCTGCTTCTTTGCTCAGGATCTTCTGACTGTAATCAATCTTCGAAGTGACATAGGAATTCAGGTCGCCAAGAATCGAATCTGCTTTGATCTGAACCTCATAGACATGCGCATTGTTGATCATGAGCCTTTCAAGTCTCCAGGGATCTACATCAACGAGCAGCTCAATAAACGTGCTCAACGATGTTGCCATTTGAAACTCAGGCCGAATTTTCAACAATTCTTCGAACTTGTCCTCATCACTCCCTTTTTCCTGGCAGATTGAAAGAGGAAACGAGTGATTTAAAAGATTAAAGTTCTGCAAAATTGCTAAATTCCGCACTGAATCAGAGTGATCAGGAGCGGTTTGGACAGCCAGCGATAGCAGAGCTTCTGCTTGGTGTATAGAAGCCTCGTCTTGCCTTGTCATGAGCAGCATCCCGAAATTGCACAAGGTCGGAACATGTGACGGGTTTACGCGAAGAGCTTGTTCGAAATGGTCTATTGCAGCATCTTCTTGGTTGAAAGCCTCGAACAGCAGCAGGCCTCGATTACACAACACTTCCACATTCGAAGGATCAAACTTCAAGGCTTCTTCGTAATATTTATCGGCTAGCTCGAAGTTGCTCCCTGTTGAATGATGAATCTGAGCGACCGATATGATTGAAGGAAGATGGAGGGGGTCGCTTTGAAGAGCTCGATAGTAATATTCCAATGCTGATGTATCATCTGAACGAAAGCATTGCAACATAAATGCATATTGCCAGAGTAGCTTTGGTCGATTGGGATGAAACATCAACGCATTCTTGAAAATCGTCTCAGCATCATTGAATCTGAGCGTTTTCTGTCGCGTCATGTCAGATGCACATGTACAAGAATTATACTATCATACCTGTAAGAAATTTCCGTATTCATGCACTGCATGGGGATGTGCAGGATGCAAGCTAAGGGCGTATTTCCAGGCCTTTTCCATTTCCTGCTCACAACTTGCAGTCTCTTCCACGTTTCCTGCTTCAGCGTGCAAAATCGCGACTTCATGCAGCAGCACCGCACATGCATGGCACACATCAGGTTCACTCGGATCAATGCTCAAAGAGATCTCAAGCAGGTCTTGTGCTTGCTTAACATCACCATACTCCTTGATAAAAAATCTTGCTAAATGTGAGTGCAACACGACGTCGTCCGGTGCCAGCTTTGCAGCTTCTCGAAACAGGTGAGAAGCTCGCTCAATGAAGACATCTCTTGCACAGCTTTGTCCACCAGGCATGATCATGGATTCATTCTCACCAATCAGGGTTGCCGCCTTCCAAATTGCCGTGGCAAGCATGTAAAGAGCGTGTACGTTTGCGGGATCATACGACAACGCGATCTGAAAAAGAGACTCTGCTTTCGGAGCTTGATCATAATAATCCAAGTAGATTTCTCCCATGTATGAAAATGCTCTAGAATAACTCGTTCGGCCGTCAGGACCTGCCGGATGTGAAACGGGCTTGTAAATCTCATCAGCATCTTCGTCAAAAACATGATGAAGTTTGTCCCGAGTTAGATTCAGGCAAGCGATCACTTCCTCATATGACATGTTGAGTTTCGAAGACTCAATAACCTCTCTAAGCTCATCGCTCTGCAAATATTCTGTGACGTTCTTGTAGAATTCATCCAAATCACCCACTTCTAGCCCGCTTTCAACGAGTTCCTCCCTTGTGGGTCGCTCATTCTCCTCTAACATGTAATATTCTTTGCTCTTTTCGTTAGGATCCATGCTGAGCACCATGTTGAGATACTTCATGGCCTTTTCCACATCCATCTCTTGTTTATACATCGAGTAGGCAAAGTTGCACATTGCATGGATATCATCACTCAAGAATTTGACCATGAAAGATTCCCACACAGGAGTGACAGTGACAGGTGGCCCGCCTTTAAGCAAGTTGTGCTTGCTCTGATTTCTGGCTTCATGTTCTTCCTCAAAGGCTTCCAGCAACATCAGAGTAATCTTCCGAGCGTCTTCTTCACTCGCAGCGGTAGGACCGTTATTTCTAACGAATTGATCGATTCGCTGCCTTAACCTGTTGGAGCAATCGTATCCTGCTGCGGCTTCGGACTCGCTGAGGGCCTCTGCTTCCGACTCGTACGAGTCATTTTGCTCGTTCGCGTCGTATGCCTTCCTCTGGCCTTCTGCATAAACCTTGAGGTCCTCGAGTTCTTGGTCGTTATCCGAAGGGTCTTCCATGTCACCTGTTTCGCTCAGCTCAGAAACGCCGGGCATCCCAAACAGAACTTACGCTGGGTGAACTCCTCTCCGGATCCTCTGAGACGGAGTATGCATGAGATCACATCCGCACAGCGCTGCGGGTTGCCCGATCCCCTGATCCGCAACATGGAGCAAGGGGAACCCACATTGTTCTCAGAAACAAGAGGAGGGAGGAGGAAGACAAGGAGCAGGAAGCGGGAGATATGATGTAGAGCAGTATGACTATGATAGGGAGGTGGGAGGGAGTGGGGCAGGAGGGGTACAGGAAGGGAGCACTGAAATTTCCCGCTCCACATGCGCCCCATAGCATGGAATCGGGAGAAAGTGTAATAGGTGGGGTCCCAATTCAAGCAAGTATGATATCGACTGTGAAAGTTTAATTTCAAATACTCATATTTCAAATACTCATATTTAAATATTCCAACACTGAAATATTACGAAAGACGACAGGGTGGGGGTGGCAGTTTCAACAGGATCACAATGGCTTGAATGGCGCGAGCGATAGCCTTTCTCCTCCTTCCATGCAGCATCTGCCTGCCTCCTTCCGTCCCTCAGCTTTCACCTGCATTCCTGCCATGCTTGTTCCCCCGTCCATCCCCTCACAGACAGACGTCAAGGCCGGTCGGCAGGGTCCCGAAGCTCTCATGCCATGTGCAGGAGTACCAGGTGAAGCCTAGCTCCATAGCTGTCTCTATGCTCTTCTTCTTTGACTTGATCGCAGCAACTAGATGTCTCTTCCCAGCAGAAGTTTGAAGCCAGGAATGTATCAACTTATACCTGGTCAGACCTCCTGCAGCTGGACTCAGCGAGACAGGTGAGGGTGATTTCCTATCTTGTTTCCCCTTGAGCGATCCGTTTTCTAGATTTCAATGCAGTCTGATGTTGACCGGAAATTGATGAGTTGGAGGGCTAGTGCGAGATCGAAGCCAGACCTGGAGGAATTCAACATCTTGAGTGACATGCAGTGGGAAAGAGTTCTTGAGGCCAGCATCCCTGTGGACTTCAAGCTCAAGTTATGGAAAAGCAAGAGTATCATGAAAGACAGAAGGTTTGATACTCTTTCTTGCCACCGTTGGGACCTCACTGTTGTCTTAGATGGTCATTGGATGATGCCCTGCTGTCGCTTGACTTCGAACACAACAAGCAGAAATGTCAAGTTGACAGCATGATTACAAGAAAAAAGGCTTCAGAATCTTCATATATCAATCCCCCAATCCATACTCTGAAGTCGAAGAACGATTTCGTGCAGCAGATTATCAGCACCCCTGAAGATCAAGCCTTGAAGCGAGGTTCTGCCTTGCTTGTTGAAATGAAATCCTATCGCATGGCACCTGATGTCAAGTTTTTCAACACTCTCATCGCAACGTGTGTGGGAAAGAATGCAAAACGAGGCATCCAGACGTCACCAAGTGACCCCTTCCAAGTCAGCAACCCTAGCAGCACCCAAGCAGTCCGCCGCGCAGTTGCAAGATCGGCTTCGCAGAGATGGTCGGACTGTACCGAAGTTTTACGGACGATGAGGGATCACGGTGTATCACCGGATGTTGTGACGTTGAACATTTTGGTGGAATCTTGTGTGAAATGCTCTGACAAGGGCCTTTCAAGATTGCAAAATGTCCAGAAGGCCTGCAGGTTGCTACACACTTTCGAAGCGGATCTCAACATAAAAGGAGACGTCGTGAGCCTTTCAACGATCCTGAATGGCTGCGCAACGGTCTTGAAAGATGTATCAGACAAATGCTGGAGGGATGTAAACTATACTGAGCTTGTATGCGCGAATCTCAGGATAGTAGAGTGGACTTTGCAGAAGATGGCAAAGGAGGGGATCGTTCCAAACATAGTGACATTTGTTTCGCTGCATGAAATTGTTCTTTACGCGCTTATTTTGGGACCAACAGACAAAACTTTCAAGGATCAAACAATCAAATTTTGTTCAAGTTTATCAGTGAGGATGAGAAGCTTTCAGGTAGTTCCAAACGGGTTTCTTCTGAATTCCATACTCAAAGCAATGGTCCTTGCATCCAAATCACAGTTGGGGACTGAGTATGCACAGCTGGCAGAAAATATGATCTCCTCTGCACTTTCCCAGGGAGCACAACCTGATATAGTGAGCTACAACATCCTGCTGCAAAGTTTGTTGAATATGCGAAATTTGCGAAGAAATTCCAGGACTGCCTATTTGGAGCGGGTGCAAAAATCAGCCATCAAAATATACAATCACGTTGCGTCGCAGAAAGGCGTGTCCCCTGACATTGTTACGTTTTCTATTTTCTTGAACATCTGCTCGTCAACATCACTGAATGATATCGACTTCCTCACAAATAGTGTGAAGATTCTTGATATCATGAGAGTTCTTGGAGTGAAGCCGAATTGTGCTACAACTTCCGCCTACATATCAGGGTATTGCCTAGCCCGTGGAAAGTGTCGTCAATCAAACTCGTTGCTATTTTCTCCGTCTATTCCAAGCCTTGTATTCAAAGATTCTAACAATGAGGAAGAATACCCCTCCCGGATCCTGAAATGCATGATGTCTTTGAATATGAAGCCATCAGTAGCGACGTTGTCAAGTCTTATTCTAGCCTGCAGTCATTCCAGTGATTCGCCAAGGACAAGTATTGCTCGTGGTTTACAGGCTATTGCATTTCTTGTTGGGAAGGGCGCAAAGCCTTCTCGGTCCTGGTACTTGGACCTTGTCAGGCTTGCAGTCAACCTTAATCAAGTCCTCTACATTGCTGCGCAGCTGCGGTGATACTTGACGGCTCTATCAACTTCAATTTCTGATGATCCCTCGTTGCAGGAAGTATGGGTTTGCACCAGACCTCGCATTTTACACCATCCCCTTCCATAACTTCTGCGCTCGTGGGGACGTGATCAATCTTGCCTCCGCATGGGCACTCTTGCTACAGATGCAGCTCGATGGAGTTCCTTTCGATTCCGGATTTTACAGAACGATTTTCAAAGCAGGTGCATGAATCTATATCGTGCACAGATTCCTACTCACATTGCCTCTCAGTTTCTAAACACAATAGCATCCAAACTGCAAAAGTGTCCTACGGTTTCTTCAAAAGATTGAAATTGTCGAGTTTACCTGAAGAGGTGCGACTTTGTTTGCAAGACGATTGCTCAACATTGACATGTCGCTTTGGAAGGTTTTTCTAAATATGATTTATTCCCTGGTAGAAGTTGGATTAGTCGATGATGCAGGTTGAAAATTCTTGAAATACTGAAATTTGAGCTCTGTCCATTAATGACAAATGACTTGGCATTTCAGTGCGAGTATGGCAACAAGCAGAATTTTTTCGCATGAAACTGCAGATCTCTAGGTAAATTTGAATATCTGCATCGATTCACAACTGAATTTGGATTGGTTAACAAGGTCCACAGCAAATATTGACAGAATTTGCTTGAATGAATTTTTCAGCAAGATCGAAGGGGTTAAAGACTAGCTTTCACATTTCTCATGTTTATTATCCCGCCTATAACTTGTAAATACGCTCATGTCTCAAGTAAAAAATGTTCAAGTCATCCAGTCCGCCTTGAAAGTCGCATCACCACAGGTATACTGCAAAGTTGAAAGTCTTCCCGAAATACTTATCCTGTCAGCACAAGTCCCCAGATGTCACACAACGCAATCAAACGGAGGACGTTCACCCGAAGGTCTCCCGGGGTAAGGGGCTCCAAAGGATTGCCGTCGGATCCGAGAGGGCGGACGTGAAGATTCCCTTCCATCTGCCATCAGGTCATCAGCGAGGGTCGCGCTGCCGTTGGAGGCTCCTCACGAGCTCGGAGAGAATAACGGAATGGATCGCCGGCAGCTGGCTCCATCGGCTACCTATGGGCAAAAACTTCTTCTCCTCCATCCTCATTGACCCGATTGTCGTGCGCGTGCTCACATCGATGGTCCAGTTGCCCGGGACCTTGAGGCCCCAGGTTAAACAGGAAGGCGCGGGAACAGGATGGCAACCTGAGGCAGAAGATTTTCTGACTGCTGGTCGGATAGCTCCACGCACTCGACCTGTTGGAGGGTCTTACAAGAGCGACCCTTGTCTTCATCCCCCTTGTTTCACCTCCCCTTCTCGAACGGCTTTCACAGTTGTCTGCAGTCTCTGATAGAAGCAATCCTCACAGACCTGCCCAGAGGTCACAAGAAGAGAACATCACAGGGCACAACCTTTCGCCAGTCAACGCTGATGTCAGGCAGATTCAAGGTTTCCATCCCGTCACCTTCAGGCAGCAGCATAGACACTGTCTGCCATCGATGACAATTCTCCTGTCGCTCGAGATCATCAACAGTTTCAACTCAAAGTTGCGACCAACCACAGAGATCCAGCTTCCAAGCCGAGAAGCCCTAGAGATTTTCTCAATGCAGAATCTAGAGGGACTCAAAGATTCAGCCGCAGAATCACCAGAAGCCCCAGGTTTGTACCTCTCGCGCATAGGAATGCAGGCGAACATGGGGTTCACGATGGCTTCTTCTCGCCCACTCTCATCCTTGAGATTCATCTTGCCTTTGAGCATGAAATCCAGAACCTCGTTATAGGGCCCCATCCCTCCATCCTGATTGAATATTCTATCTGGGTTGATCACCTCGAACTTGAGGATTCTTGTGCCCTTCTCTGCCTCCCTCATGATGGTTTTCACTATCTCTTTCGAAGTTCTTTCATACTCGTTCCAGTATCGCAGCTTCGTCGCAACTCTGCTCACATTTGCTATCTCAAATCCAAACGATGCAGGGACTGCAGCTCGAGCGAGCGCATCGGCATCAGGAAGCGATCCTCCGTCACCATCCTTCCTCCTCTTCTTCGCCGTCCCTGGCACCAGCACCAGCACCAGCACCAGCGCCATCACAGCGTGCCGAGCAGTATGCATGGGGCCGCTCCCTTCCACCTCACCCCTACCCCGTGGACCCCAGAAAAAGGCTATATGGGGTGGGTGGTGGTGTCCTCTGCAAGTGTCGGGGAGCAGCCCATTGACGAGTCGCAATGTCTCGCTGAACCTCCTCCTCCTCCTCCTCCTCGTCCCCCTCCGCCTCCCCCTCCTCCTCCTCCTCCTCCTCCTCCTCCACCACCACCACCACCACCACCACCACCACCACCACCACCAACACCAACACCAACACCAACAACAACTCCACCATCGCTTCTTCTTCTCTTCTCATGCACCTCCTCCTGACGTTCACTACCACAACCTCCTCCACCTCCTGCTGCTTCTCTTTTTCTTGTTTGTTGGCATCTTTCTTTCTGCCTTCACAAGCCACATGACATTTCGTCCTTTTGCTCTGAAAAGAACTTTTCTTGGAACATCGAATGCAGCGTCGCGACTCCTCATCAGTGTTTGGCTCATTCTTTCATCATTCAGCGTTCCTGCATGTTCGAGGTTCGATGACGTTCGTATCCTTTATCCGCCGAACGCATTCTACCTCGCCCCGAACGAAACTGAGCTCCTAGTTGTCCTGCAAGTCTCACGGATACTTTTGTCGCGTCGTCTCGATATATATGTGGATGGAAACCATGTTCATCATCTGGTGCCTTCCCGTGGGATTCAATTCTTCCACTGTACGATAGGTCGAAACCTAGAGCTTCACAAGCTCGTTGCTGCTTTATCATACCACAAGAAAAACATGGCATATGATGTTTCTATCCTGCGTCGAACTCTTTCCAGCTTCCAAGAAACCCTTGTTCCAGAGTTTTATCCCTCCAAACATGGTTCTGGTGTTCATGACGTCGTCTTGATAGTCCTTCAAGATCTCACAGAGTTTTCACAGTTTCTGTGCGAAATGAACGTCAGCTCCCTTTGCTTGGAGTGCGATTTCTTGTTTTCTCTTCCCAAAGAAGCAGGCTTCTGCTCTGCATGCAAGTGGGACAGTGTCCACTGTGTGACTGACCTTGTAAAGAATACTTGGATGGCTATTTTGAATGTCTCAAGCCTGTTCATCACTGACTTATCCTTCGACAAGTTGCAAGACATATCTTTTGCTGGAAAAGTCGTTCACATTGGTCATTGGGAAATTGAAACAAGAGAAGGATACATTCACTTCAATCATGTCAAAGAACTTGAGGTATTTGTTAAGAACGGGTCTTTTCGTGAGATCAACCGTGGCAATTCATCCAAAAAATTGATCAACAAAGCAAAGTCGGAAATGAAATCCATGCCGTCGGGGTGCTGCAATTTGATGGAAGATCCAACCATAGGTGCATGCTCTCTTGCTGATCAGGTCTCCATTGTCATTACTCCTTCGCAAGGGCACCGTCTGGAGGATCAGCTCCGTTCTGCCGTGGGCCAGAGTTTGTTGCCCAAAAATGTTCATGTCTTGCAGTTTGAAGAGCATTCGAGATTTGATCGTTTAGTTTCTGAGTATCAGGTCAGCAATCCTCATATTACCTTTCATCTCGAAAAAATAGCTCCCACAGTTCCTTGGAGTTTCAGATTCAATATGGCATACATGCTTGAGACTGAATATGTATCGATTTGGGAGAACGACACAGTTCCAGACAATGAATGGTTGGAAGAAAGTATCAGGGTGTCAAAGGAGAATCACCATGCCCTGGTTGGGAAGAATGGCTATAGATTTATAAAGTTAATGAGTGGAAAGGAAAAGATGATTCTTCTGCAATCAGCTCTCGCAGGACAAGTCGATTTTGTTCAGGACCTCTTGACGCTCAGAAAAGAGTATTTGAGATTTTACTTTCTTCATCATAGACCAGGTATGAGCGCTCATGCCGCTGAGCTCTCATATAGTCTACAGCAGCAGGGTGTTGCGATCCGTGTGATGATGAAACATGTTCACGATGACATAGCAAAGGATGAAGAAGAATTCTTGGAAATCGTGAATGACGACGAAATTCTTGACCATTGCCAAATGCTGTCAAGAGGCTTGAAAACTGCCGCCTGTCTCAATTGCGATGAAGAGCATGTCAAGGCCTGTTGCCTTCATTATTCTGTCAAGAAGGAGTTGAATTCTCATATTTCACGGTTTCAGACACGGAACTTCAGATATGTGAGTCCGACCGATCGCAAACATCAGAAAAAGGTGATCTTTCTCTTTGACTCCTATTCAGACTTGTTGAGGATTTCAACTCTAGTGAAAATATTTGAAAGAAATCCAGATTTCTGCATCACAGTGATTTCAGTCGGAAAAAAGGATGGAATTACCTGGTATAGCGGCCTGTTCGGCAACAATTCGGAACATCATTTTGTCCAGATCAGCGACCAACCATCGATTGCATACGCTCTCAGACTCTCTCGAGTAGTGAATTCCTTGCAAGATGCTGTCAATTGTCAGAGCGGCGACTTCATATTTGTCCCAGGGGACACACTCTCAGCCTTCGCTTTGGCTCTTGTCGGATATTACTGCGATGCATTGATTTTGCATATAGCAGGTGATCGATCCAGCTCCAACCTGATGGACCAGACTCTTCTACACCTTGCCCATTATCACTTTGCCTTCAACGAAAAAGAAGCTGAATATATCTTAATGCAGGGTGTGGAACATGGAAGAGTTCTCATAGTAGGCAATATTTGTGAAGACTCCATCAATATCTTTGGATTTCCAATGATTCGTCCGCAGAAATTGTCTCAGTCCGTTGTTGAAAGCGAGAAATTTATATTTGTGTCTTTGTCCAGAATATCGAATTACAAAATGATGTTTTCGATCATCAGGGCGATTTCAGAATCAAATGCAAACAATCTTCATTTTTTTCTCTATGCCCCCAATGGACGGATGCCACCGGAGGCAAATCATCTTTGCATGCGAGAGTATGGGTTCACTTGCGTTGGGGAGATGTTACCAGCTGAGAGATTGTGGATTATCTCAAACAGCGCTTTTGTAGTGACAGACGTATTGATGGTAACGGAGGAGACAAGATGTTTCCTAAAGCCAGCATTGGTGTTGAGCCAAGCACCTGAAAGAGACTGCTCCTTTCTTGGCGTTTCATTACCTTGCGATCATGAAAATATCTTTGAAATTCAATCGGCAATAATTGATATCGTGACATCGGAATCTGACATCAATCATGTATTTTATTCAATCAAAACAAACCATGCGACTCAAACTATATATGAATTCCTGATCAGAAAATTCAACGTGAGTGGAGCAAGTGTGATTCATGATCTGAAGCGTAGTATCAATTCTAGCTCTGCAGCTTTGTCATACACCTTGCCTGCTCCCCTCTCAGCTGAGCATGAATACCATACTTTGCTACACAAAATTTCTGATCATTTGCTTTCCTTGTGGATTCAGGAGGACTTCCAAGTAATTTTGGACCATGGATGCAGACTGTCTCCAGTTCGAGGCGGATTAACTTGCAATTCTTGTGCTTGCATGTGGTTCAAGAGCACGGATGAAAGGAGCGAGAGGCTAGAATCGGTATCCTCTGCTGGGAAATCCTCTTTCAAATTCAAGTATGCCCAGAGCCATACAAGAACCCTGATCGACAGTCTTGTGCTTGTGAGTTCCAGCACCAAGGATGTTTTTGTATCAATTGAGGATCGAGAAAAGTGGATGGACGAAATTTCGATGGTACAGAAGATGATAATCATCTGCATCACCAATACCACAGGAGCCATCCAAGATGGACTTTATGAGACATCTTGGATCTACCGATCCATCGATCCTCACGTGTGGCAGGTGGATGGCGTGATAGACGGAAGTGCTCTGAGCTCAACTTTCATCATCTACAAGTACGCCAGAAAGTCACGATCGGCCAACAAGAATTTGTGTTGGATGTTCGGACAGTACGGGCGGTTGAACAATGGGATAATCGGATTCCTCCACTTGGGTTATCTTGCTTCACGCTTCCAACGGCAGATGGTCGTTCCCAACGTAGCTTTTGTGTGCTCTGTGAACCTGCCGTTAACAAGCCTGCTGGTCCTCGAGGGTCTGATTTACATTCAGGGTTATGACGTGAAGCTCGTGTCGGAAGATGATTTCTTCAGTACGTGTGGGTCCTCACCAGTGGTGGACGTGAAAGGACTTGAGAAACAGAGCCATCGAGAAACTTGTCAGATTGACGGGAGGCATCTTTTTGAGACTAGAGATGTCACAGAGCATCATATGAAATCATCATTCTTTCACCTGCGATTTCATTCCCGCCTGGTCACAAAGGCGAAGCGCTTCATCTTAGAGAAATTCAAAGGAATTCCATACGCGGCAGTTCATTTTCGAAACTTCGAGGAAGACTGCATTGAGAGAGTGAAAGATGTGATTGGACACGCTTATCCTGGAATCTCAAATATCTCAAGTCATCTTGACTCAATCTCTCCGATGTGTAATCCCAATGTGTCATGGGTACTCCATGAATCGGAGGAATATTCCAGAATTCATCGAATCAGCTTGTTCATAAGTTCCGAAAGCTGGGGGGGGATGCAAGACAACGTTGCGGATGCCGATAGGCTGGTGAAACCGCAGCGAGAGTGTGAAGAAGTGGAATGTGCTTTGATCGATATGATTGTCTGCATGGAGTCCATCATATTCTTTGGAAACCCTGCAAGCACGTTCTCTTTGAACGTCGGTAGGCTGAGAGAGCAGCAATTTCCATTCGCGGGACCAAACATCTTCAGCACTGACAGGAATTTGTTGTTCCCACTGTGGTTTGGATATAAATGAGAGACGTGAGGATTAGTAGAACTCATGCCACAATCATCTTTCCTGCGAGATCCTTCTCGCTGTATGATAAACTTTTTGAGAAAATTGAATGAAAGATCAATCAAAGATCGACCGTATACATTCGCACCATCATACTGGCGTCAATCAAGAGTCAAACACTTCAGACACCACAGTGTCTTGAAATGAATGATTCTTCGAGAGATCATCTTGAATCCCATCAGCATCCAATCTGACAAACTAGAGTCGTCGACTTTCTTTTCTCTCAAAAGCAAGAGGCCAACTTGTTAAAATATATATTGGAGTATCGAAGGTGGGGGTGGGTGGTAAGTGTTTGACAAGCGGTCTCAACGGACATACATACGGGTATCATGCCGACAAAGAAGAACACCAGCAAGAAGAAGGAAGACAAAGACTGGGTAGAAGTGAACCCGTGCTTCTACGTGACTTCTGTCTTCTTTTCTTCCCTTCCATGCAATATCCCCCCTCCTCTGATGTCGTGAAGTTTGTGACTGACTTGATATGACAGGAACATCTTTTCAAAGTGGAGATGCTCAAGGACAGGATTCAGGAGTTGGAGATTTCCAATGATGAATACAAACAGGAGAACGAAAAACTGATGGAGGAGAACAGGGTTTCTATTGATGCTATCTAGAATTCTCCTAACTTTCAATCTCCTGCAGATGCTGCTGAAACTCCTGGAGGAGGAAAGAAATCTGTGCGAGAAGATGAGATGGGAAAGAGAAAAATCGCTTCAATCCTGCGATGAAGCTAGGATCTTGTTAATCAGACAGGAGAGCAAGGAAGAAGATCTTCGCTCACGGTCCTAGTCATACATCTCTTAACCTTGACCTGACCCACTTACAAATGCTGAAGGTTCGAAACTTTGGAAGCAGCCACAAGACGAATGGAAGCTGAATTCGCACAATCTGAAGAATCATTGACCAGAGAGAATCTACATCTGAAGGTGTGCATGGAACATAGAAAATGTCGAAGCACTCAAATTCAATCAGAATGAAATCGAAAGATTGAAAGAACTTACAGAAGCAAAAGCATCATTGCAAGTAACATTCTTGCAGTTTTGTTTATGCCTTTCCATCACTAAAGACATCTGGAGCAGGATAATTTGATGGAAAGAATTGATGAGCTAAAAGATACTGCGGTACACAAGAAAAATCTGCATTTTTCTCTGACATCCGTGGAATCCCAGAAAAAAGAATATGATGAACGTTGTGAAATTGAAAAACAAGCAAACAATTTGGAATCTGAGTTGTTGGATTGGCAACAGGTAAAGCAAATACAATATCAATGTGAAACGAGAGATTTTTGACATTTTATAGACAGCTATGAGACTGAGAAAAGCATTAGAGAGAAAGCAATTGGAGGTGTGAACGAGCCCAATATGGCCATCTGTGATGTGGGTATCATAACACTAGTTCAGATCGAATGTTTGGAGACCAGTTCTTCACAGCGACAACAGGAGATAGACGAATCTGTCAGGTAATTCGTTTTCTGCTTGCTACGATCGGTACTCTAGATCATACCAGTGTTAATGCAGGTATTGGCAACAGAAATATGAAGATACCCTAAAAAGAATGGAATCCTTGCAAAGGGAGATCAGCACAATCAAGCTGCGAGAAACCAAGATCACAACACTCAGGTAGTTTCAGCTGCAGCTTTATTGAGACAATAAGACCGATTCTTGCAGTAGCAGGCTTATGCCAATCCTCGGAACTCTTACTGAGTAGGAGACATGAGGTGAGGTGATAGTAGCGATTAAAACTCACAATACGGCAAAATTTTTACAATCCAAATCATGAAGATTAGGAGATAATATGCTATCACTTCTCAGGAAGTATACCCACAAGCTGTTACACACCCCGAAAGCTGATCATTTGCCCGGCCTCAATGAATTCGTCAAGAGTGATTTTTCCATCTCCGTTCTTATCCTATCAAGGGTTTGTCAGAATCCTTACCAATCGAGAGCGACTCCTTACCATCCGATCGAAGAGATCAGCAAGTTCATCTTGTCCTATTCTGTGTTTCAATCCCTCGAACAATTCGTCTGAAGTTAGCTCTCCATCTCCTATAAGAAAATTATGGCCTTACACGCAATAGGGTTTGCACTGTTCTTACCATTTCTATCAAGTCGCTCAAATTCGAACACAAGAAAATTATCCTTGGTTTCCTCAGCAGCAGATTTGAATGATTTTCCATTCTTTTTCAACCCTGTCACAAATTTTCGTGCATTTCGTGTTGAATTGGCCTTCTTGGTCAAGATGTTCTTGCTGCGTTCGTCTTGGATCAGAGAGTCCAGATATTCTTGCACTGTGATCTCTGCCATGCTCGGTGGTTTTGGCATGGCAAGCTGAGATATGCGGCTCTTGAGCCTGCAACCTTTCAACATCACCTCATACACAAGTCTGGAAAACGAAGTAAAGTCCAGGCTAGAATTTTTGTCGCAGTCCAGCTGGACATACAAGGTGTCGAGAAGCTTATCGTCTATCTTCTTTCCAAGAATCTCGATGGCATCCACCACGTGGCTTCTAATGAGGGAGCCAGATTGGCTAGAATCTACCTTGTCAAAACTGTTTCTGATCTCGATGTCAAACTCCGATTTCAGCATCTTCATGTACTGTCGTTTCTTGTTGAGCCACTTTGCCTGCTGCTGCTGCTTCGAGACCGTTTCAAATATTTGCAAGCAAGATTTCATATTCTCCCCTTTGTTGATATTCTTTACGAGATCGGCCAAAGAAGCCTTGCTTCGTTCAAGGGATTCATCAACTAATTGGCAGTCAAGCTGGGCAAGGTAGACTCTTGCAAGAACAAATTCATCCAAGGAAATAACTCCGTCGCCATCTTTTTCTAACTTTTCGAACAGATCGTCGATTTGCTCTACAGTGAGCTTCCCCGCCATTCCATCACAAAACTCCTGGTATGAAAGAACGCCATCACCTGAATGATGGGGGTATAAGAAATGGATAACACAGTCATTGAAAAAGTTTCACCGTTGTCATCGAGTTCATGAAATTTCTGTATAAGGTGCTCGTCGTATGGATCCTTTGCAAAAACTTTGGCATAGGCTTCCTCTCTTGAGATCTGACCATCTTCGTTCTGGTCGAAGACATCAAAGAGTTTCTGAACGACGCTCTTGTCAATGTTCTTCTGCGTGATTGCCCTTTCGAGTTCTTCTCGACTAATCGTTCCGCTCCCATCGCTATCGATAAGGCTGAAGACATCCACCTCTGACATCGTGTATCTGTCAAACAAATCAGCAATCAGCAATTTCAGTCAATAAACGAGGAGAAGAGCAATCTTTAATGAAATCTTCTTATCCCCCCACGCCCTGGATTGCCCCCTGTATCCTCCCTCGCCGCCTTCCCTTGATCGCCCCTTCCTGCCTTGTCCTTGCTTGCTGTCCATCTGAGCTAAGCTCTTCCTCTCCCGTCCCACTATGTCTTCTCCCTCTATCTCGACTCGCATTGCCTTCCGCTGATTTTTCATTTTTTCACAGAGGGCATTGACTGGCACCAGTGATGACTTGGACGACCCCTACCCCCATTTCTCAAGAGGTCAGAGGGGTCTCGTGGGTAGACTTCGGAAAAGGTGGTTCAAAATAAAGGTACCCTACCCCTCAAATGAAATTAGGAAAGTACCGGTGATCTACGTACTCCGCTCCTCACCTTATTGCACAAAGAGAACTACCACCCCACCTTGTCGGTTCTCTTCATCTCAAAGGGGACAGTAGGGGTAGCTGACGGAGTTTCATCGATCCTCTTTACAAACATGTTGTTTTAAGAGGTTTCACACACTGCCGTCAAGAGTTGAAATGTCTTTACAAAATTTAGGCAGTTCCATCGAAAAATTTATCGGTTACTCCTTTTAACGATTTCAGTTTTACTTGGAATCTCCGATATCTTTCTAACAAGTTTTGCGGCTACAATAGTGTAGGGTTTATTGGGGTTTAGGGTTACACAAGTTTACAATAGTCAAGTTGCGGTTCAACGGTTTTAGTACCTGGGCCTGTTACGGTTTGCTCCACTTGCAGTTCAAGCCCAGCGGTGGAGCAAACGGGTAACTGCAAGCCGGGCGGCAGCGCTGGATGGTGCAAGACGTCTCAGGTGATAATCGACTTGTAACTTCCGCACTGCGGCACTGCGGCACCCGGTCCAGGATCACATGATGGGCCGTCACGTGTTTCCGAAAGTTGAAGGCTCAAGTACCGGGAAGTTTGTCTGTGACTCGGGCCCGTGCCAGTAGTACCGTAGTACGGTCCGGCGGGCCGGGCCGCGGACTGATGGAACGTATGCCAGCCGTGCCAGTCAGACACATTCGGATGACTCCTCTCTTCAATCAGGCTCTCTCTCTAGCCGCAAGTTGTTTAGGCCTCTCATCTCAGCCTCAATTTGTTTGATTGATCTTCGAATAGGAAAGACAAGCCTCCCCCAGCCAGATTGGTCGGTCGAATATCTGACTCGAACTGTGGGAACACACTTGGAGCTTATTCGATTCATATTTTCTTGATCTTTGAGTAGGATCAAATGGAACTACCAGGAGATCTGGCGGAAGTTTCATGTCATAGAGCTAGGCGGTACAACGGCAGTGCACAACATCTTCAAATGCCTTGATGGTCGGGTGACAAGTTCTTTACGGTTCAAAAATTTATCTTTTGGTCTTCAAATGCCGGCGGGCACGCTCTCTCTCTCTCTCGCTCTCTGTTATCTGAAGTTCTCTCCTCAGACTCTCTTATCTTATCTCCCGGCTTATCTCTGCACCGTGCACATCTAATAGCCCTGCCATGAAAATCTTCTACAGAATGGACAATCTTTGAATGGTTATGACTTTCTGACGTCCGATGTAACGTACTATCTCAGAAACTCGGGAGGAGGATGGAACGTATGCGGCAGCCGTGCCAGTCCGATCAGATAGCGCCGACTCGGTTAACAAACTTGAACTCAGGCTCCTGTAAACTTGCGGCGGCATGTAGCGTGTGGGACGAAGAGGGGGCTTTCCTAGCCGTCTTGTTAAGGTCCTCTCATGTCTGGATGCTTGGGTTTCACATCCTAGCATTATGTGACAGTCTACTAGCGATGATCTCTTGATGTGCTCCTCAATTCTGGTTTTGTGTGCATTAAACTCGGTCTTGAGCAAAAACTGTCTTGCTTCAATGCTCTGGAGTCCTGATTCACGGTCCTCGTAGTGATCTTTAACTTAACTTAGGCTTTCAGAAACTCCGGCGCTGGCGGCCCGCCGCCCCGGCGCCGCCCGGGCCCCGGCGCGCACCGGCGTGTAACGAGAATAACGGATAAAGTTTGACAGTCTCCTACTGTAGTTTACTTAATTTCTTCAAATAAGTAAAAATATCACTGCCGGAAATAGCCCTTAGGACGAGGACTGCACCATGTGAGTACAGGAGCATGAGGAGGGGGGAAGGGCCGCAGGAAGAGGAAGAGAGACGAAGTTTCACCGAACATGAAGAGAGATATGCTGGAGACGGGATAGGATATGTGTCGTGCAGATGGGGAAAGGAGCACCAAAGTGTTGCATGTGAAAGGATTATCTAGCCCTGTGAGTTTAATTGAACGGGGGGGGGAGAGCAGGGAGGTGAGAGCAAGATTGAAATGGGCTAGATAGTAGGAGGTCACGTCAGCTAATTTTGAGTTGTCGTGCGATAGAGAGATGAGGTCTAGAGTAAAATCGAGCGACAAGAAGGTTGTCGATGATAATTTCTCCATTTGTAGGTCTCTGAAGATCCGGCCGTTGTTTGAAATCCTTCAAGAGGGAGTTGCTAAAAACGCCATGAACGCGAGGACTACCGCGCTCCAGGTGATCCTTCAGACTGAATGCCGACTCGACTCAAAATGCGTTGCAGGCCGCAGAGGCTGCTCCTGCTGCGTCCTCTGGCAGTGTGTCGTTCCCCAACGACTATCCTAACTCGGTAGTTCTTCTCATTGCAGTGTTGTGACTTCTTGACGATGAGGATGAAGGTCAAGCACTTCTTGTTGATTGGATCCCTCGGCATGTTCTTGGGGGCATGTGTCTTCCTCTACCTCTCCCTCACCCGCGCCAAGTCCTCCTTGGCTCACACGGTAACCTTTCACATTGTTATCGATCCTTCCCGTTGCCTGACAAGGAAACTAGCTCATCTTCCTGGCTGCTGCCATCGCCTCCATGGCCTACTATGCCATGTGGACTGGCATCGGAGTAGAGTGAGTCTTGACCCAGGTTTCTTGTGCTTGGTTTTGACATGCTTCGGTCTCGACAGGTTGAAGACAACTGACCTCTCCCCTCGTGTCATCTTCCTTTCAAGATACGTGGATGCTCTGCTGACTCAGCCGGTGACTTGGTAGCTGACGACTGCGTTCTGGGATTGAAGTTGGTTTCCAGTTGATCCTCACGACCCTCTGCCTCATCAACAAGGCTGACAACTCCATCCTCGTCTCTCTTGTTGGCAACGACATCCTCATGGTCCTCGCCGGTACAGTTCCAGAGTCTTGTTCCTGATGGCTCACCTCTGAGATCTCAGCCTTCATCGGTTCCCTCAACGTGGCTCCTTTGAAGTACATGTGGTGGTTCGCCAGCTTCATCTTCCTCGTCCTCGTTGTTGTGCAACTCGTTCAGAAGTTGGAGGGTGCAAATGATGTGTACAAGGTGATTTTGTCTCTCTTGTAACCACTTGGTTTCACATCTTATCTCCACAGATCCTTACCTACATCACCATTGCCAGCTCCTGCATTTATTCCATCGTCTGGCTCCTCGGCTCCGAAGGAACAGCGGCTCTTGGGTTGACTCAGGAGGTGTCATTCCGCCGTCTTGTATTCTGTCGGGTTGAAATGCGAGCAGGTTGGACTCATCACCCTGACTGACCTGGTGTCCAAGCTTGGCTTTGGTCTCTACTTCCTCTTCAACTACGGTGAACTCAAAAGTCGTTGCAGAGTTTTGATTGTTCTGACGCTCAACAGACGCTGCCATGGGTGAGGACGACACAGATGCCCAGAACCAGCAGTCTCAGCAATACGTCTGAAGATGATTTTTCGAATACAAGTATGTTGTCCGTAATGTGCTATCAACATGGTGTGTGCTCTGAGGCAATCAATGCCGACCTGTGAAATAAAGGGAAAGAATGCTTCGGGAAAATCCAATGATACAAGAGCTGATATGCGACAATCTTCATCTTTCATAGACATCCTTCGTAGACTTCCCGCAAGCCGCAAGATCAGGCCGTGTCGATTTTGACAGCCAACACGTGCTTAAGTTCGCCTTGAGAGGCAACGAACTGTTCCCAAAGCAGATTCAAGCTCGACTGGAATGCGTTAGCCTGGCAAACATGTTAGTTGCAACACAATAGCGCTTGTCGAGGAACCCAAGCGTCCACGTCGAAGAGCTCAGATCTTGATCGCTGATGGCGAAGATAACCTCGGAATTTCTCCGCAATCTCTGACTTCTGCGCTAGGAGGACCTAGAGGCACCAGTCACAATTGCGGAGCTGCAAGAGTGAGAGGAAGCTCACTGTCATGTCTTCGAGCTCGGACGTGGTGCGGGCGACCAGAGAAGCTGCTGCTGGGCCGAGGGAGAGAACCTGACTTGCTCCGCTCCTGCTCGACATGTTGAAGCCTGGCATGGTAAGCGAAGGGATCTGCAGCAGCAGCATGAGCATCGAAACTCGAGCATCATCGCGCTTACAGCTGCCCATAACATGGAGCCAAAGGTTGCAGAGGACGAGATGTCCGGTCCCGTATCTAACACCACATCTTGAAAGTGTCAGAGCTGCGATAGATGTTTCACAGGTTTCAACCTGCACACAAGGCAGCGGCAAGATACTCCATGTCTGACAAGACAAGAGAGCCGTTCCCAGCATGTCTAGCGCGGATGTCACAGCTAGGAGGCAAGGAGGACGACTTGAGTCTGACTTACCTGGTGCACTTCCCGCCCAGGCATCTGACCTCAGGCGGGGAGAACAAGACCCGAGAGACGTTCAGTCCTCTTCGCTTGAATTCAACTGAAACATTCTCATCTCACTGAATGTGACAGGAGCGAGTACCCCTGAGGTTCTCCTCAGCAAGTGGGTTGTATCTCGGGATCCAGAGCACGGAGTCCTCAACCCTGGCACCAAATTTCAACCATGAGGTCTCTACCGTCTCATGCGACCTCTTCAGTATCCTCACCCAGCTGTCCACCAGCTCCTGGCTGATCTTATTTGCCTCGCAAAAGCTGAGAAATGCTCACAGAGAGCAAATCTGAGAGGCATCAAACCTGCAGACGAGTGGAGCAACCTCAGGCAACCCAAAACGAGACCTGCACAGGTTGAGCAATGTAAAGGAGAGACTGTCGCCCGGACCTCATCTGCGGCACATGCTGGCTGGGTAAGTCAAGGACTCCTTGACGAGAAAGTTTGAAATCATTCAGAAGGACAGAAAGTGGAAGGTAAAGGAATCTGCTTGAGGTCTTGAGTTCACAATCGAAGTGAACATACAGAGAATCACTTCTCGGAAGTTGTGGAAACTGCCTCCGGAGGAGTGATCACACGGTCCGACAACATGTAATCGATGTAACTTGCTTCTTGTGTTAACATGCTGCCGAAGTGAACCTGACAAAAGTAAAGATCATTTGTTGCCCTACAACGCAAGGGAAGTCACTTGCACTGGAGCTGCTCTGAGTGACATCACAGATAAATGAAAGGGAGTGCTTCGTTCCGCCACGTCCAGTAGAATGTGAACTTTCTCCGATGAAATCATCTTTCCTATTTGAACGGCTGATCTTCGGTTCTCTGACCCTTCATAAAACTCGTTCACAACTCGTATATTCTTGAATCTGAAGCTGTTTGTCGACGTTGCGTCGCTGGGCAGCTTCTTTGAGTTGTTAGATGTCAGTGAAGAGGGTTTGGGTACATCAAAAAATTTGTGTACCTTCAGCATATAAACATTGATGGCAAATCTTTGTGATGACAATACATCGCAAACTGATGGTAAATACTGAAGATTGGTACCATTCCTGAAATTGTCAAGCAGTATACCGACTAGCAAACAATCTCAATCATTCGTCTGATTTCACGGCAAGTTACCTTGCAAAACCTTGAGATCGATTTGAAGGATGGAGTTTAGATACAAGTGCACGTTGTTGCTAATATCATACATGGCAGCTTGATTCCTGATGAAGAACTTGAGGGTCGAGAGACAGCAGGAGTCTCAAGACCTGGCAATTCTCCTGGCGAGATGCTCGTCGAGGCGGTAGAGGATGCAGTTGAAGGGCTGGAGGTCTTCATTCGCATCTATCCCCGTGTTCACTCTGCATTCCAATCACTTGAGCTCCAGGCAAAATTTGCAGACCTCTCCAAGACTTCAGTTCGTATCGCTTCCATCTCTTGCCAATTGCAGGCAGTCTGGGATCAAAAAGTATGAGCTATGAGCATCAGGTGATTTGCCGACAACCTGCAATGAGGTATAGTAGTTGGCGATGATCGATATGTGTACCGAGCTCCAATTCTTCTGTCGACGATGAAATTGAGAATCGGGAGCAAGAATAACACGTCATGAAAACCTGTGCTAGGCGAAAGGCAGAGGAATATGCCATGATTGCTTCCTAATCTCAGGGAGAATGGTCATGGAGTAATCATTTCTGCAAGTAAAATCACTGGTATGCTTCCCAGCTGCTCTAGCACAGCCCCAAGGTTGTTATACGCCTCGTATGAGTGAGGACTGATCTGCGTCGCATTCTACGTACGATGCGACAAGCAAGACATTAGACAAGCGTCTCCCCAAGACAAGTCGAGTCACCTGAAAGCTCCATCGCGACTCTTGAAGTCTCCCGAGCTGCTGATAGCACATCCCTAGATTGTAATAAGCACTCGCAAGCTTCCCCGAGAACGTCAGGGAGAGAGTGTAAGCACTGATCGCTCTCTCGAACTCTCCTTTCTCCCACAGAGCGATACCAAGGTTGTAGTATACCATCCCGTGATCGGGTTTGAGCGAGGCTGCTGTCTCGTACGCTTGGACGGAGGCTTCAAGCTCGCCCAACGAGCGCAAGACGTTGCCCAAGTTCATCCAGCCGTCGCTGAACCCTGGGTCGCTGCGGATGGAAGCCTGGTGGTGCTTCTTCGCCCCTTGCAAGTCTCCCTTCAGGTGCAGCAGCGTCGCAACGTTGGCATGCGCATGAACATACGTGGGATCGACAGAGATTGCTTCCTTGAAGCTCGAAATGGCTTCATCAATCATGTTGAGCTTATAGAAGATGTTCCCGATGTTGTAATGTGCTGTCGCATACTTTGGTTGTATGTGAATCACCTCACGAAAGGCCTCGATGGCCTTGTGGTCTTCTCCCCTCGCTGAGAACACTGTCCCTAAGTTGAAATATGCTGTCGCAAAGTCGCTCTTGCGACGTATCGCAGCTTCGTAACATGCTTGAGATACTTGCAACCTCCCCGCCGTCTGATGGAACAGACCAACGCTCAACAGCTCGTGTGAGTTTGCTTTCACACTCGCTCCGACGCATCCCTTCTGCTGCTTGCGAGTAGAAGCAAGACATTCTGACAGCAGCAAGAGTAGGGAAACTCTTAAACTTGACATGCGGCCAAACATGCTGCGGACGTACTTCTCTCCTTTCTCTCTTCCTCCCCCTCCCCCCCCTCTATCGCTTCCTTTCCTCTGTTCCCTTCATCATACACCTCCCTCTCCTAAACTCTCCTCGTTACCGTGCCCCCCGCCCTTCCCGTCCCTTCAGTCCAGTCTCATCCTCACCCGCTCTCCCTCTCCACGTCTGTCTCACTTCGCCCTGGCTCCTCCCCTCCCCTCCATCCCCGTCGCTGCCTCCCTCCCTCTGCCCCTCAGCATTGCAACCGGTGGAGGATGCGGGTTGGCGCGCAAAAGCTACTCCAGCACGGGGGTTGAAGGGCGGGAGGAGCAATGCTGCGCAGAGTGAAGAGGACATGTTAGCAAGGAGCGCAGAACATGGATGATTGAGATTGTATCTGATCATCTAGCAGGACAGGTGCGACGAAATACCAGGCAGATCATGCCAGGACAGGGTATTTCAGATGACACTTTTGGTAGATCTCAACAAGTCGCATCGTTGTTGTAACATTTTTGAAGGAATGACATCTATAACAACTTTTGTGGAAAAGAGAAGGACATCTCTAAACATCATTCCTGGGAAAAACTACCACATGCAAATCAATACTTACAAACATACAATATCTACAGAAACATTTGTCGAAGACAATCAGAGCACGAAAACTTTTCCCCAGAGCAGAGCAGATGGCAACATACTTACGATCTCTTCGTATGTATCAGACGGTTTGGCCAATGCTGAGCATCCATGCGCACTTGCAGTCTGTCGGGAAACTCAAACTTCGCTGCCCGGACCCTTGTCTTGCTCAACGGCATCGACGCACTTGGGTCTTGATCGCGCGACGATGACAACTTGGAAAAGAGCGAAGCATGCTTGCTCTGGATGGAGAAGTCTGTGATGGGCGGCGGGTTCAGGATGCGAGTCCTCTCTTCCAACATGGAGTCCTCCTCCTGCTGAAACTTGACATCTGCTTGCTGATACCTCCGCTGCATCCCGGTCGACTGTTTCTGAATCCTCTTGGAGATTCCTACGGCCACGTCCCAGTGCCAGCTTCGGTTCGAGTCGATGTGCCATGTGCTGCCATGCTCCACCACCCTCGACTCTCCCGCCTGCGCGTGCAGCTCCGACATGACGGCGAGCTCGGAGTTCCAGGCCGCGCTTTCCTCCCCATGGATCCGCCGGGTGAGCTCGAGAGCTCGCTCCTGCAACGTGTACGCGTCCTGGTAGTTGTTCTTCTCGGTGTGCAGGTTCACCAGGAGCTTCAGCAGCTCCAGGTACTTCTCGTCCTCTCCGGAGAGTTTTGACCTGATGTCGAGCGCCAGGTCAAACACTCTCAGCGCTTTCTTGTGGTATTTCTTCCAGGTCTCTGTCAGATGCGCGATTTCATGCTCGGGAGTTCCCTTGGGAAGCTTCTGCTCTAGACTTCGACTGTAGAACAAACGGCCAAGATTCTCGAGCACAATGCAGGCTTCGTCGGAGGGAGCAAGGTCAAACTTCATCTCCTTCACCATCTCCGGGATCAGGTAGTATTCGTCCACTTCACAGCTCTGCCTCTTCATGACGACAATCGAGGCTTCCAGGCTCTTTTCGGCTACTTCGAAGTGATACTCCATCTTCCTTACGTCCAGCTGTCCTCCTGAAACAGAAAAATGTCGCTCAGCAAGAATCCTGTGCAGATTCCCAACGTTCGACAGCTTGAAAGAATATTCCGATGATACAGGCATCCACTTGGTTTGAGTTTGGATTGCCGTGATCCCATAATCTTCTCCTCGCACCTGCTTTCCATGCACATCTAAGACTTCGTGCCAAGCAAAGCTTTCAAACTCATGACCCCCTGACAAATTGTTGGACAAAGATGAAACATTGAAGATGAATGATCCGATCTCAATATCTTCTAAACTGTTTTCGAGCATTTCCAAATGAGAAATGTTGTCCTTGACATTTGCTAATGCTGTTTCTCGTAGCTTGAAGAAATGCAGTTCATCATTCAATGCCTCTTGTTTCCGCAAGAGCAGAGACTGTCTTCGCTTACCCTGACTTCTGAGGAAATCTACTTCTTCTTGATTCTTTTCCAAGGAAGAAGTGAGATTGTTCATCTCTTCTTGCTTTTCTGCACCCAGCAGTCAATAATGTTGCATTGAAGAAGCAAGCTTTACCTTCCAGCGCCTTTCTCTCAATTTCAAGTTTCTCCCGATAAATTTTGCGCATGTGATGTTCGCTCTTCAAGCGAATCACAACCTTACAGTCGCCATGGATTTCAGGGATTCGAATCACTTGATTCCACTTGGGTTGCAGGTCACACCTTCGGACGTGTGTGCGGAATTTCATTCGCTGGCCTTGACCTTGCACTTCCTCTATCCCTTGACCTTGCACTTCCTCTATCCCTTGACTTCGCATTTCCTCTATCTCCACGTATGGGTTACACCGACATTCCTCTCCCTCCCGCAGGCTGGGAAGGTGTCTGCCGGACATCACCAGCACCTCGAGAACTCCCTGACAAGAGTTGCCCGTCAAAGTCAAGGCCGTATTGTAGATCTTGAGAGATTCGTCGTAGTTGCCCATGGCCTCGTAGCAAGACCCTGCGTTGCTCAGAGTGGTGGCGTAGAAGGGGTGTTCCTTGCCGAGAGAGACCGCGTTGAGATGGATCGCCTCCTGCAGACATGGGATTGCCTTGGAGTACTCTCCCTTCTCCCTCCATTGGATTCCATGTAGATTAGCTGTCTTTGCTCGCTCAATCTGATCCTGTTGCGATCGGACAGTCTTCTGGAGGCTATCTCGGATCAAAGTGCCGGTCGACCAAACCCTGAGGTCGTCGTAAACGATGAGGTCAGCGAGCTTCAACGCTTCCTTGAAGTGATGGATCGCTGCACTGAATTGCTTCTTGCCGTCCATCACGACAGCTTTCAGCATGTGCGCGGTCGGAGTGTCTGGAAGAATGCTGGAAAACTTGGTGGCATCTAACTCGGCGATCTCGAAACGGACCAACTTGCAGTAAGCTGCGCATCTCTTGGCGTAATACCGAGTGATGGTGTTATCCACCTCGATGCACATCCCGAAAAGTCTTGCGGCCTCGTTGTACTTCAACCTTGAAGAAAAAACGTCAGGTCCTCGCATGATCTGCATCAAGGTACCTTGCACTTTGATTCAAATGGTGGGCTCTGCTGTCTAGAATAGGGCAATAGAATAGTTTGATAGGGTCTTCTTTTATCTCTTCCTGTATTCCCTCCCAGAATAAAGCATCTCCCTCTTCCTCCCACCTTTCCGCCTGAAGGAACAATGTCATGAGAACAGCAGCAGCTCCTTGGACGAACCTCGTGTTGTCTCTCTGCAGCCAGTATCGTGCGTCTCTGAACCATCTCGTTCGCACTCGTATCGGAAGCCTGAAGGGAGTCGAGCAGTTCCACTTCTCTCACTAACACGCTCATATCAATCCGTGACTCCTTCAGCCCTGTGCCTGGCGATCCCGCGAGTCCGAAAGCCCCGCTGCCGGCGAAGACGATGGCGTCTCCTTCCTTTCCAGGTGTTCGAACAGAGATGGGGGTCACAGAGAGTTTGTTGTTCTCCACCTTGACGACGTTGATTGCTGAGCTCCCTGCCGTCCTCACGGTCAAGTGAGAGACACCGTCCACAAGGCATATCATGAACTGCCCATCGACCTTGACGTAATGCACCAGAGGACCGAACAGTTCGAGCGGCGAAATGATCGAGATGCTCTCTGCTCCTGCCTCGTAGTCTTGCGATATCGCGCTCCTCCCCACCTGCATGTTCGCGCTGTCCCCGATCGCCGACATGCGAGCCGGGGGAGCGGTTTTTGGTGAGGTGAGCCTACTAGGCAGGACGGTAGAAACTGAAATTATCGAAAATGGGGTGATAGGGGGAGGTAGCATGTTGTGTAGCCGGGCGTGAAGAGAGAGAGGAGGGGGAAGATGTCGCTTCCTCCCTCATCGTCTCAGAGGATACAGAGGACGAGGTCGACGATCAGTCGAACGCCTTCCGTGTCTTCTCGTAGGAGCGAAGCAGAAGACCCCGAAGTGATAGTTCGCTGTGACATAGCGAGGAAGGGAGGCAAACTCGATCTCTCCGGGTTCTCTATTCAACAGATCTCGCATTCTATGCTCGATCTCGGGAATTTTCTGAAAGTTTGCTGGCTCCATGAAAACTCTCTGACAACTTTGCCGGAGGAAATCTCATCATGGTCCTTGGTCTCACAGTTGAGGCTCAGCAACAACGCCTTGACAGGGTTGCCATCATCCATAGGCAAGCTCAAGCACCTCAGCATGCTCTTTGTTGATCATAACAGACTTCGATCTCTCCCGGAGGAAATCTGCGAATGTAAACAGCTCAGTCATCTCAACTTTCAGTATAACCGAGTGGAAAGAATCCCGATAGATGTGATATCTCTGAGCAAGATGCATGAATTCTTATATGAAAACAATCCCTTGGTATTCCCACATAAGTCTGTCGCAAACAAGGGATATACTGCAATCATCAAGTATTTCAAACGTTTCTCAAATGCAAATAAGACAGGGAAATTGGATCTAAATCACTGCGATCTAGATCATATTCCACTAGAAGTACAGTACTGTGCTGAAAAGTTGACAATTCTTGATCTAGCGGACTTCTGTCCATCTTCAGGAATTAGCCTTCCTTGTGAACTGAGCAGATGTAAACATATCACAAACATAAGGTTCCATCCCGAAGCAAAACATGTTTTTCCTCCTCAGACTGTGATGCAACAGGGAGTGGGAGCTCTTTTAGCTTACTTGTCTCAATTCATGGAGGGGAAAGCAAACAACACTGTAAATTTAAGTAAGTTTGGCTTACGATCTTTTCCTTCAGAACTTCTTGGAAATCCTCTTCTCAAAGGATATTTGTTTTCAAGGGTGGTGTTAGATGAAAATCTCTTGCAGAATTTGCCAGATGCAATTGCAAACCTCGCAACCTTGCAAGAGCTGCATGTCAGAGAAAACAAGTTAGAATCTATTCCAGCTACAATGGCATTCTTAACGCAACTAAAAGTGCTCGACTTGAGTGGAAACGAGCTGAAACAAGTCAACAGAAGCTTTCCAGTGATTCAATCGCTAGAACGTCTGATTTTGAGCAGAAACAAGATCGAAACATTTGAGAACTTCGGCGGCGGAGAGGAACTTGCTGTTATTGATGCATCAGATAATCAGATCCAGCGCTTTCCTGTAGAGTTGTCACAATCAAGCAAGTTATCAACTTTACTTCTGCAGTCAAACAACATTAGCACTTTGCCCTCTGAGATAAGATTCTTCACTAAACTCAAGGTGTCTACAACTTATGAACTTGATTGATATTGACTGAGGTGTTCAGGTTCTTGATCTCGCACACAATGGCATAAAAGAAATCCCGGATGAGATTGGAGACATTTCCTGCTTAGAGAGCTTGCGATTAGATCAAAATGCCTTTCATTCGCTCCCGACTACTATCGGACAGCTCAAGAATCTGAAAGAGCTTACTCTTATGGGATGCACCAAACTGCGGATTATACCTCCAGTACTTGGCAACATTTCTCACTTTCAAGCTCCTCTACGCTACGGCAGGCCGGCTCTTGAAACGTTGGCTTTGGACAGTCACTTCTTGCTGTCGCCACCAGCTGAAATCATTGCGAAGGGCATTGAGGAGATTTTCTTTTTCTTGAATCTGATATCGCATGCACACCAAGATTTGTCCTTAGCTTACGTCTCTCAAGGTTTGCTTGCGTTCCCCCTCAACATGTTTGAAATGCCATGGTTGAGGGAGCTGGACTTAACGGACAACTTGATATCAGAGTTTCCCGAGGAGATGAAGATATTGACTTCCCTTGAAAAGCTTGTGTTGCAGACGAACAAGCTCGAAAGCGTCCATGAATCAATCAAGTTCTTGACCAAGTTGACCTTGCTCAACGTCAAAGACAACCCTTTGCAAACACTGCCGGTCGAACTTGGTTTCTTGTCAGCGCTCAAGTCCCTTGAATTGGGTTACCCGGGTCCTGCAACTACAATTCCGCCGAGTGAGATCGCACGCAAAGGAGGGGCGGCAGTTCTCGACTACTTGAGGAGGATCGTTCAATCAAAGTCTTCTTGTCGCTTAGAGATGCAGCGATTGGGGCTCATTGCAGTGCCCTCAGAGATTGCAGGATTTTGCTCTCAGCCATATAAGGTTTCCTTTGCACACAATCATATCTCTACCATCAGTTCAGAAATTGGCCTGTTTGAGAATGCTCAAACATTGTGTTTTAACGACAACAAGCTGGAGAGTATAGCTTGCGAATTGCGAAATCTTACTCGACTAGTGCGTTTGGACCTTGAGGGAAATCTGTTTGAAACCATGCCTAATATCTTGACGTCTTTGACCTCTTTGACAGTGTTGAATCTTAGCCGAAATCAGTTGTCAGATTGCCCAGTCCACCTGTGCAAATTGACTCTGCTGGAGGAACTGATCCTCGATCACAATAAGATCTCAGTACTTCCGAACAAGATCGGAAACTGCGGTGCTCTGAGGCACTTTTCAATCTCACACAACGCTCTCAGGAGTCTGCCGGCCTCGATCAAAGACTTCAAAAGGCTTCTCAACTTTGATCTTTCTCACAATCACCTGACGATCTTGCCGGCTGAAGTTGGAATGCTTCCTCTGCTGGAGTACATCGAAGTCTCGGGTAATCCCATTGAGAGTCCCCCTCCTGAATTTCTGTCCAAGGGCACCTACACAATATCGTTGTACTTGCGCAGGATCCGGGAGATGAAGGAAACAGGATACCTCACTCTGAACAACAGCAAGTTGACCAACATCCCAAGGGATGTCTTGAGCTACGATGCTGTCAAGTCACTGGATCTTTCACACAATGAAATCGCCGAGTTACCCACAGAGATTGGAAACCTTCGCTTCCTCGTGACTTTGGACCTCAATGTTAATCTCTTGCACAGTTTGCCAGACAGTATCGGACACTGCTTCTCACTCTGCGACCTTTACCTAACAAGAAACAAGCTGACCAGTCTTCCCATGGCCATTCACAAACTGACCAACTTGACCACCCTCGAACTAGATCTTGACGTTGTTACAAACCCACCTTCTGTGGTCTGCATGAAGGGAGGCAAGGAATGCGTACGATACTTCAATGCTATCAATGAAGCTTTCGCCAAGGGAATTGCCAGACTGCAGAATTTTGATCTCTTGGAAATCCCTTCCTTGTGCTTTGAAATCAATATGCAAGAAATGCACCTTGGTGGAAATCAACTCTCTTCTCTACCAGCTTCTGTTGTTCTGTTCACAAGTCTGAGAGTATTGAACTTGAACGACAACCTCAAGTTGAGGGACCTGCCCAAGGTCATGCGGACCATGCTGACCCTGACAGAGTTCTCAATGGCTGGAAACGAGATCAAGTCTCTACCTGAGGAACTCTTCCGGTTGACAAACTTGATGAAGTTGGACCTTTCTAGAAACGAGCTCGATGGGATAGGGAATATCTTAGGCAACCTCTCAAGACTGACTTACCTGGACCTTTCGAGCAATCGTTTGTGGAACCTCCCCTGGCCGGCGCTGGTCAAGCTCAAGGTTCTTAAAACGCTCAAGCTAGGGAAGAATCCTCTGACAAATCTGAGTGCGAACATATCCGAGCTCTCAGCCTTGGAGGAGGTCGACCTGAGCGAGACGAGAGTGACGATGCTGCCGACTGAGTTTCTAGAGCTCGAGACTCTCAAAGTTATCAACCTCACCGACACTGAAATCCTCGGACCGAGCCCAGCTGTGACAGAGCAAGGCTTGCCAGCCATCTTGGAGTTCTTGCGGCACATCAGAGCAGCTCGAGGGACGTCGTCGCTCAACCTTATCGGCTTCAGTTGCGCAGGCGGCAGGCAGACAGGACTAGAGCCTTACAGCCTTGAGACGATCCTGCAATCCCTGACAATTCAGCGCAGCTCAGTCGAGTCTTTTCCGAGTGACTTCCTCGCGCTCTCCAAGTTGGTGAACATGGATATCTCAGAGAACCACCTCAAGTTGTTTCCAGAGAAGTTTGGGGCTTCCTTTCCTTTCCTTGTTACCCTGGCAGCTGGTAAGAATCGAATCCAGGAGTTGAATTCCAGCTTCGGCTCTCTGACCCGGCTCAGCGCCCTGCTGCTGCCGGACAACATGCTGACAACGATCGTAAAAGAGCTCGGGGGCTGCGTCAATCTTTCCCACATCGATTTGATTGGGAACCAGGTCACCTATCTCCCAGCAGAGCTGGGTAAGCTCCGGTCGCTGGCAAGAGTAGATCTGGAGTACAACTTCCTAACAGTTCTCAGATCCCTGAAAATGAATTGGAAAGATTATGGCCCACCTCCTACAGAGATTCTAGTACAGGGCACGAAGACGATAAGAACTTTCTACGACAAGCTCTCTACCTCGGCTGAAGCATCTCAGAACGTCTCCTCAGTAGCTATCATGCCGAGTCTGAACTTGAAAGGTCATGGTTTCCTGAATGTTCCCAGTATTCTATTCGACGGTCATATGTTCGAAAATCTTGGAGCTCTGAACTTGTCTCACAACAACTTGATCTCATTGGACCCAAGAATAAGCAAACTGACTTCTCTGCAAGTTCTCAACCTGAAAGGATGCAAACTAGATAGAATACCTATCTCTCTGGGTGTGATAAAGCTCAAGACGCTGAAGATGAATTTTGATCTGTTACAAAATATTCCTTACATCTTTCTGAAGCATGCAGAAACAGGCGTTTTGAATTACCTTGAAAAGGTGTACTTGGAGGCTACGGTTGGTTGTATCGATTTTTCTAATCTGAACATGGCCACTCTTCCGAAGGATCTGTCTGATTTCAGCTCCATCACTCAATTGTATCTTACCAACAATGTCATCCATCAACTACCGAAGAGTATCAGTTGTCTAACCAACTTGAAGAGCTTGAATGTAGACAACAATCGGCTCTCATCTCTTTCCAGACATCTTGGCGCTTTAACAAGTTTGACATCATTACATATCAGAGGCAACAGGATACAAATCATGTCGCCTGAGATATACAAGATGACGTCCTTGACAAACCTGGAATTCGACTTCAACAGCATCTCTCCTCTACCATTGGAATTACAAGATCGAAACGCAGAGGTCTTGTTGTCTTTCCTTGCACAGATATATCATGCCCGAGGGAAGGTGAACGAAGTTTCGCCGCTGCCAGGACTGAAGCACGGAGACTCGTGGGAGATGTTTATCGAGGGCGTACCATATACTGTCACCATTCCACCAGACCTCGATATTGAGAGTTTGGAGCGTTTCAAATTCTATACCCCTGTGCTGGATCGCAACACGCGTCAAGAGCTGATCGACAAGGACTTTGAATGTCTGAAGAAGAACGATGTCGGGCTCGAGTTGAACCTGAGCAACCTTGCGCTAATTGACTGGAGTTTGCTGGCTGTGCCAGCCAAAGTGCTCAACGACTTGCAAGTCGCAATCTTTGAAGACATAGTCAAACGCGAGAATGATGCGCATAGAAAAGTCGAGGTGGAAGGGAGAAGAGAGCCCATGGAGGTGGCCACAGATCGCAAGAACAATGCAATAGAAGCATCAAACTTTACAATCACTGATGAAGGTGTAGTCAAAGCCTCCGCCGAAAAAGTCAGCAGAGCAGGATGGCTGACGGGGCTCTTTGACCTCAAGAGGAAGAAGTCGTACAGAGATCTCCCATGCTCGATCATCGTGGAAGAGGATGATTTGATCGCTACCTGGGTTGCAGAGAAAGCTCTGAATAGAGCATACCCGCTCCCCATATGCTCTACCACGAATCTAACGACTTTGAGGTTGGACAACAACAAACTCTCCTGCATCGCCTCTTCCATCGGAACTTTGTCCAACCTGACTGCCTTGTCATGTCGGAACAACAAGCTAGAATCAGTGTCATGGAGGTTGCGTTACTTGTACTTTCTGCGCGAGCTCGATTTGAAGAACAACCTTTTGACCTCTCTGCCGCCTAAGATTGGAAGATGCGACCGACTGGAGAAGCTTGTCTTGTCACGAAATTTCATTCATAAGCTTCCGATCTCCATCGGTCGCTTGTCAAGGCTGACGGCCCTCGACATCAGTGAGAATCCGATTGAGTATCTGCCCCATGAAATCGGAGGGATGGACAACGAAGAGTTTCAAGACATGGTTGGCCTCAGGTCTATCAAGGTGATCAAAGCAAAACGTTGTTCATCCCTGCTGTATCTCCCCAGCAAGCTTTACCGTTTGACCACTTTGCGCGAACTTGATCTTGTCGAGACCTCGAATCTCAAAACACCTCCACAGGAGATCCTCGCTCAGGGCTTCGACGTACTTTTCAAGTACATGTACCAGCAGTACGTGAGCGAGTCTGCGTTGAAGTGGGAGACTGTGAGCTTCGGGTTGCAGCGCATGCCGAGCTCTATCTTCGAGATGAACAAATCTCTTAGCGAGAGCCATGGCAAGGATGAAGGCATGCCCTGGTTGAAGGAGATTGACTTGTCAAACAATTACATCGGCACAATCTCAAGGCAGATTACGCTCCTTAGAGACCTTCGAGTCTTGAATCTTGAGAGAAATCAAATCTCCAAGGTATCAAAGAGTCTCTCCTATCTGACCAGATTAGGGAGAATCAACTTGAGTTCAAATTTTCTCACAACGGTCGGGAAGGAATTTGGCACTCTTGCAGCATTGAAGTTTCTTTCTTTGGACTACAACCAAATCGAATTCATGGACGAAAGCTGTGCAAATTTGAGATCTTTGATGCACTTGTCTTTAATGTCGAATATGCTGAAAACTTTTCCAGAAGTCATCATCTCGTTGGTAAATCTTCAATTCTTGAATCTCAGTTCAAATCAAATCGGGAAAATTCCAAACACCATTGGCAGATTGCAGTCTCTAGAAATATTCCTGATGCAAAACAATGCCTTAGATTCCATTCCAGAAAGCATCGGACAATTGAAGTCCCTTCAAGAGCTTGATCTTTCGGACAACAACATACAACTGCTCCCACTGAGCATAGGCAGCATATCAGGTCTGAAGAAACTGGACACAAGGAGGAATGGCTGCATTCGGCCTCCAAAGGGAACTCAAGAGAAGGGGCCTCAAGCTGTCGTCGAGTACCTCAAGAGGGTTGAGAACGCAAGTCTCCGCAAGCTGTTGGATGTTGAGAACTTCGGACTGAGTTCGTTCCCGTTGGACACCCTTGCGATGCAAGACCTGACAGAGCTCAACCTCAGCGCTAACTCCATCTCTGCCTTACCGAGAGAAATCGTCGTCCTGACGAGGTTGGTCACCTTCAGGTATTCGTCGAACAATCTGTTGACCCTTCCCAGCATCGTATGCAAACTGACCACGTTGACCTCCTTGGACCTGCAAGAAAACAAGTTGAACTCACTGCCATCTAATTTCTCAGAGCTGCCTCTCATGTCCATAAATCTTTCAAGAAACAATTTCGAAATTTTCCCTCCTCCGCTGGAACGAATGACCAACCTTGAGCACATTGACTTGACGGACAACCGCCTGACAAGGTTGCCTTTCATGATCGGGCGCTTCGTGTATGCTACAGCTATTCTGCTGGGGGGGAATCAAGTTTCTGTGCTTCCGGACTCGCTGGGTGCCATGGGAGAGGCTTCGTTGCAGGTGATCAATCTCAGCAAGAACGGACTGTTTGACCTTCCGTCAGCCTTGTTCAACATCAAGAGGCTTGAAAGAATCTGTCTGAGCGGCAACAACTTGAGGGAGCTTCCGAATCAGCTTTGTGTACTGAAGAAGTTGAAGGAGCTATGGTTGGATCACAACCAGCTGACTTACCTGCCATCGAGGCTTGGAGAGCTTGTCTCTCTCTCTGCTCTTTACCTTCACAGCAACCGCTTGAAGATGATCCCGAAGAATCTTGTGGAGCTCAAAGGCCTCAAGGTCTTGACTCTCAGTGGGAACGAGTTGAGGGAACTGCCATGGGACTTCCACAGGTTGAGTGAGCTCGAGGAACTTTGGCTTGATGATAATCAGTTTGAGGCCCTCCAACTGGAAAGATCATTGTTTCCTCGGCTGCAGTTCCTGACTTTCAGGCACAACCCATTGACCAAGGAAGTTTTCAAACGTCTGAAAGAAAACTTTGAGGGTTTGGACAAAAATCACGATGAAGAAAATCAAGCGGAAGATGAAGAAAATCAAGCAGACGATGAATAACTTTCATTCATTTATTTGAAATGCTAGCTCTTGAAATTTTTTGCGTAGCATCATGACACAGCATGATTGCATCGCTGACATCAGATCTGTGGGTCAGAGTCAGATGTTCGAATCTTTCATGTCACTAACCTTGCAAGCTTGTTTTCAGCTTCTTCAACAATGTGCTCAGCCTCTTCAATCAATCTCTGAGCCTGTTCAATCGCAAGCTGCAGCAAACGTCAGTATTCTGACCTCTGTGTTCTCGGACTCACCTTCTTTAAACGGAAATTTTGCCTTCTGCTTTGTCTGGTCTCATGCTCAGATCTCAAAGTCTTTGCGGACAGTCCTAGATCCAGTGCCTTCTTCGCTTGTTCGAGAGTATGATGTGCTACTCCTGCGTTCCTGAGCAACTCTCCCTTGAATGTGTGGATTTGTCCTTTTTCTGCATTCTTCATCAGCTTCTGTGCCTGATCAGATCATATCAGTTCTGCTCCTGCATTCACGAAAACTTTAAATCGAGAAAGGTACCATTTCCAAGTATCTATCTTCCAGAACACAGAGCATGCTATGCAATCGCTCCGTCTTGATCTTTTGTATGATACATCTTGGGATCTGCCACTCTTCGATGCTCGCATATTCAAACAGATCCTTGAAGGTGGCAGATTCCTGGGATACCAGTTGTTGAAGTTCGCTTTCCATCGTATCGTAGGATTTTACGCTTGCATTCAGCACTACATTTTCTATTTTGGCTTGAAGGTCAGACATCCCCGTATTCTCAAAGTACTTGTAAATAATGTTAACGATCGATCAATAAACAATATGAGAAGAACCTGAAGCAGGTCTATCCGGCTGCATATTTCAAATGCCGCACTTAGAAATGATCTAACTTTCAATATGTCAAAATCGCCCATCGTCATGGCTGCTGTGATTGAATCATCTATTGCAGGATTGACATCTGACGTGGTAAGTCTGCCATTGTAATACTCATTTTCTGGATTCTTCATCGTCTGCACCTCCTTTTCTTCAGAATGAGCTTCCTTCTTCTGCTCAGCCAATGCCCTGTTGACGAGTTCTTCTCTGCGAAGTAGCAGCGTCTGAATTACATTTCTTCCCAACTTTGTATGCATTTCGAGCATCTCGGCTAGCTTGATCCCTCCGCACATGTCTTCAATGTCATAGTATGGTCCAAGTTCATTCGAGACCTGAACTTCTTGCAGCCCAAGAAATTCAGGAATATCCTTTGAGCTTGCCTTAAAGATTTTCCCAAGTATTTCAGTACGTGCAGTTTTTCGGGACTTGTATGCATCAAGATCCTCCACTTCTTCACCTCCTTCTTCCCATTCTTTCAACTCTTGAAAAGCTTCTGCATTCTCCTCTAATATTTTTGCAATAGACAGAAGATCATCTTTAGATCGAGAAGCCTCGGGCATATCTGCCAATTCGTTGATCTCATCGATGATTTCCTGGATCGTTGTGTCGTCCGCACTGTTCAGTAAGAGTTCAATCAGTTTTGGTCTGTGTTCCTTGTCTTCTCGATACATCATGTCATTCAACTTTGCAAGAACATTAGAAAGTCTGTTTCGGACCTCGATGAGATTATCTGGATTCTCCGAGTCTCGATGTAGTTTAGACATGGGAGCTACCCAGCTTCCAGCTACCAGGACCCTTCCTTCAGCTCCTCCCATTCCAATCTTCTCTAGTTTCCTGCAAAGCTCAGGGAGCTGAAGAACAGACATGGTCAAGTAGACAGGCTCTGTGAGGGTTTTCAGTTGAGTCAAAGAGTTTTGAAAATCTTCGTCTGCTTTCAACTTCGTCTTGAACGCAAGTTCTGACTCCGAGATAGCTTTCCAGATTTTCTCTACTTCTTCAGTGATATTGCTTTCTTCTTGGCTCATAGGTAACGAATTGGATTGAACTTGAGTACCAGTTGACGCTGTTGATTTAATTTTCGCAGGGTCAAGGTCAAGTTTCAAACCAGAGGCCATCTGTTGGATTTCGTTTTCTGCTTGCCCCAGGAGCTCGGAGCATTCATCTAACATGGCTTTGAGCTGATCTTTGATCTTGTAAACAAGAAGGTTCAATGTCTGGCTCAGACCGTCTCGCTTCAAGGAAAGTTCTTTGACGTCTTGGGCATCGTCAATAGATGATTCGTCATCAATTGATTCATTAAAAATGACCTGCGTTTGCATGTCTTGGTCCACAAGAACCTTTTTGTTATCATCCTTCTTTTCGTGCTTCTCTTCCGGCGGAATATATTCAAGGTGAAATACATTGTTGTGCCCAATCTTGTACCATCCTGAGTATTTTCTTAGAAGCTCCGATTCCTTCGGTATTGACTCCCATTCCTTTCCATCCAACCTATCCCAACATACCTGACACATACCGGGTCTATCCAAATCCACTTTGATGATCCTACCTCCTCTTCCTCCGGACTCGTCCTTCATCCAAGCATCTTGTTGGTACCGTTTTGCTATCAGAACTTGCATGCCAGGTTGTGCTTTCACGTCTCTCCCGACTAGCTTTTCGACTTGAAACGATCGCTGATGAAGTCCTGAAAGGTAAGACATGTTCTTCTTGCTCGTCTCTCTTGTCCCTCGCCTTCTTCAGGAGATCTCCGTTCCTTCCCCTCCTCTCTTCCTCATTCCTGCTTCACGCAGCTGCGCATTCACCACCTGCCATGTGCTGCCCTCCTTCCAACTGCTGGTAGTGGCGATCACAGGCTTCACAGTACCCCAGGTGAGGGGGCTACCCCCATCTCTGACTGGGTAGTACCCCGTCTACTCCATACTCCTACTCGCAAACTTCTGGAAGTTTGAAACAAACTTTGAAACATTGCCAGTAAATTATTCAAAATATCCAAGATATGGAATGGACGGATGGCGGGAAAATGATCGCAAGCGAAACACGATGCCGAAGAAGCTTCAGGCAGAACAATCGCGCTCGATAGACTCTGTTCAACATCGACAAACAATTGAGGAGGATGAGAGATGTTGAAGGAATAAAAAGTCCTCTTCAGATGATGTATAGCAAAGGCATGGTGGCAAGCTACAGCCTGGGATTTGCACTAAGTATCGAACAACCCATAGATAATCCCCATAGTTCAGTGACAGTGTTTGAAGGTCTTATACTTCTACCTCATACATCGCCATCAAGTTTCGAATCGCTTCCTAAACACGATTTGTGCTGGTCTGCACAATACCAACGACCCGCCAGTCTTCGGGGAGGGATGGTAAGCACGGAACTGCCTGGAATCCTTTGACATGCCCATGACTGCCAGGCCAAAGCGAGAGTGAAGAAAGCTTCGGAGAAGGACTTGAAATCAAAGAGTGTAAGCGAAATCAGGAATCTCCAAAGCCAGTCGTTAATTTCATGTTGACACAGGGCAAAGAAGAAGCTGTAGAATTGGTTCACGAGGAAATTGAATCACAGCAAAACTCAACGGAAAATGTTTCTGTTGTGAGATGGGAAGTGCAAAAGGTGATTGAACTCAAAGATCGTCTTTCGTAGCCTGAGCAAGATCTCTGCAGGCAGGAGATCTCGAAGTTTTATCCACGAGAGAATCAGTTCTCAGAAGACCTGACATGTGGATTGGGGATGTCACGACTGTCATGAAAAACGTTACTTTGCTTTATCAAAGTATCTCTTTGAATTTTCAGTAGGCTTGGGAAGTGGTCTTTGAAGACGAGGTTGTCGATGACGAAAATGGTCTTTCACTTGTGTTCCTAAATGAATAATGATTCATCCTTGATGCAGAGAATATGACTTTTCCACCAAATTCCCTGGAAAGTCCGCTGAAGACACCGGTTAAATCTTTGAATCTCAACCATTCGTTGTCCTACCAGATGCTACACAACCAAGAAGATCTAATATCCCCAATATCTCCAAAGTTCAGCAATCATTCTCACCAGAGCCCTACACCAAACAGGAGTCCAAGGAAGATTCCAGTTGATCCCGGAAAGATTGGTGGGAGGACACTGATCGCAAGGCAAAGAGAGATGAAATACAATGCTGGTGTATTGAAAACATTCGATGAAATTATTGTCAATGCCGTCGATCGACAAGTTTGCGATTGAATAAGTGATTTCAATACCTTACAAGCACTGAACAGGTCGAAGTGGAAGAAATGCGTGAAATCAGAGTCAGTATCGATGCCGCAACGGGTAGGGAAACATGATTTATATTTCACCTGTATTAGAATTCAATTCAACTCCTTCACAATCACAGGAAAAATAACCGTGTGGAACGATGGTCCGGGTATCGAACCTGTGATGCACAAGAGCGGTAAAGGATTGATCCCTGAGGTACAACACAACCGGATGACTTTGATTGCACTGATGATTGGATGTCATGGTCTCGTGGTGTAGGTTGCTTTTGGAGAATTCATGGCATCAACTAATTTTGATGACAACACCAGACAAAGATTTACGGGGTAATTTCGACCCTCCCCAAACTCTCACTTTTGAAATACTGAGATTGCTCCTTTCTTGCTTTTTTTCGAAAAGCGGTCGATTTGGAGTTGGAGCCAAAGCTACTAATGCATGGTCAAAAGAATTTACTGTGAAAACCTTTCATGCCAAATCAGGGGTTGAATATGAACAGGTAGTCAAAAAAATATATGTGTGAAATGTTAAACTCTGACTTTATTGGATTCAAGACGTGGACCGACAATATGTTGCACAAGACAAAGCCGAAGGTCGCGATGATCAATCTATACGTTGATCTGAATGTTATCGAAATCCAGCTGGTGAACCATGAGCCAGCCAAGAAGGGGTGGACATGCATATCATGGATACCAGGTGATTGTCGGATATGAATCAAGCAGCACCTCATTGAATTGCATTGCAAGATTATGAGCGATTTGGGATGATGGAAGGGCTAGACAATGACACACGCGCATGCATGACTATGCGAGTATACGACCTATGTGCATGCACTCGTGAAAATATTCGGGTAAAACCAATTCCAACTTCCTCAGGATACCAGAAAAATGAAACTTTTGCTCACCAGATCACACTAAATGAAGAGGTTCTCCCCTTCAGAACGCTGCAGCATTATACTGTATAATGTTTCATCGACCTTATATTGCGAATTGACAATTTCGGGCAAGAATTTGTTCTGGCGGAATCCTGATAGTGGGGGTCGTGAAAGGGCTTACATCAATTTGCATGACCCCAAAAGTCCGGCTAGGATCGAAGCAATGATTTCAAGTTTACTTCTAAATCGTCACATGCAAGTCTTCTGATTGAGCGTTGTGCAGTATCTTCATCTGCAACTCTAGAAGCTAGAGGTATTGTTAATGGAGTTTTGTGTAGCCAGGTTTTCCATCAATGTGTAATTTTTGTCCATTATCTAATCTCTTTCGAAGGGTACTCATATTGAACACTTGGTCACAAAGATTTCGGATGGGCTTGTGCAGGTATTTTCGTCATGAGAAAACCGAATCGTTTGAGATTCTTCAACAGCGGGCAATAAAGCAGCAAAAGCGTGACAAATTGAAGCTGGATGACAGTAAAACAGGTCAATCCTTTCTGAACGACTCTCTTGGTTACTTGATGCATCAGGCTTGGCTAAGATGAAGAACTATTTTCGACAACACATGGCAATAATTGGTTTGGTGCAGTTCTTTAGGTTTTAGCAATACTCAAATTTGTTCAAGTTGTCGCCTTATTGCCAAATCCAAGATTTGATGGACAGGTTTTCACAAACCTTGATTCTTGGATGTAATGGTTTTGATCAGACCAAAGAAAAATTGACCCTCAATCCAAAAGAATGGGGTTTCCCTGCAACCATCGATGAAAAGTACTTTGAATTTGCTTATTGCTGTCCTGTCTTGTACTTCCTACTCGTTTGAATGCGACTCTCCGTTAGGCTAGTGGAAAGGATAGATCGACACCTTGGTCTTGTGGACAAGGTAAGATGATACACTGTCTTAAACTGCCAAGTTTGAAGCTGGAGGGTGAATCGAATGTTAGGTTTTGATGGAAGCAGAAGCCAGGAATCTTGCAGCTTTGTCAAAGAAAGCTGGAGGTGCACCTGGAGCTTCTGCTCGAGTCAGCATAGCCAAATACCAAGGTGCAAATATGGCGGGAAAGGTGAGAACTCTTTCGTGATGATTCTTCTCTCAATGTGAGTTCAAGACGGGAAGACCTCCTTGTTACCTGCTCGCTACCGGTACCTATGATTATTTGCAACTGAGCACGATTTCTGAATTTCGATTTGCAGAGGGAGACTCTGCCAAGGATCTTGCTGTTGCTGGAATGGAGATTGTGGGACGAGATTGCTATGGTGTAATACCCCTGCGGTGTGTTTTGATCAGAAGGTCATGTTTTTTTGACGCACTCCTGATTCGTGCATATACCAGAGGAGTGATTAGGAATGTGAGACCAGCCAAAGTGAATGCTAAAGTAAGTACTAGGACTGTGAAGACTTTGTCTTTGTGAATTATGTTGGAAGGTGTTGAAGGACTTCCTGAAGAATGCCGAATTGGCTGCAATCAACAAGGTGAATTGTTATCGTAAAGGTGTTCTGCTCAATGCTGTATCAGGTCCTTGGGTTGCAATTTGGGGTTGAATACACACCGGAGAACGTTCATCGCTTGTTAAGATACGATCACTTCGTTATTTTCTGCGATCAAGTATGGTTATAAACCTCTTTTGTGAGTTGCTGACGAGCTTCGCTAGGATCCAGATGGAGCACACATCGCTGGAGAATTGATCAACTATTTCACCATCATGTTCCCTTCTCTCCTTAAAGCGAAACCAGACTTCCTTATGCGTCTTGGAACACCTATCATTCGCCTGAAGGTACGTAGTGATCCAATGTCCAAACATTCTTACAGATTGGTTAAGCCCAAGAACAAAGGAGAAGAAACAAAAAGTTTCTTCACGACAGCTGCATTCAAGACCTTTTTGGCAGATATCCTTTGTTTGCAACATGATTCTAAACGTTCCTGCAGTCTCGTTCTGGAATGACAGATCACGAACTCAAGAGCAAATATAAAGTGATTTAATCCTTTTTCAAAGATGGCAAAGATGGTTATCTGATTTCTCCAAAGATAAAATACTTGAAGGGTCTTGCATCATCGAATGAAGATGACGCATATCATTACTTTCAGGAAGATATATAATAATTTCTGCTCGAAAATAATTTCTGATTTGCAGAATCTCGATGATCACCTTGTCCCAATCTTATACAAAGATCAAGAGGATGATGAGGTATGCATCATCTATGAATCTTTTACTCGTCCTAATATATTGAGAATAGGTGGTGGACAAATGGTTTCGGAAGAATCGTGCAGATGCCAGAAAGGTATATCCTTCTTAAAATTCACCACTATTGAGTGTAAGAACGCAGGTTCTGCTCAGCAGGCCATATGATCCAGATGTATGTGTTGACTATTCATCAAAACAAATCACCTTTCCGTACTATTTTGAAAAGTATTTGCTTTTCTAGATTGCATGTTATTGAATATCTCTTGTTTTTACCGCTTCTACAGGGAATACATTCACTTTCCTCACTATGCAATTTATCGAACGATTCCCAACGTTATGGATGGCTTCAAACCCTCACAGCGAAAAGTTGATTCACATCTAGCGATTTTTCAACGTGATTTGCTGTATGCAGGTGATGTATACTGCAATCAAAAGAAAGTTCAAAGATCCCATAAAAGTCGTGCAATTTGCTGGAGCTGTCCTTGAGACCGCAGCATATCACCACGGTGATGCAGCTCTACAAGTATAACCTAATTGTTCTCCCTGCATTTCTTTTGACATTATGCTAGGGGGCAATCATTGCAATGGCCCGTCGTTTCTGCGGTTCGAATAACATCAACCTTCTACATCCTGATGGACAAGTTGATTTCCTTTTTCTGCTTCGCTATATCGAATAATCTTCAAATCTTTTGCTTAGTTCGGTTCAAGACATTCTAACCACGCAGGAGCTGCAAGGTAGGAATTCTTCTGTCGTGATTGACATCGTTTCATGATGGACTGCGTTAGGTATATCTCAGCAGGGCTCGAGAAGATAACTCGATCCATATTCAGACCAGAAGATGATCCAATACTGGTTGTCAAACTCCACTGTGACTACAGCAGCATGAGACGTTTATGTCAGGAATATCAAAACGAAGACGGACAAGTGATCGAGCCTAAATACTTTCTTCCTGTGGTGCCGATGGCGTTGATCAATGGATGTGAAGCTGGAATCGCTGTGGGATGGTCTTCGTTTGTTCCTATGTACAACCCAAGGGACGTCTTGAATTGGCTTCGAGAGCGTCTGAAACAGTGCAGAGATCAGGTATGGTGAATGATTGAGAAAGGTCCGTGATTTCGTCTGTAGGATGCAAGTGGCTATACGATCGATGCTTCGATCCCGGGGTAAAATGCTTATGTTTGTTTCGCAAGATTCTTGACTACTCGGAAGGGTGCTTGATGCAGCTCTCAGCCAAACTAGAGAGGAAACCGACACTTTGGAGAAGATGAATGACAACGAGGGGCAGGCAGATGCTGTGGAAGCCAGGGCGGATGATGTCAGCGTAGAAGAGGATGGAGAGGAAAATCAGATGACGGATACGGACATTCCGTCCACGAGCAGCAAGATTACCTCTTCTGTTCGAGCAGCCATGAAGAATGATGGTGCAGAATCGCCTGACAGCAGTTTCTCGTCTAAGTCTCGCTTCAGGATACACCGACGTACTCGTACCATGGTATGACGGTTTCGATGGGGAGGTGAGGAGATCCTGCGATGAGATGCAAATTTCTTACTTCCTCCCAAGATTTTCCGAACAGGACCACACTCCTACAAACTACGAGGAAAGGCAGAATACTTCGAACCTCTCAAGAAAGGAGCCCACGGAACTGTCGTAGTGACCGAGGTGTCGTATCCTGACCCTTCTCGTCTATGGTTGATTTCAGTGCAGGTCGGTCCAACCGTCCGGTCCGATGCGCTGCGAGAGGCCTGGAAAGAACGATGGGGTCCAGCAGAAGTCAAGGTTTGTCATTGCCTCATCCCCTTGAGATCGATTCGAATTGTTGCCCAGGATGCTAAACGCAAGAAAGCAAGCGAAGGCCACCAGTTTTTGAAGGACGAGCAGGTGAAGCTACCTTCCTTACTCAATTCCTTGCATGTTCTGTCCTACTTGTTTGCTTCTTGCCTTCTCTCTCATCTCATCTCTCCCACAGATCCACAACACGGCAACCAAAGTGCACATCGAGCTTTTCGTAGATCCGCAAAAGATTCGAGCTGCTGCTGGTGTGAGCAATCCAAAGAAGGTGACTCTGATCTGCCTGTGACTCCCCCTTGATCACCTGCTGCAGCACTTGACCCTGGAGAAGCTGGAAAAGATTCTAGGAATCTCTGAGAGCGGTGCCAACCAATGTGCGGCAACGACAGGAACTCATGACTGTTAATCACAGTCAGCACCACCAACATGCATCTCTTCGATGCAGGAATGACCATGAGGAGGTTTGCGACACCAGGCGAGCTCCCGCTCTCTCACACTCCTCCCTTGTCTCTGTTCCTCTGTCGTCCTGCAGTCTCTTGTACTTGTTCCTCGAGAAGCTCTGATCTCCATTGCTTTGCGAGGCGCGAAGTGACCTGAGTTTCCAGAGGCTATCCTGGAGCATTTCTTTCGCCATCGTCTCATCGGCTACGAGAAACGAAAGGACTATCAGGTCCAAGTGCGAAGTTCCCCATGTTCATCCTGACTGCAAGGGTGCAGGTGAGGGAGATGCAGGCCAGGGTGGAAGAATGTTCCAACAAGGCAAGGAGTGATGTTATTCCTTTCTTTCTTGACGAGCCTGTTCAGGCGCGCTACTGCACGATGGTGCATGACGGAGAGCTATCGATCGTGAAGAAGACAGTGGCGCAGGTTGAGTAGCGAAGTGGCCGTCTAGAAGACCTGACAGTGAAGATAGAGAGAAAAAGATCTTGCCGATGCAAATTTCACGAAACTTCTTCCAAAGTCGAAGAGGTAAAGAGATCTTCTGAAACGTGCGATCCACCTGACTGCTTCCTGCAGAGACGCTGCAGAAGATGACGAGAATCGAGAAGGTGACGATGACAAGGGCGGCAGGAGAAGAAACTTATACTGGCTCCCAGCGAACAACTCGACGAAAGAAACTGCACTACCGTCCTACGACTACCTTCTCCGAGTCCCAACTCTGGTTCCTCCTCCTGCTCCTGTTCCTCTCAATCATTTGAACCGCATCCTTGCTTTAGAGCTGCACCACTGAGCATGCCAAGAAACTGCGTGAAGAGGCGAAGAGACTGGAGGGGCAGCTGCAGGAGCTGATGAAGACTGACCTTATCACTATGTGGGAGAAGGACTTGAACGAATTCGAAGAAGCTCTCAATGACTTTTCGTCGAGAAAGTATGACGCTCTGAACAAGAACATTAAGAATCGGCCTCAGGTCTTGATCCTCCTCAACGAAAAATCGCTGATACCACCTGCAGCCTCCGAAGCGGCGGCATAAGAAGGAGATCATGGCAGAGAGGAGAATTCAGGTGGGGCTGACGAGTGAGAGACGTGGATCTGAACATCGGTTGTAGATGAAGGAGGAGAGAGAAGACGCAGAGAAGAAAAAGAAGGTGGCCGGGCTGTTCTGAGTTTCATCGCAGCTGACACACTCTCAGAAAACCATGATTCACATGCAAGAGAAACAGGAGAAAGATCGAATGGTTTCTTCCAAATCCCTTGTGCTAGGTTGCCGGCTGAAAGAGCAACAGGTGCGAGAGATGAAGCGACGAGCGATCATGCACAACAGCCCGACAGCGAAAGCTGTGTTGAAGCAAGTGAAGGAGCCGGGGGGGAGGAGGGGCTCTTGACTGCATCTCGCAGGTGTTAAACAACACCACAAGTCCCTCCAAGGTCGAACTTCTTTCTAAGATTAAATGAATTCAATTGTCTATCTACATGCTCTTTCACCTTTATCAACGTCCTCTCACCATATGTTAACATGATTGTTTTCTTCATCTCTCTGAGCTTGCTGAGCTCCCAGAATTCGTTGCCTGCACGCACATCAGTACCTGGCCGCATTCCCTCCCTCCCTCCCTCCCTCCCTCCCTCACCCTGGAGGGGTTTCTTCGCGGTAGGTTCGGGGGCTTCTTGGACGACGGAGGAGGAGGAGGAACGTCAGGGCTCAAGGCGGCTCGGCTGCTCGGCTGCTTGTCTGAATCAGCCAGCTTGGCGAGGTTCTGCATGAAGTCAGAGGAGGAGGAGAGAAGCTGGGAGTACTTTGGCTTTGAGGGCCAAGGCGAGGCGAGGGGGGAAGCGAGAGGCGTCAAGGGGAGGTAGCTTCTGCCTCGCTCGACTGCCCTGGCCTTGGCTGAGGAGAAACTTTGTAAGGAGCAGCTGAGGGAGGGGAGGAGGACTTGCCTCGCTGCAGCTGAATGGACCTCCTTCATCTTCTTTGCTATAATGTCGAAGTGAGTAGGAAGGCAGAGAGCACGTCGATGCCTACGAGGAGGGAGGATCGCGCTGGTGGGCTGTGCGTTGCCTATGAGGATGATCTCTTCTGTCGGTCTTTTTGTTTCGACATGCTGGCGAAGTCTTTGAGTTGTGCAGCAGAGGAGGGAAGAAGAAGTGAGAGAGGGGGAGGAGAGAGCAGAAGTGAGTGAGAAGGAGAAGGAGGCGATGAAGAGAGGATAGGAGAACATGCAAGTGAGAAACTACCTTGGAGAGGTCGTAGAGGTCCTCGTCACTCTGCTGGATGGCAGCTGGAGCTTCCAACCTTGACTGCTGTTCAGCAGGGCAAGAGCTGAGAAATCTCTCACCCCTCCGAGTGCGACAAGAACAGATCTTCTAGAGCAACTTGATCCTCCCCTCGCTGCATTCGCTTCACCTGCGGCGAGTCAGCGACGAGCGACCGGGGTCTCGATACCTTGACGCGATGCAGATGCCCCCGGTAGACTCTCTGGAGGTCGAGGACAGCCCTGCTGCCACGTCACCTCCCCTTCCTCTCAGTCTCTCCGTCACCGCAGCGTCCTCCTGGTCTGCTCCAGGCTGGCCTGATTCTGCTGCATGCTCTTTCTCCGACGGATTGCCGATCGATACGTCAAGCCGATGATGACAAAGGCCAAGAGTAGGAGACCTGCTCGGGAGTGAGAGGAGAGAAGAGCAGGGGAGAGACGGACAAGATGAGCTAAGAACAACGACGAAGGTCTTGCTGTTCCAATACTGGTCAAACTGGGAATATAGCAGAAAGGAGGAAGGGGAGGAGGAGGAGTGGAGAGGTGGAATGATAGGAGAAGAGCAAAGTTTGAGAGAGCAAGGAAATATCGAGAGATGGGAAAGGAGAGGAGCCGGAGCGGAGAAAGCAGGAGCATCGTTCTATAGCCTGACAGCAAACCTGATGATCGTACGACTCGGCTGAGGCTCCCAGACTGCAGAAGAGAGAGGGAAGGTAGCGATCACCTGCCTGAAGTCAGCCAGGGAGGAGGATGAGGAGGAGGAGGAGGAGGGAGGAGGAGGAGGGAGGAGGGAGGAGGAGGAGGATGGGGAAGATGGGCAGGATGGGCAGGAGGAGGAGGAGGAGGGAGGAGGAGGAGGAGGAGGAGGAGGAGGAGGATGGGGAGGAGAAAATCGGGGTGTAACAGGTGGAGGAGCAGGAGGGGAGACTTAGTGACTCACGTTTCCGTCCGACGATCGGACGACGAGCGGGTATCCAGAAGAGCCCACGACAACCTGCCATCCTCTAGCCTGCAGATCGGTCGAGATCTTTCCGCTCTGGAGCCAATCGCTGAGCTTCCGTGCGATGGTGAGGGATTCCGTGGAGGAGGAGGCGACGAGGCGGAAGAGGATGTATAGGATGGAGCCAGTTGCTCTGATAGACCCGAACCATGACTCGTCTGCACAGAAACGGGAGGAGGAGGAGGAGGAGGAGGAGGAGGAGGAGGAGGAGGAGGAGGAGGAGGAGGAGGAGGAGGAGGAGGAGGAGGAGGAGGAGGAGGAGGATCAGCCATGGTCATGTAGAGTGAATTGGACCTCTTCGTTGAATCTGAACATTCTCTTGATACCATGCAGCAACTATCACGACATCTTCCATTCGAAAACTCGAACCAACCGCGATCGCTGTCGCAGTCTGGCAGGAACCCCGTGAGAAGCTTGTGGGAGACAGTCCGCGAGATATAAGGCGAAGAGAGTAGATGTAGAGGA